TGAACCTTTTATTCTTTGTGACGACGTGTTGATGATTTATTGTGCTACCAGCCCCGTGCTAAGTTTCCTTTTCTCTTTCCTTCCCTCCCACCCCGTAGGCGAGTAGGGACATTAACCGCTGCTGCCGTGCTGGCTTCTTACTGACATATCCAGCCATTGTAACTTCCTTGTTGTTGTTTGGGGTTTCTTTTAATATTTTAAACCGATGGAGCGAGTTCATGGGATTAAGCCATGTCTGGAACGAAAGGCACAGGGATGTGTTAAAGGCGAACTTGCTGTGAGAGCTCAGATGGAGCCTGTGTTGACCTCAACGAGATGCTCATAAACCCTCCCCGGGGGGTGCCCGGGGCCTCCTGCGCGTCAGCGAGGGAAAGGTGGTTTATTTATTAACTGGCACGGCCGGAGCCCTGGGATTCATCCCGGTTTCCCAGGGCCGAGGGCTGCGGGGAGCAGGAGGCTGCCGTGGCAGCTCGGGTTGACGCAGGCCGGGAGTTCAAGGCTGAAGCAGGTCCTGGGGTGTGAGGGATGTGTGTGTGTGTGTGTGTGGTTCTAACGACGCTGATGGATGGGACCGTCGGGATGAGCAGGTCCGTGGGAGGCAGGAAAGGGCAGCGCCCGTCCCGGGACGGGCAGCGAGCCGGGAGCCCTGGGCTGGGCAGCGGGGCAGGTTTAGTGCCAGGGAGTTGCAGCTCTGACTAGGAAGGAGATTTTTCCCACTCTTGGAGCTCCTCGTTTCATGTTGCAAATGACACTAAAGAAATGAAATGTAAATAAATTAAAACAGGAGAGAAAAAAAAAAAGTGTTCTTGGATGGTCAAACTAATTTAAAGGAAAAAAAAAACAACAAAGAAAAGCAGAATAACAAAACACTGGGATCAAAGAGAACTGAACCAGGCTGTGCTAAGGGGGGGCTGCTCCAGGAGGGGACAGAGGGAAGCCTGCAGCTTCTCATGCTTGTGGGAATATTTCTTTGGGAAGCCGACAATGACACGATAACCCGGAATCTGTATTTACACACAAAGATTCTTATTGCACTTGTATTTTTTATATTAAAGTTTGCATGGTTTCTAATAAAATGGCATTAAAATGTACTAGTTTGCATCAAAGTCGTCTGGTAGTTTCATAAGTGCTTTTTCCTCTGAATACAAATTGAAACAATGCAGATTTGCACCTGAAAGGGGCGGTTATATATACCCTGGAGCCCTCCCAGTGCTTCCTTCCCTTCCTCCTCCTCCTCCTCCTCCTCCTCTTCCTCCTCCTCCTCCTCCTCCTCCCCATCTCTCTGCTCCCTCTGTGCCACATCCCTCTAATCCCAAACAGGGAACGTGCCCTCGCTCCCTGCCCTCGTGTTGTCCGTGTGTGCTCCCGGCGTTCCCAGCACTGATCCCAGCCCTGGCTCCTGCAGGAGAGGCTGGAGCTGGGACCCCGTTTCTCCGGCCCTGCCGGTGCTGCCCGTCCCCTCTGGCCCCACCCCGGTATATATCACTGCCCTCCCGCTGGCGCTTCCTTCTTTCTCTTACTGCTAAATTCTGAACACCAGCTTCAGCTTGTCAGTCTTGGCTTTGGTTTGGTTTCTTTTTTTCCAACACTTGAATCCAGGGGAAGTTTGGAGGAGAGGGGCTGAGGAGAGGAGAGGAGCAGGCTGAGCCCCTGGCAGGACGGGGCAGGGGCTGTGTGTTTCCCAAGCAATAACGCCCGTGTGCTCCGGGCCAGGGCTGCCAGGGGCTGCTGGGAGGGTCCTGAGCCTGCACGGTGAGCCTGGAGCCCGGATTCCCTGCCTGGATCCCGGCTTCCCTGCCTGGGGCCTGGTTTCCCTGCCTGTGACCCACCAGCATGGGCTGGGAAGGGGCCGGAGCCGCCTCCGGGCTCACCGAGCTGGCACCGGGGTTTGTGCCGATGGGCAGCGGCCGGAGATGCTCGTGGGTAACCAAAGAGGAGGTGGAGGCTGAGATGTCGTGTCCCTCTGGCTGCTCTGCCCGGGGCACCCCGGGACGAGGTTCCCTGGGTGCCCCGGGATGAGATTCCCGGGCAGAGGGAGGGAGGGAGGGAGGCAGCCGGGCCCGGCCGCGGTTCAGGTGCTGCGGGAGGAAGGCAAGTGGCAACATTGCACTTTATCTTCTGAGATTGCAAAAAACAAACAGCAAACGAGCCCCCGCCCCCTGCAAAGGGACAGCGACATCGCCTCTCCCCTGCACTGCTTTTATCCCATTTCCCGACTGCTGGGCAGCCCTGGATGAGGGTTTGGCATCCAGGCCTGTCCCTGCCCGACACAGCCCTCGGCCCAGCTGCCCCCACCGGCCTGTGCTTCTGTGCCACTTCTCTAACACTTGTTGTGCCTGTGTTTAGCTGACGAACTAAATCCGGATACATTAGTTTGCTGTGGTGTTTCTAGGACAGCTTCGGTTTTAATACGGATTTCTTTTTTTGTATTTTCTCTTGAGGAAGCGGCTGTACATATTGCTGGGAAGGAGCCGTGTGTGCTGGAAATGGCTTTTCCTCTCTGGAGAGGTGGGATGAGCTGGGTGGTGCCGAGACCTGCAGAGACACTGCTGGGTGGGAAGGGGCCGGCAGCTCCACCGAGGGCTGGAGGCAGCACATTTGGGGAAGAATAGGAGTTGTGGTCTGAATTAGATGCAAGTTGAATGTACGTGTTCCTGTCCTGAGCTGGCGCTGGGAGGTCCTGGCTTTGCAGGGGTGGCTGAGCTGAGCTGGGCCCAGGCCGGGCCGGAGGCTCAGCAAAGCCCTTCCCAGAGCTCAGGATGAGGGCGAGTGGCGGTTTGGAGGTGTCTGAGCTGCTGAAGGGATGGGGAGGGAGCGGGGCCGGGCGGGAGCTCCATCCCGGCTGGGGTCCCTCCAGGCAGGAGCCTCCCCCCTTTCCCACTGCTCCGCTGCCGGAGCCCGGCGTCTCCCTGCATATCAGTGGCATATACAGTTACTTCGGGCTTTTTATACTGTCAAACAAGTACATTCAAGTAACAAGTTTGTGGGCTTGAGGCCGCGGGAGCGGCGGCTCCGCTGCCGCCCCAGGCCGTGGCTCCCGTGGGTCGGGTCCTGACCGCAAACTGAATGTAGTTTTCTACGCTGACCCCCGGTGTTGTCCCCGCGTAGCGTCGGTGTGAGGGGGCTCTGGGACCCCCCAGTGTTTGTGTCGTTTAGGCAGAATTTCTAGTTTTCTCGGAGCTGGGTGGCAGTGACACCCTCGGGGGGACGGGGTGTCCCCGAGGGAAGGGCCGAGCCCCCGGAGCCGCTCGCGGCCGTCGGTGCTGCCCCTGCCAAAGGCAGGAGCTGGGGGGGCTTGGGAGAAATGGCCCCCCAAACCCTCCTGGCCCCGGGATCCTGCGGGGGGGGGGTCGGGAAAGGGCTCCGGGAGGCAGCAGTGGGAATGCTCGGGCTCTCCTTCCTCCTCCCCGCCGAACTCCGGCCGAGTGAGCGCTTCACCCTCCCTCCCACGAGTCTCGCTGGCCGCCAGCCGGTGTCTGGGGTAGGATCAGACACGAGACTCCACCGCGCACCCGCTGTGCTCGTCCCACCTTTGGCATCACCCGCAGCTTCCATTGCCCCGTCCCGTAGGAACAGCGAGTCAGGACCGAGGGGGAGTGCGCGGGTGTTGGGCACAGCACGGTGTGAGCAGAGCCGAGCTCGGGGCGCAGCACCGGGAGGGTGGTCCCGGCTCGGGGCTCCCTCCACTAAACCTCTCTGCCTCAGCTCCCCACCTGCACGGGTGGGGTGACACTCTTTACCTCACCGGGCTGTCGTGAGGCGTGAGCAGCGTGTGGCGTGTTCTAAATGTGACGTGTTACTATTATTTGTGTCATAGGATTGTTCTGCGGGGGTGCCCGAGGGGCAGACGCGGCTGTCCCTGGCAGGGGGAGGGCAGTGCTTGGTGTGAGACAACAGCTCTGGGGGGTGGGCTGGGGCAGAGCCCCCCGGCCTGGGGGGACCCACCCGTTCGGTTCTGCCTTTGTGTCTCACCCTCCCCGAGGGGCTGTAAGACCGTCGTCTCCTTAGCAACATTTCCTGACTTGATGTTGTGATTCTTACTATTGTAAAGGGTTGAAATAAAGCTTCTAGATGTTCCTCCTCAGCTTGGGCCTGAGTTTGTGGGGGTGGGAAGGCCGGGCAGGGCGTGGTGGCGCAGTCAGGAGCACCTGAGGTGCTGCCGGCACAGGAAGCCATAAGGAAGGAGCGGGGGAAGGAATTCGGTTGGATCCGATTCCTTCGGCCATGGGAAAATCCCCATCCATGGCTTTGCTCCTCAAGCCTGGGATCAGAGGGAGGAGGGTCCTGTGGGCACCCCCTGGGACCAGTGAGAGGCCTTGGTGCCCGTGGCAGTGTCACAGCTGGCACAGAAAGGGGGCAGAGCCACAGGAGCCGAGCTGGGGGGTCCCTGCAGCCCATCCCTCCTGGCTCCTCTGGAAGTGGCCCGTGCCAGGCCCTGCACACACCGGGGACCAGAGGGGGACCCCGAGGGGCCACCACCCCCTCACAGAAGGTGCCCCAGCTCACTCTATTTACAAATAAAGGGAAGGTTTTCCACGCTGGCTCTGATCCACACACGGGACAGACATGACCTGGGACCCCACACAGCATTTGGATCCGAGGTCCGGGGGCCCTGAGCAGCAACAGCTCCTCTGCCCCTCCTCGAGCCCTGCCCTGGGACCAAAGCCCAGCTCTGGACACCGACTGTTCCTGAGCACTGGGACACACTGGGCTGGTTCCCCGGCCCACCAGCCCAGGACACGCTCTGGCACTGCAGGGTGCCCATGTCCTGCAGCTGCTGGGGTGTCTGTGACCCCACAGTGACCCCTCAGCCCCCAGGCTGTCACTCACAGGGGGTCCCACAGTGCCAGGTCCCTTTAGCCCCCCGTGCCCTCCCCACCCATCTCACCCCCTGCTCTGCACCTCTCCCACCAGAGAAGTGGCCAAAGAAAAGGCACAAAATTCCAGACTTTGCAGTAAAAAAAATAAACAGAAAAAAAGAATGAAGAGGACAGAGGCAGTTCCTACTCTATCCCTTTTTATTGTCTTTAATCTATGTTGTAAAAAGATCCAGTATCACATAACAGCCACGGAAGTATCCCAATATCACACTAGTTCGGAACCATTTAGACAATAGCTTAGTCTTTTTTTTTTTGCTTTTTTGCTTTTTTTTAAACCTGCTGGAAGGGAAAACCATACTGCCCATTATACAGGCCAAAAGAAACAAACACTGGTCAAATAATAGTGACAACCTCAAGCAAGTGAAATGAAGATGAGAAGTTTTGAGTGACCCCAGGCTGCAGGACTCCGAGGGCCCCTTGTGCTGGCACAGAGGGCACAGTGCCTTAAAGCCCATGAGCAGTAAATTAAATCAGAGAACTGGGAGAACCAAAGGGGGGCCCCGGGGCTGCTCTGCTGCTGTTCCAGGGGCAGGAACGGCCTCGCTCCCCCTGCCCGGAGCAGCGCCCGGCTGGGCCCTCGGGGCCCTCAGAGCCCACCACCTCTGCTGCAGATACAAAGAGCATAAGAAATGGGAATAAAAAGGAATGACCCCAGGCCCGCGGGCCCCTCCAGCGCCGGGGGCACAGCCCTCGCGCCCCGAGTCCCTCCCGGTACAAACACCAGCGAAGCCTCACAACAGCCCTGTGAGGTAGGTCACTGTCTTACGGACAGAGAGTCCAAGGCAAAGCTGGGATTAAACTCCAGACTCCTCGTTGAGTGCTGTGCCTGTCGCAATCCTCCTTCCACGGAAATATGGTCCCTGTTCGTAGAAAACAAAGGTCTGTGCCTGCGCTCCCGGCGTCCCGCGGGCAGCCCGGCAGCTACAATCACGTCCCGTGTGCACAAGTGACAGGGATCGGCCCCCTCGACGGGGGGAGAGCGGGAAAGTTAAAAAAAAATCATAGTAACAACGCAAGAGGACGAGAAGTACAGGCAGGTTGGGAAGGACGAGCCACATCTCACACTCGTGACGCCACGACCCAGGGCTGGCAGGGCCCCGCTGGCAGGCTCGGAGATCCCCATGGAATGTCACCTCCATCCGGCGCCTTCGGGGCTTCCTCCCCTCCGGGGCACGTGGAGAGTGGAGAGACGGCGATCCCTGCGCCGGAGCTGCTGGATCCAGGCTCGGCCTGGCACGGATCCGTCCTCGTGGTGAGCCCGGAGGAGCTCTGGCAGCGGAGCGGCTCCAGCCCGGCCCCGTGGGGAGGGGGCGCGGGACGGCCCCGGGAGCCGTGTCCTCATTCCCATCAGGGACGGCGCTGGGCACGGAGGAGGCGGGTGGGTGTCCACGCAGCTCGGGTCCATCGGCACTCCCAGTCCATTCCCGCTGCTCTTCCCACGCGGTGACCATGCACGGAGCCGACAGCAGGAGATTCAGACAACATTAATCTTCTAGGATGGAGAGAGATGACTTCACAAGGGATAAATAGAACTTTATTTAAATAAACATTTGTGAACATCTTTATACAAATTACAAGTCCCCACAGGAGCCTGCAGCTCCGCCTACGAGCCGAAGCTGCCGGGAGGGCCCTTGAGCAGATCCACCAGGATGTCGAGCAGTTGGCTGTGCTGGTGGTGCAGGTCCCCGGGGATCGCGGCCATCTCGTAGCACAGGCACGTCTCCACCATCTTGGACAGGGACACGCGGAAGTCGCGCAGCAGGCGGATGGTGTAGGAGTCCCCCTCCAGCACCAGGAGGTCGCTGTCCGTCAGGGACACCGTGGCTCTCCAGCCGTCATCTTGGGGAGAGAGCGGAGGTGAGCTGGGCACGGGGCTCGCCCGTGCTGGCTGCTGCAGCCTCTCCACTGCTGCTACACGGCTCCTTCCCACACTTGTTTTACGCCAACAGCTCCCACCAAAGCCAGGCAGCACTCTGACCACACACTGGGATCCTCCCAGTTTCCCGCAGGAGGCGAACTGACAGCACAGCCCGTCTGAGCTCGAGGGCTGGAGACCAACTGCAGCACTGCCAAACCCCATGGGCTGAAGGGACAGACCCCCAGAGACAAGGGGGATCATGCCAGCTCAGCCTCTCCTTCCCCCAGGATGATCCAGGCACACAGGCCTCCAGGCTCAGCCTGCTGGGGGCCGCCTCCCTTGTCTCCCTGCAGAGCTACAGCCAGGAACAGCTCACAAACCATCACTCCACGGCCCCACCACAGCAACACCCGACCCAAAGCACGAGCCTGGAGAGCAGGGGCGGCCGGGCCGGGGGCCCAGCAGAGCTGGGGTGCCCCTGGCAGCACTCACCTCGGACGTGGATGTCGGTGTCGGTCATGAGCAGCACGGCCAGCGGGTGCACCTGGGACGAGTCCCGCACGAACACGCCGCCGTTGGACTTGACGGCCATGAAGTAGGTGAGCCAGCGGCTGTACAGCTTGGACGCCTCCCTGCACGGGACAGCCCCATCAGCCAGGGCCGGGCAGCGGGGCTGGCACTGCCACGGGGGTGTCAGCACAGCCAGCTGTGTGCTGTGGGGCCCTGCACCCACCTGTTGATGGTTGACTTGTGCAGCAGGACGGTGCCGGCCTTTGTCCGGTACGCGTAGCTGTTGGGCTTGAACTTCCCCTGGCGGGTCACTTTGCCTTGTCTCACCTGCAGTGGGAGGAGAATCTCAAAGGCCTGCACGACCAGCATGCCCTGCCCACCCACAACTGCCTCTCCTACGTGTGGGGAGGGGTGAGGATGTTCCTCTGCTCCCAGAAGCTCTGCTGGGTTCATGGAGCTCACTCATGGGGTGACCAGGCTGGGCAGTCACCCAGCCCTGTGCAAGGGGCAGCAAACAGGAGGAGGAAGATGCCACCTCGGGCAGCAGGCAGGAGGAGGAGCCACCTTGACAGCTCCCAGACCAAGTAAGAAGAACCCAAGTGTGGACCTGTGCAGGCCAGGGTGGCCACTCCTCACGAGCAGGGATAGCCCTAGGAGCAGCAGGAGCACAGGGCAGGAAGCCTGCCCTGGACACACACTCCCAAAAGAGCACAGGCATCTCTGGCACCTCAACGCTCCCCTGTGCCACCCACTGTGACCAGCAAGCCCAGGAGGGTGATGGCAGAGCCAGTACCTGGATGAGGTTGGGGTAGAGCCCAGCCATGAGGACTCCCTTGACCAGTTCCTCCTCCTCACTGTACTGGTTACACACGGATGATGGCATGGTACAATCAGACGGGGATGACACCAGGAAGGCTTCGTAGAGGTTCTCAGAGAACTGCTTGACAAGGCCTGGAGGGGGGAGACAGCCCAGGGGTGAGATTCTCCCTTTATCCCATGGCGTGATTAAGCTCAGCAGGGCGGGCAGGAGCTCCATCCTGCACCAAAGCCAGGCCCTGCCCAGTCCAGCCCATTTCTGCCCCCCGTCCCTCACGGTGCCTCTCTGGGGTCCAGGGAGCAGCAGCCCCCGAGACTCACCGTTGATGAAGCGCAGGCTGGGCCCGTACAGGTAGTAGTCCTGCAGGTAGTTGTCCCTGGCACGGCTGTCCCTGCGCCTCAGCACCTCCTCCCAGCCGGCCACGGCCCTCACGAAGGCCAGGTGGTCGCTGCCGCTCTCCCGGCTCAGCACGGCCTTGGCCTGGGACAGGGACACCCGTGGGACCCCCGTGAGCCAGGGCAGCCCCTTCCCCCTGCCCCCCCCGCCCCGGAGGGCCCCTCACCTTGTCCACCTCGGCGCGGTTCTGCAGGCTGCTGCTGAAGGGGTCCCGCGTGAGGCAGGACACGATGACGAGCAGGGGGTGCAGGCAGCGGTAGATGGAGGCCAGGACAATGGCCTTGGCCAGCCGAGGGTCCGTGGAGATCTGGGCCAGCCGCTTGCCCAGGGTGGTGAGGGCCTCCCGCTGGTCCAGCACTCCTGCAGCAGAGCCCCGGTGTGGGAACAGACATCAGCCCCCGGTGGCTCTGGGAGCTGCCAGGAGAACCCACCCACACGGCTGGGGGATCTGGGTGACCTCCAGAAGAGGCACAGGGACAGGGGCCTGCAACCAGCACCAGAAACCCCCTGGTCTAACTGAGCTGAGGCTGAAGAAACAGCTCTCACAGACACATGACAGTCAACAAGGCCCAGCTCTGAATTCCAGATCACCACTCCCCTTCTTTCCCTGTCACCCCCTCCCCTATTTTTTTTTAAACCTTGGAAAGTTCTCCCCACTTTTTGAGCAGAGCAGTGTGGGAAATTAAACAGCACAAAGGCGTGTGATTTGGGAAGTCCCTATCAACTGCCATCCCCTCCAGGGACAATCCTGCAGAGTCTGTCCCACAGGATCCTGTGCCAGCTCCCACTTCCCATGTTTAGACAGCAAATATGTTTCCAGGACACAGCATTATCTCACCGATCTCCTGCAGCAAGATCACAGCTTCATCCACAGCTTTGATGTCAGGGCTGTCCAGAGCCTTGGAGAGAAATTCAACTGCCTGCAACACAGGAGGGGGGAGGGAAAAGGGAAAAAATGGGCAGGTTTCCCACACAGGAATGTGGGAGAGCCCTCTGTCTTGCCCCAGGGCCCCAGACTGTGACACCATTCCCTATTTCTTTGCCTCCAGGGACATGAGCTCAGCCCCCTCCACTCCTTCAGTCTTGCAGACACACTCTGTCATCTAAGGGATCTTCCCATTTCCTGGTGTTAACATCCCCAGACAGCCCCGTGTTTAGGAAAGCGAGATCCCAAGTCATCAGCCTGCTGGCTTTTCCCCACTCCTGCCCCCGGAGCTGGCTCCAGGTTCCCCCGGGCAGCCCCGCAGCCAGCACTGTGCTCACCGTCTTCTCCGGCATGTGGATCTTGGCCTGCACCACCAGGTTCTCCAGGGGGGTGCGCAGGATCTCTGGCACCTGGTAAGTTGGCATCTTGTCCAGGCGGCTGCGAGGGAACAGGTGGTAGGCAAAGCCCGACTGGCAGCGGCCGGCGCGGCCCCGCCGCTGCACCACGTTCGACTTGGACACCCACACCGTCTCCAGGCAGGACACCTGCGGGCAGGACAGGCGTGATGATCCCAGGGCTCTGGCCTGCTCATCTGGCTTGGAAGGAACCTTAAAGCCCATCCAATCCCACTCCTGCCCTGCACAGGGACACCTTCCCCTACCCCAGGTATCCCAGGGCCTATCCAACCTTGGACACTCCCAGGGATGGGGCAGCCACGGCTTCTCTGGGCACCCTGTGCCAGGGCCTCCCCACCCTCACAGGGAACAATTTCTTCCCAATTTCCCACCTAACCCTGCCCTCTGCCAGAATGAAGCCACTCCCCTTGTTCTGCCGCTCCTCGCCCCAAGTCCCTCTCTTTGCATTTTTCCATCCACACACAGACTCAAGACCAATCAGTGATCCCAAAGGGCCAGGGAAGCCTTTCCCACTCTCCTGCCTCCTGCAGGGCTGGTCTCCATCAGGGCATGGATGGTACCCAGATGCCACCTGCTGGACACGTTCTCTGGTGCCCGTCCCAGGGCTCCCTGGGGTCCCCAGCGCCAGCCCTGCCTCAGGCTCTGCATTCGGAACTGGGATAAAACTGGGCAAATATCAAAGGGATGGGTTTAAACCAGGACTGGTCCAAGGTGTGAGTGGTCACCTGGCCCTGGCAGGTGATGCTCTAGAACAGGGGCAGCGGGATGTAGCCAGAATTCCTTCTCCTAATGGCAACAGCAGCACGGTTGTGTTCACCTCGTTAGGAAGGTGGACAGACAAGAGCCTTCACAGGGCTCAGCGCTGCCAGGAACGGGGTCCAAGGGCAGTGAAGCCCCTCTGGAAGTTGAGGAACAAACCAAAGGGACTGGGGTCATGAGAGATGCAAACTTGAGCAGGATCAACAGGTCAGGGCTGCCCTGCGTGGGCCAGCGAGAGGTTTTTGATGAAATCATGAGAAAAGGCAAACAGAAAAGCTACAGACATTCCATGGTATCACAGAGCTGGGAAGGGAGTAGGATTTGCCTTGAATTTCTTTGAGGACACCAGAATTTTACCTGTGGGGAGCCTGGCACAGAGCTTGGACAAGGCAAACAATGGTGATGAGTCAAACACTGTCCCCAAAGAGGGACACAGTGCCCATGCCCCAGGGGCCAAACGGGAAGCAGCTCCATCATCCCATTAATGACCCCTCCAGTGCTCCTCTGAAAACATCCCTGAGCTCCAGGGTGTGCCCAATGCCCTCAGGGGCAAGAAAGCAGCAGTACCTTGGTCTTGAGGTCGTAGCGCTCCTCCTTGTGCGTGCCACTGTCCACCACGTGCACGATGTCGTTGATGGTGATGGAGGTCTCTGCGATGTTGGTGGCCAGGACGATCTTCCTGACGCCAGGAGGAGGCCTCTGGAAGATGTTCTGCTGGTCCATCATGGGGATGTTGGAGTGCACTGGGAAATCAAACCAGAGTCAGTCCCACCCAGCTGAGCTGGTGGGCAGAGATTCCTCTTGTACCATCCCTGCCTGCTTCCAGAAACACGGGACAGAAACGGGGGCATCTCTCATGTTCACTGTCAGCAGCTTCCTGTCAGCCACACCCCAGGGAAGATCTTCCACACATCATTTGGGAAGGCCTCACTTCAGCTGCTTCAACCTCTGGCTCAGCAGCAGGAGCTCTGCTCACCTCCTGTCCCAGAGCCTGGTGGCACCTCCGGAATATCCCTCCAGTCCCGCTCCCTCCCACAGTCCAGCTCTGCAGCTCCCCCTCCCCACCAGTCCCGCAGGGCAGAAGGTTTGGGTGCCCTGGGTCAGAAATGGTGCTCAGCAAGGGCTGTGCTGTGGCACAGCCTGGCCTGTCAGACGTGAGGACGCAGAGGAGCTGCCAGCAGTGGCGGGGGAGCAGCAGAACAGGGGGTCTCCATGGAAGAGCACCTGCATGCATGAACAGCTGAGCTGCTCAGAGCTCTGCTCCTGCCCGGTCTTGTTCAGCACTGAACAGGGGGGGGTTGCTAAAAAACAAACAAAAAAGTGCCCAAACCTTCACAGCCTCGCACGGCAAAACTGCCCTTTGTTATAAACTCCCTCCTGGGATAAGCAACGTTAAATTCACTAATCAAAGCTGAGCTCCACGGTCCTTTTGCATCCAACGAAACAGGTCCTGAGGATCTTTTCTGTGCAGGTTCACTAGGCAGCTGCAGCAATGCAGAACTGAGCTGTTTCCCCCTGGCCTAGTTCCCAATTGCTGGAGGCAAACAGGAAGCCACTTTCTTTGATCACAAAGGAGGAGTTACTCAGGCTCTGCTCGCAGGAGTTACTCATGCTCACCACACACTTACACCACAGGTACATCAAAGCACACGAGCTCTGTACCAGAGTGCAAAGCTGAAGGGGCTCAAGGAGTCAACTGTCCCAGGTTCTCCTGAATCCCGGGAAGAAGGGGCTGGCCCTGCCCTCTCACCTGGCAGGACGAGGTACCGGCTGTTCTGCGAGCCCAGCATCTCCAGCAGCCGCTGCTGCACCCCTTTGATCTCCTGCCAGCCAGGGAGGAAGCAGAGGATCCCACCTGGAACACAGCACCAGTTAGGAACACAATCCAAGCACTCTTCCCCAGCTGGAGACACAGGTTTTCAAGGCAGAAAGCAACAGGTAGCCTGTAGTTTCAGAGGGGATACCTATGAGCTTTGAAACACTTAAAGCTCTTACAAGTCATCTAAGAGTCCTGCCTTCTTCCCAAAAACATCACCTTCCAGGCAAAGATATTTAACAGGGATGGGGCTCCACTACACAAAGATAATTGTGCAGCTCAAGGCTGCAAATGCTGCAGCACAGACAAGTCCTGCCCTTTGCCCCCAGGAACAGCTGCCAGGACAATGAGGACTCAGATGTTCTTAGCCAAAGACTCGGAATTCCCTCATGCCACACTGCTTGAGAACAGGAATTCAAGGGCCAGCAGGAATTCAAGGCCTTGCACAAGAGGCTCAGCATGGTGTGGTCTCTGGGCTCTGCAGGCTCACTTTTCTCTCCCCCAGCAGGAGAAGAGAGCCATGGGAAAGGCAGAACCCACCTGGCTCTCCGTGCGCATCAATCTGGAGCACGAGGTCGGTGATCAGGTCGAGATCCAGCACACACTCATCATCAGATTGCTGTGGAACAGGACATGGGTGAGTGAGGTAAGTCTAGCACAGAGCACACAGGTACAGCCTCCAGAGCATCTCCTGGAGTCTGCAAATGCCTGGGTTTGGACAGCCTGCTCAGGACCTGGAGCCAGGAACCTCGGGAGCCTGGTCTTGGTTCCATCTGGAACCTGCTCTGGTCACAACTGCTGCCAGTTCCCTCTGCTGTGCAGTGAGAATACACAGTCCCTGCCCAATCTCCAGATTTGGAAGCTGAAATTTGTGCATCTCTGCTGAATAGCACCTCACAAGTAACAGAATTCACTGGAGATTTCTGGGCACAAAACTGTGCCACGTGCACCTGGGACTCCAAAGCCACCAGACACCGAGCAGCAGCTTTTGTACCTTCCTGATGATTTGGGACAGGCTATCAGAGAAGCTGATAAAATTCAGCTACAATCTCAGCCACATCAGAATCAGGAGGAATGCCCTGAAGGCAATGGGATACCCCAAGCCAGTTTGCTGATGATCCAGGACTGGGACAAATGGCTGATAATCCAGACAGTTGCTCAGCCACAGGGAGGGATCCCTCATGGCTGGAGAAATGGGCTGACAGCTTCCAGACCAGCAGGTTGGACCAGAAACTGTCTGGAGATCCCAGCCAAGCTCAGTGACTCCGTGATCCACCACTGGTGTAAGATTACCCACAGCACAGAGTGCATGTCTGGAGGGCATTTTCCAAGGGAACGCTTGGACTAGTTGCAAAAAGCAGCAACCAGGGAATTCAGTCATGCAGGATGTGAGCACTGAGGTAACACTGCTGGAAGGCACAACCATCCCAGTCTTGGACAGGCTTGCAGAGAGTGTGCAAACCTTCCAGTGTGTGTCAGTGTCTACACACACAACGAGCTCTCAGCCTACTCACACATCAAACTTCACTCTAAAGGGGCACAAAGTAACTTGGCCCCAAACTGCAGTCATCTTTACCCATCATTTAATCAAAGTACTCTGTGATCCTACTAAGTTGACTTCACCTCACGAGGGCTGGCATGGAATTAAGCTGAGGAGGCAGTGCCCAGGAACCAGAGGGACGTGGGACCGGTTCCAGGCCCAAACTCTCCCTGACACCCCGAAGTCAGTGCCCCGTCCCAGGGCAGCACCTGCACACCCACCTTGATCTCGTAGTGCCGGTGTCGGTGCCGGCCCAGCTTGGCCAGGATCTCCTCCAGGTAGTATTCCTTCACTGGGTACATGAAGCCCGGCACCTTGACCACAGGGCAGTCCCCAAAGTAGTGGGAGAAGCGCTGGTTGTCCCCCGTGGCGCTCATGAGGACCAGGCGCAGGTCGGGGTTCAGCTTCTGGATGCCTTTGAGCAGGATGAGCAGGAAGTCGGTGTTGACGTCTCGCTCGTGCACCTCGTCCACCACGACGTGGCTGACGCCCTCCAGGCTGGGGTTGCCCTGCAGCTTCCTGAGCAGGATGCCCACGGTGCAGAAGAGCAGGGCCCCTCCCCGGGCGGGGGGTTTGCTCTCCAGCCGCACCTGGTAGCCCACGTTCTTCCTCATGTTGGGCCCCAGCTCCTGTGCCACGCGCTGGGCCACGGAGATGGCGCTGATCCTGCGGGGCTGGGTGATCACCACGTTGCAGCGGGCGCCACGGCCCTCCAGGATGTAGTGTTCCAGCAGCAGCTGCGGGATCCGCGTGGTCTTCCCACAGCCGGTGTCTCCTGCTATTACCACCACGGGGTTCTGCTCGATGGCTGACAGGATGGTGTCCTTGTGGGGGTCTACTGGCAGCGGGTGGCTCTCCTGCCAGGAGGCTCCTCTCCTTTTCCAGAGGGCCAGGAGGTTCTGGCTAAGGCGCACTTCCTCTGCCTCCAGCATGGGGATGTAGGTCTTCCCCGTGATGGCGTCGCTTATCGCACCCGATTCCTTGGTCAGGTTCATCATGTCATCAGCAATCCGGGGCCGGGACTCCCTGATGTCCACGGGATACTGGGAGAGATGGGGGAAGTTGGCAAGGACAGAAAGGTTAGAACCAGCCCTGGGATGGACAGAATGAAACAAGTTCCCAGAACAGGCTCAGCCAGCCTGGCTTCGCCATGACTGTGGAGCTCTGCCACGACCACAAAGCTCTGCCAAGGTCTCCTCAGATTTTTAGTAACTCAGTCACTGATGTTCTGAACTAAGCATATTTAAGGTGAGAATCAACTTGGGCTTTCCTCGCTGTGCTCCCTATTTTAGGAGGGGTATTAGTGCTGGTGCCTCAACTGACAGGCACTAACCAGTTACTTCAGCTCTCCAATGCAACAGCCCCTCCAAGGCAACTTTTGCAAACTATCAAGTTACACCACCACCCTTCTCCCCCTCGGGAAGCCCAGACACATAACTTACATAAAACACAAGCGTTTGCCTGAGCCAGAAATATTCTGACTTGGCAATAGAAAAAACGGAAGTCCCACATCCCACAGGAAGAACTAAAAGGAGCAACAACAGGTCAGGAATTGTCTAGAACACAAATCAAAGCATTGGCCCAGATGTTCACAAGATTAAAAGCTGCTGAACTTTTAATCAACCAGAATTTTTGGATTCAGCCTTGGAGGCACAAAGGGAAGGCCCACTGCCCAGAAAGGGTCTCCCTTCCCCAAAGGGGCAGCAGAGACTGATCAGGTTTTGTGGTACAATCAAGCCACGAATTCCCTCAACGTTTTGCCACGAAGCTTTCAAAGACATGCAATTCCTGCAGGCAGATGGGACCAGGCAAAGGTGCTCACGTGGTTCAGGTAGTTCTCGATCTTGCGCAGGGTGGCCTCGGGGACTTTGATGTGGCAGGGCTTCCTCTGGTTCTCCCCCAGCTCCCGCAGGGAGGTCATGTTGTACATGGCATGGCTCAGGGGGTTGTTGTTCTTGTCCACCAAGCCAAGGCTCTGCAAGGAACAGGCAAACAACACTGTCAGCCACGAGACTGCTCACACCAAGTGCTAGGATACAGAGCACATGGATCCCACAGACCAACTCCTTGCCAGCCCAAATCCATCACTTCCTGCTTTTCTTGCCAGAGCAAGAAACAAGACATGATCCCACCTCAGCTCTGGAGCAAAAGACACACCAGAGTCAACTATGTGCCCCCAACACAACATTCACATGAAGGTCTCAAACAGACCACTAGAAGGAACAGCAGCCACAACTGTTACCAACAAAACCCTCTTGTTAACTACCTTGCTACTGTTCTGGCATGTTGTGAATCCCAAGGTTTGGAATCATATGTTAACTAAGAATTAGTTCATTAAGCATTAAGTCAAAGGTCATAAAGTTTCAGGTATCACCCCATCAAATACAGCTCAAATACAGTGAGCCAGGTGGAAGGAGCTTGTATCCACAGACACAGCCAGGGATGCCAGGAGCCAGGTGGAAGGAAGCCTGCATCCACATCCAGGGATGCAGAGCCAGGTGCACTCACTCACCTTCAGCTTCTGACAGGCCAGAGCTGCTGCTTTGTTTTCTGCCTCCACCTTGCGCCGGCCCTTGGCAGCGAAGGTCATGGGGCAGGGCCAGCGCAGGCTCAGCTTGCAGATCTTGGTCTTGGTGCCCACCGTGCGGAACTGCATGTACTCCTGCAGCAACAGACACCACACAGCCCATGGGGCACCCTGGGCTGGCAGGGACCCCAGCCATCACCCAGTCCCACCCCTGGCCCTGCACAGACACCCCAACACTCCCCGCTGTTCACAGAGCGTTGTCCAAACCCTCCTGCAGCTCTGGCAGCCTTGGGGCTGTGCCCACTGCCCTGGGGAGCCTGGTCAGTGCCCACCACCCTCTGGGGGAAGAACCTTTCCCTGAGATCCAACCTGAGCCTGCCCTGACACAGCTCCAGCTGTTCCCTGGGTCCTGTCCCTGGTCCCCCCAGAGCAGAGATTGGAGCTGCCCCTCAGTAGAAGCTGCAGACCCTGATGAGTCTCCTCTCAGTCTCCTCTGCTCCAGTTGGAGATGCCAAGAGCCCTCAGCCACTCCTTGTATGGCCCCTCTAGACCCTTCACCACAGCGGTTTTTTTGTTGGGGTTTGTCTGGGGTTTTGTTAGATTTAACAGAGCACTACAAGTTTACTGCCCTGAATTCCCCCCAGCTCCCAAGGCACAGGCTAAGCAGGAGTGAGGGCAGGCAGATGTGTGGGGAACATCCCCAAGAGCCTCTGGGGTGGAACACAGCTCCTGTTTGCTAAACACACGAGCTCTGGGCAGGAGGTGAGTGACACAGAGGAGTAGGATCCCTGAATATTGGAAAGATTCCATCAGCACAGAAATTACACATCGCTCCCAGTAACACAAACTTTTGCTTGCTGGAGATACAGGGGGAAATAAAACCTTAGGAAATGACCTCCTTCATTCGGACAGCAGCTCCTCCACTGCCCTGGCCTCAACGAACAACATTCTGCACGGTTCTGTTAAGACATTCTCTCAGTTCTCACCACAAAGTCTTTTCCTTGCTCTCCAGACCGACTTTTCTAGGCCTAGTTCTACCTTGCTTCCTCTCCCCAGTTCTGCCACCCAAACAAAGCATCCAGTGATGCCAGAGGGAGCCTCTGAGCTCCGTCCCTGGCAGGGGTCAGACAGCAGCTTACCTTGACTGTGGAGGAAGAGGTTGCAATCTGAATCACTTGGGCCAGGAGGTTTTTGGGCAGTGGGAACTGTGTCAGGGCACGGATGGCAGTGTTGTCGTCGGTCATTTCAATGGAACTCCCTCCTCGGCTGCAGGGAGATGGGAACAGGTGATGTACAAATGCCCCTGTGTGCTCACACCCACCCCACTCCAGCGGCTACCGAGCTCTCAAACTAGGTGGTTAAAACACAGAGAATTCTGGTCATGGCACAGTCAAGCTGTCCCTTGCTGCTAAAATCTGTCAGTCACAGAACAGCCACCCAGCCCAGCAAAGCCACCCACTCCAAATCAAACCTTCACACTGAGGCTACAAACCAGGCAGCATCGACAGACTGTAACAGTCTTCATAAATAAATAACTCGCAATCCAAAGAGCATCCCTAGAAATAACCACCACCACTGTGTCCTTACAGATCTTGCTCCTGTTGCCTATTAAAAACCCAAGATTTGTGCTCATAAAACATGAAGTCAAACAAGCAACTATGATGATGAAAAGGAGCTTTAATGTTGCCCTCAGGGTGATCATAGGTCTCAGTCTAAGTGCACACAGATTGTTTCCGGGAATGGAAATCTCTTTAGGCCCAGAAGAGTAAGGCAGGTAACAAGCCTGGCAGTGTCTCCAAAGGGAGAGCTCCAGGGAAGAAGTCTGTGCATTCCCTGGATGGCAGCCAGCTACAAGACCAGGCTGCCCACTACTGCTCTGGCCCACCTACAGGCCCCACCAGCTGCAGCTCAGCGGTGAGGAACTGCAGGGGTGGATCAGCTACAGGGAAAACCCTCGCTCCTCGTGCCCTGGATGAGCAGCTCCCAGGACAGACCCACCTTGCGTCCCTGCCCATGGCACACCGAGACATCGATCGCCTCCTCCTCCAGCTCCCCCTCCTCCAGCTCTCCTTCCTCCAGCTCCCCTTCCTCCAGCTCCTCCCTCCTCATGGCTTTAGGCATCCTGCCCTGCTCCATGGGCTGGATGGAGTCGTCGGGCTCCATGCGGCGCCAGCAGGTGGACAGGTCGGCGAGGGAGGGCCCGGACTTGGAGCGCCACTTGCCCTCGGAGCACCAGCGCTCGTCGGGACAGCCCAGCTGGTCCGCCAGGAGCCGGTACTTGGCAGCGTCAAAGAGCTCGTTCCGGGGGCCCAGCAACCCCCAGCCCTGTGGGAGAGACACACGGTGATTCCTGCATTCCCCACGAGAAACCGAGGAAGAGAAGGCACTTTCAGGGACTTTCAACCTCCCCCTGCCATTATTTCTTGCCAAATGGGACCTGTTCCCTGCCCTCCCTTCCCAAGGCACAGCTCTGAGCCCCACACAGCTCCTTAGGGTGGGCCAGGATTTATTGGGATTTTACAAACTCAGGCCTATTGAGCATCCTCAAGTTTTGAAACCACCCCCAGCGTAACTTAAAAGTAACAGTAAAGCAGAAGATGTAATTGCCACACTGTGGCTTGGATGAAGAGGGAACGGGAGGATCCGAAGGCCCTACGACTGCAGACACACCCAGGTGGGTTGGCAGAGATGAGACCTGGTGAACAGCAGCAGCAAACACACCTGAGGGAAGCTCTACTCGCTGTAGATGCTGACGCTAAGGAGCTGATTAGGGTCCAGGACACAAGGAACAAAGAGCAGGACTCCAGGGACTTAGTGAGTTCGTGCCTGGCTGAAGCAAGTGGGATTTTAAGCTCAAATGGACTCAGACTCAACACTTCACTCTCCACCCCTGACTAACAGGCCAGCTGAGTGAACAGGCAAAGAGAGACAAAAGAATTCCCATCCCCAAAGGTCAGGCCTGCACCCCCAGGGATCACCCCCAGCTCACCTTGAAGAGCTGACAGGCCGCGGCAGCCGCCTGCCGCTCCGCGTCGATCTTCTTGGTCCCATAGCCCTCCACCTCCACGTTCTTGGGCCACTTGATGTGCAGAGTGACTTTCTGAAAAGCAGAGACACCCAGCCAAGTGAGCCAGCGCAGCCCCAGCTCTCCCCTACCCCAGGAGCACACCCACTCCAGCCACCTCTCAACTCCAGGCAAGGAAAGCTGGGAACAAAGTGCTCGTGTGGTGCCTCTGTGGGAAGCTCCACTCCAGGAGCACCGCAGGAAAAGCCTGAGCAGGGCACAGAGGTGCCACAGTCCCACAGGAGTGCAGGGCTGAGTCAGGCTGCAGCGTCACAGCGTGTCAGCTCCAAGGAATAAATGGCAGGTGCTCATCCCAGGAGCAATTCCATTTCAGGGACTGTTCGTGTGCTCACTGCAGCACACCAGAGCGTGCCCCAGAGCAACGTGCCCTCTCCAACAGGATTCCAGCATGGAAACCTCCGTAACTGCTTCCTTTCTGCAATGCAACCAGCAGCAGGTTGCCTCAGCTCCCCAGACAGCTCCTCTGGGCACAGGAGGATCCAGCTCCAGCCCAACACAAGCACTGGGAGACCCAGAGCCCCCTACAACTCCCCCTGGAGGGAAGCATCCTCTAAATGGAGCCAAAAACATGCAGAGGTAAAGAATGCTGAAAGCTGAACCCTGTCATCTTCAAAAAGTTGCCCCAAATCATCTGCTCCCGGCCCTGCAGACGCTGGAAGGCTCCGGGAGGGAAATGCTTAAGGAATTCTCTCCGGTTTCTGCAGCACAGATGAAAGGTGGCATTTAGATCCCCTGGGAAAACCCCACCTCCAAGGCTGGAGCAAAGGCTCCTGCCTTTCCAGCAGCCTGCACTGGCTGGCTGCCCACCTGCCAGCAGAACCTCAGCTCTCTGGAGGAAATTCCTATGGATTTTGCCTCGGGGCTCTGCGTGGAAGAGCAAAGAAAAAAGGTGTCTCCTGAAGGCCAAGTCACTTGGTGCTCATAAAAACCCCTGGTTCACTTCCAACCAGGAGCTCTCCAGGTTGTCCCACCTGTCCTTGTCCCACACACTTTCTGGGTTGGTTTTCGGTTGGTTGGTTCTGGGGTTTTTTTGTGATCCAACCTTATTTTCTCCATGAGCTCCTGGTTCAGTTTTTTGTTTTAATCTGAAGGCATCCTCAACATTAATCTACTGAAGTGCCAGCAACAATGTGAACTGATTACACAAACTAAAACTATGAGGCATTGGCTGTGGTATTCCAAAACTTAAGTTAGGAAACTGCAGTGGAAAAGCAAGAAAAACAAACACAAATCATGAAGAACTCTGAAGTAACCATTACTAATGTATCCCTAAAATCCAGGGATGCTTAAAAAGGATGTGGCAACAAAAAACTGCCTGGGAAATTTTAGCCAGAATGTTATTGGAAAATGTTAATCCGTCAGAAGGGAGCCTTTTCCTGGAATGTACGTTCCAGTTAAAGTGGAGCTGGAAAGGGCTCTCGGCTCTGGAATGAGCTGTGCTGTGACAGCAGGAGGCACAGTCTTGCCCACGGAGCACACGGGAGGTGTGTCCTGCTCATCTGGGCCTCTCGCAGCCCAGGGAGAGCTCAAACCACCTGCAAAACTGTTTGTCTTGGAATTCCTCGGCTTCCTTTCATAAAAAAAAGAGTCTGTATTTGGTTTTGCCCTTAAGTACTGTGAGAAGCCTCCCTCCACCACAAACAAATTCTTCTACTCTGGTTGCAGTTGGACATTTTAGGCTTTGGTATTTGTTCCACTGGAATCTACAATCAAATCTGGGCCTACTGAGGCCCAAAATACAGCATTTAAATTTTAATTTTCTAAGGTAGTGGGGCACCTTGAAGTACATTTAAGCACAGACTACATGTCTTTCTGCTGGGAAAAGCCAGATACAGCAAGTTACCCAAAAGAAAAACATCCATCCTTCCAAACACAAAAACAGGGACAGCACCTGCATTTATGCACCTGTTAAAGTGCGTGAAAATTAGGAGAAAGGGCAAGAAGTGAGAATATCTCTTGTTTAAAAGACTACCATGCAACTTTTACGTGGAATTTGAAACACGCCTCTGATTTTCTCTAGGAAAGTTCCTCCCAGGATTAGAGGTTTCTGGCTCCCTTCCCACTCATGTCCCTCACATCTCCAGCCCCACAGATTACCTTTTTCCTTGGCCCATTGGTGTGGATGTAGACCAGCTTGTCCCTTGCATGGGAAATGCCCAGGGCTCGTCCAATCACACTGTTGAGCAAGTTTTTAGGCTGTGGAAATTCCTTTAATAAGTCTCTGGAATCTGGAAAAAAAAAATGAAGCGGAACTAAATGTCTTACAATTCCTGTGCAGTCCTGTCCAAAGACATGTTCCAACGCCTGCTCCGGGCAGCTCTGGGAGCATCCGGGGCTCGGGGTTACGGACAGGGAAGTGAGGAGTGTTCAGTGGCTCACCCACAGCAACTCCAGGCATCAGCAAGATCATGGAACCATCCAGGTTGGAAAAACCCTCCAAGGTCACAGAGTCCCCCTGTGCCTGATCCCCACCTTGTCCCCAGCCCAGAGCACTGAGTGCCATGGCCAGGCCTGCCTGGGACACCTCCAGGGCTGGGCACTCCAAACCTCCCTGGGCAGCCCCTGCCAAGGCCTGACCACCCTTTCCAGGGAGAAATTCCTCCTCATGTCCCACCTGCCCCTCCCCTGGCACAGCCTGAGGCCGTTCCCTCTCCTCCTGTCCCTGTTCCCTGGGAGCAGAGCCCGACCCCCCCCGGCTCCTCCCTCCTGTCAGGGATTGCAGAGCCAGAAGGTCCCCCCTGAGCCTCCTTTTCTCCAGGCTGAGCCCCCCCAGCTCCCTCAGCTGCTCCTGCTGCTCCAGCCCCTTCCCAGCTCCCTTCCCTTCCCTGCACACTCTCCAGCCCCTCCGTGTCTTGTCCTGAGGGGCCCAGAACTGCCCCCAGGATGGGAGGTGCCAGCACAAGGACAGGCACTGCCCTGTGTCACACCATGGCCAGTACAAAACAGTGTCATTGGCCTCTTGCCCACCTGGGCACTCCTGGTTCACGTCCAGCCTCTGTCACCAGCAGGGATTTGGAGCCATTTCCCCACCACAGAGGTAAAAGCAGCTCTGTTTGTCAGCCCTCAGTATCAAAACCCAACTGAGCAATAGCTACTCTGAACAGTTTTGGTGTTTGCACAGGCCCCCATCCATGGATTAAATCAAGGGGCTCACAAGGTACACATCAGATCCAGTCAGTGGCAGGGAAATAAGCCCCTTCTCCCAGGTTCCAACACCCCCACCAACCCAGACAAGCAGGGAGATGATCCACAGCCCTAATCCAACAGAAAGCCAAGGCAGAAAAATGGAATACATGGGATTTGCTGGGCTCAGGAGTAAATGAGCCACTACAGCCCTCCAGGTACCCAAATCCAGCACAAGGGAATGAGAGAGGGACGGGATCTCCTCATCCCACACTCGCTCTCCCCAGGCTGTCAGGACCCTCCCTGCAGACCCCCCTGGGTGTGAGCACTCCCTCTAAGAGGCTTCCAAATCCTGTGCAGGAATTCAGGGGAACTTTCTGCAATGAATCAGAAGCCACACGCTCACTGGTACCACCAGCAACCGGAACTGCTGACTGAGCCACCAAACCCAAGGAGAATCGAGCCAACAGTCACACTCACTGGAGCATCACCCCGATGTGCCACCGTGTTCTGCTGGAAACTCTGATTCCAGAGCTGCTGTAATGAAGACAAACAGTAACTCCAGATAAGAGAATCATGGAATGGTTTGTGCTGGAAGGGACCTGCCATGGGCAGGGACACCTTCCACCAGCCCAGGTTGCTCCAAGCCCTGTCCAACCTGGCCTTGGACACTTCCAGGGATGTTCAAGGAAAGTATTTAAGAGAGAGGCTCTGCAGGCCTGACACAGGACATCCTGTGGATGCTTGGCTAATGGAGAGGGAAAAGCCACACTGCTGATCCCATCACCCTCCCCAGCAAAAACCCAGCAGGTGACCCAGAGTTCAACACAAAATAATTACTGGGGACACCCAGCTTTGAAACTTCTTCCTGCAAATCATAGAACAACCACCCGGGTCTCAGAGAAACACTTTCAGAAGCCTTGGACAACTCCAGGGGCATTGCAGGAATTACTGTGATTTATCACCACTACTTGCCCATGAATTACCTTCTATAGACTGGCCAAGAGAGCAGGAAAGTGGTCTCAGCCCCACAAAGAACCATGAGCCAATGTCCTGTAACTATACAGTAAATGTGCTGTTTCTACCCACTCAGGCAAGTTCCACCACAGTCACACTTTGCCTGGTCAGGAAAACTGGCAAAGTGTCCAAGACTTTGACTCTCTGCAGTTCTATCCCATTCCACAGTAACACAATTCCAAAATGCACCATTAAATTCCCTTCATAAAAAGCAAAAGCAAACTTGCAGAACCAGCCTGGATTATTTGGCCTTCAGCTGTTTCCTCTTTCAAAAACAATAACCTGAGCAGTTCTGGGATAAGAAGTACAAGAAGCATGTTTTTTTAATGCCCCCCCCCAAATGCAACTATCTATGACAGAGCCAATTTCTCACACTCTGAGGTGACTCCTCAGTGAAGGCTAAACATTTAATCTGTTCTAGAGCACAAAACAGGACCTCTGACTAGCAAAGCCCAGCTCTGGCCGGTGGCTCCGGCTCAGAATTCCCAAGGAGGCACAGTGTTTTCTTCCCAGCTGACAATGGCACATTCAGCAGCACCATCTGACGTACCAAGGGCTGATGGATCCCCCTCATGTCCCCAATTCCAGAGCTCAAGGATCTTATCCTGCAGGAAGACATCCCTCACTTGCAGCTTTTAAAGCAACAGCCCCAAATTGCAGACCTGGATTTGCAGCGTTGCCTTCCCTGCCAAAGTGGATTTCTTGGCATCTCCCTGTGAGGAGCTGTCACAGCTGGGAATGGGTGTTTGGGTGGGAATGCTGTGAGTGGGAGCACAGGGAGTGGAGCCCAATGCTCCCAAAACTGCACTGATTCTCATGCCCAACTCCACATATGATGCCCAAACCACAGCTCTGAGATCATGCAGGAATATTAAAACCCTGCCTGGGAGAAAGACAAGTCAGGGTGGGGCTATCAAAGAAGCCAATTAACTAATTAAAGTTCCTCAAAGCCAGTGAGTGCTTTGCTTAATTTGATTGTGAAAGTCCAGGATAATTGCAAGCAACACCAAAACCACCGAAAACCAGGCCCCAAACCCACCAAACCATCCAGCTGGAGCAGCCAGCCCTCCTACAAACCCCAACAAATCTGAGGAGTGAAGACACTCAGGAACAAGAGCACAAATAAACCAGCCCCAAGTCTTGCTCAAGGAGAACAGAGGAACATTAGGTCCATTTAGTTTCTCTCTTCCCTCCAATTCTCTTCCCAGGAGAAGCAACAAATGAGCAGCAAGGGCAAACTATTAAAGACCAAACTCCCGAGATACAATAAATTCAAGTAATGAATCCAAGTCAGCGAAGGGTGTTTGTAACACATCAAAAATCCCCAGGGAAGAAGAAGAAAGCCCTGTGGCTCCATAATATCCATTTCATCAGGAATTAGCCCAGACATGTCCTGCTGGAGGCAGAGAAGGTTCCACCTGGCTCTCTTTGGAGCACACCAAAGCACTGCTTTTTCGGGATTTGGGGGTTTCAAACCATCACCAGCGATCCCAACCACAGCTCCTTCCAACACACACAGAATAAAAACCCACAGGAAACTCCTGCCTGAACAAGAACTTAAAAACCGGGAAAACTGTCCAGGCTTCTCCAAAGGCAAGTGGGATGAGTCGAGGAGGAGGAGCAGTGGCCAGCCTGCCCCTGGAGACACTCGGACACAGCAGGACCAGCCCGGCCTGGGAAGGGATCCAGAGCCCCAGCCCAGCCCCAACCCTGCTGTGCCACCACGGGACAGCAACTTCCACTAGCTCAGAGGAAGATCCTGGAGCAAACCAGGGCTCAGGATCACATCAGCCTCCCAAACTCCCACTGCCCGAGCCAAAGCAGCGGAACCTCAGATGTTAACACGGATCTAACACGGGCTTCTTCAGGCTGGCCTGGGTTCACGGTTGATTTTTCCATATTTGCATCCAAGGCTCCTAACAAAGCAGCTCCTGGGCTGGGGGCTCAGAACTGACCTCAGAAATAGGTCTGCAAAGTAACATTTATAATCTGTACATGTTCAAGCAGCAGCTGTGCAGGTAGGGCAGGCTCAGGAGACCCTGAGGGAGTTAAATTGTTCATCCAATAAATCCAATCGGAAACAAGTCCAATATCACCACTCTCCCACCAAAAGAGCCTTCCGAGATCAATCCACCACACAAACTGGAAGGGTGAACCAAAGACCAAAAATAAAAGTACTTGAGGACTCTCTAAAAACACACCTTAGAAAGAGGTGCTGAAGAATGAAGTACAAAGGAGGAAAGAAAAAACAAATCCTGGTTTATTCCTTTTCTCAGGCAACACCTGAACCAGCTCATTAAACAATAATTTGGGGTGGTTTGCATTTGCTTTAGCAGGGAGTTAATTTGCTCTGCTGAACAGCTTGAATGCAACAATTAAAAGCCCATCTGACTCTGAACTCCAAGATAAAGCTCAGCAGCTTCTGAAAGGCAAATGGAACCCAAAGAATCCAGAAACTACTGAGAGCGAATAATAATAACAATTAAAAAAAAAAAGTGCTGGAGGGTGGGAAAGAAGCACCAAACACAGCAGGATGAGGGGCAGAAAAAAGGAAGAAGTTTTATGTAATAATGACCCAAATTTCCAAAGCGGGAGGTTGCACAGTCTGAAAGAAAACTGAAACCAAACCAGCGACTTACAAAGGGAAAATGTCGCGGCTCAACCTCTGGCACAAAACCACTCGCATCTTTCTAAACTCCAGGTGTTCTCCACGCTCCACAGTCCAACAAAAAGCGCTTCAAAACGCGACACCAAAACACGCAGCTTTGAGCGATCTTTTAAAACAGCAGCGATTCTGAGCCGCGGGATTCCCCCTTCCCACCTGCGCCCCGCCGACATCCCGACGGGAGAAGCCTCCCGAGCGCTGCCCAGAGCCATCTGGGGGTGCCGGGACGCGGCGGTGCCAGGGCCGCGCTGCTCCCGGGCGGTCCGTGTGCCCAGGGCTGTGCAGGTGGATCCCGGCGGGAGGCGCGGAACGGCCCCAACGGCGCCTCCGAGCGCTCCTCGATCCATCCCCCTTCCCACCCAACCTCCGTGCGGGATTTTCCTCCCGCGTCAGCGCTGGGAGGCGGCCGGAGGCTCGCCCAGGCCCCGGCTCGGCGACCTTGAGGGGAATCACCGGGGAAAGCCAACAAAGGGCTCCCGGGGCGGCCACAAAGGCGCCCCCCGAGCCCTCCCGGAGGGCCCGCGGTACCTGCGCAGCTCGGCGGCTCCTCGCCCTGGCCGCGCATCCCGGTGCCGGCGGAGCGGCGGGAAGGCAGGGAAGGGAGGGATGGGGGAAGGAGGGAGGGAGGGAGGGAGGGATGTGGCGGCTCCCCCCGCCCAGCCGCGGGCCCGGGCTCGCCCCTCCCTTCCGCTGCGTGAGGGCCGCGCGGGGCGCGAGCGCCGGCCGGTGCCGCCGCTGCTGCTGCTCACCCTGCGCCGCCTCCGGCTCCTCCTCGTCCTCCTCGTCGCGGCGGGGCGCGGCGGGGCCGTTGGGCGCGCAGCAGAGAGCGCGGGGGGCCGCGCAGGGCCCGCGGGCCGGGCGGCACAGGCGGAGCGGCCCCGCCGCCTGCAGCAGCAGCCCCAGCGCCGCCATCTTGGGCTCGCCGGCGCCCCCGGCCACGGCAGGGCCGCCGCCCCGCAGCGCCCCCTGGCGGGCCGGAGGACCGAGAGCGGCTGAGGGAGAGGCCTCGCGTCCCACAGGGAATGGAGAGGGGAAAAGGACACGGGGAAAGCAGGAGAGAGAAAAGGAGGGGGGGAGGAAGGGGGAAAAGAGAGGGGAAAAGGAGGGGGAAATGAGGGGGAAAAGGAGAGGCAGAAGGAGGTGAGGGAGAGGAAAAAGGAGAAGGAGTGGGGAAGAAGAGGGAGAAGGAAAAGAAGGAGGAGAAGGGAAAAGGAGATGGGAAAGGAGAAGAGGGAGAAAGAGAGGAGGGAAAAGGAGGGGGAGGAAAATGAGGAGAAGAAGGAAAGGAAAAGGAGGAGAAGGAAAAGGAGGGGGAAAGGAGGGTGGAAAAAGTTGGGGAGGAAAAGGAAGGGGAGGAGGAGGAGGAGAGGGGAAAAGGAGAGAGAGAGATGGAAAAGAATTGAGAGGGAGAAGAAGGAGAGGCAGAAGGAGCTGCTGTCCTGCCGTGCCAGGACACGGGAAGGTCACACAGCATTCCCAGGGCTCCTGTGCCAGCACAGCCCCGCGGGAGCGCAGGGACCTGAGGAGAACCCCGCCAACCTGAGGGGAACCGCGCCGGCTGGGGCTCGGAACCAGCACCCTCCCTGCCCTGGCACAGGGAACACACCCCCCATTCCCTGCTCCCAGCACCAGCTCCTGGGACAGGGAACACACACACACACCCCATTCCCTGCTCCCAGCTCCTGGGACAGGGAACACACACCCCCATTCCCTGCTCCCAGCACCAGCTCCTGGGACAGGGAACACACACACACCCCATTCCCTGCTCCCAGCTCCTGGGACAGGGAACACACACCCCCCCCATTCCCTGCTCCCAGCTCCTGGGACAGGGAACACCACATACATCCCATTCCCTGCTCCCAGCACCAGCTCCTGGGACAGGGAACACACACACATCCCATTCCCTGCTCCCAGCACCAGCTTTGGGACAGGGAACACACACACACCCCATTCCCTGCTCCCAGCACCAGCTCTTGGGACAGGGAACACCCACACATCCCATTCCCTGCTCCCAGCACCAGCTCTTGGGACAGGGAACACACACATCCCATTCCCTGCTCCCAGCACCAGCTTTGGGACAGAGAACACACACACACACCCCATTCCCTGCTCCCAGCACTGGCTCCTGCCCTGTTTCACTCTCACACCTTGTCCTCTCCATCCTTCCCTCTCCAGGCAAAGCCGGCTTTGGGAGTGACCTGGGGACATTCAGGAACTCCCCGGGGAGCTGAAACTCCTTTAACTCCTTTGGGGTTTGTTCCCAGCTCCACACCCAACACCCAACACCCTCCCAGAGCAGGAAATCCATGGGCAAGGCACGGGACTGAAAATAACTCATCCTGCAGCCCCATTATTTGCAAATATTTAAGACAAACACCAAAAATCTTAAAATCTTTATAACATTTTAAAACCTTACCAATCTTCAAAAAGGCCTTAAAATCCAAAATCCTCGTAAAATCTTAAACCCTTATAAAAATCTTAAATCTTTATAAAACCGTAAATCTTCATAAAATCTTAGGTCTTAAAAACTTAAATCTTTATAAAGTCTAAAATCTCTAAAGATCTTATAATCTTCATAAAATAAATCAGCACTTCCCCTTCTTCCCAACTTTTCTCTATTCCAAGTTATGATTTGGTTCTACATGAGTTATTTAACATAATTATTATTCATATATAATTCACATATAAATGAATGTAATCAATTCATATATATCAATAATACATATATATCAATAATTATTTCATATAATCATTATTTCCAAGATATAAAATTCTCAAGGCTGTGGAGCTGAAATTCCAACTCTACAGGATTTGTTTATTCAAATCTGAATTATTATTTTAAGCAGTCAATCTGCATAATTTTTATCAGCCCTGGTTGCACCTGGGACAACCATTAAGTTTTGTGTTTCTTTAAACCAAGGTCTCATTTTTGTGTCAAAGACTTTATTATGAGCATTCTGTGTGTCAAGTGAAAATTTACATGAATAGTTGGATGAAAAATGGGGGGGGTTAGGAGGCTTTTTTGTTTGGTTGGTTTTTTTTGTTTATTTTTAAATCAGAAAGAGAAATCTTCAATAAGTCTCAAAAATATTGACTAAGATACTGGCAAAGCTCAGTTCTACAAAGCCCCACAAGAAGAGGTTCAAGAAGAGGAAAGTTATCAAATAAACCCCTCTATTAAAAAAACCCAACTTTGGAGGAGTTGAACGCTCAAAAAATAAAGTGTCACTAAACCAAATTTGCCTTTCCCTGTACTCACACTTTTTAGCACTTCTGCATTAGTTGTGATTTGTCTCTGTAGGTTCTTTTACTTAAAAAAAATTTGAATGAGGAAAAAAAAAACACCAGATTTTGAAACAGCACCAGAATACACAAAAAAATGCATTTTTTGTAAAGACGTGGAGCTATTTTGGCATTTAGAGTACAAATTTTAGGAGCATTGGTCTCCTAAAAAGGGGGAAAATCATTCAAAGCTGATTGTTCATTCAAAAATCACCCATATTACTAAAAAGGGAAACAATTCATTCAATTTAAGAGGATTAATTCCGTGTAAATCTTTTGATAGCACGTTATGCAAACTTATTTTTATTTTTTTACTATTATTTTCACTATTTATTCAGAAATAAACTTAGATGGTTTGGAAACAAAAGCTCCAAGGAGGACTAGAAGGAAAGGGAGGCTGGAAAAATTCCTACATCATCTGGGAAGAGACATCTACTGTGAAACAGCCTAATTTGATGTATTTGCTGGGGGGTTTAGTGTTTCCCACAGCTCCAGGGGAGGCAAATGAACTGTCCAGCAGGGAAGAAATCCGAATTATAACCATGGCTGCAAAGTTGTTTCAAGTCCTGAACATGAGAGAAGGAGCCCGGGAGGGAACAAGAGCCCCCAGGAGATGGTGGGGGAAGCAAAGCCAACAAAACAGATGAATAAAGTCCATGCCTGGGGAAAGTCTTGGAAAAACACAGCCAGTGGGATGGGGAGATCTGGGAGGAGAGGCTGGAAGTCGGTCCCAGTCTGTGGGACACAGCCAGGGGTGAGGGCTGGTGGTTTGTCACAAAAATGATACCAAAATTATCTTGTGAGCACAGAAAGGCACAATTGACGGCTCCATTCATTAAAAAATTCCCGAAGTGGCCCATTCCCAGTATCTTTATTCTGCAGAGAGGAGCGTTAACCAGCAGGGATAATGTCCAGAGCCACCTCCCAGGCTGGGTTGGGGCTGGATGAGCTCCTCCAGCCAGGCCTGTGCAGGACAGAGCTGGTTAACGAGCCCTGGTTCATTAACAACCCCTTCCTCCCAAGGGCTGCAGAATCCCAGTCCCAAGGCCAGCCTGGCCACCACAAAGCACCAGCCCTGGGGGGAAGTCCCCTCTCTCCATGCCCACTCCAGGTCACACTGTCAGGAGGAGGAGCGGGGTTCTATTCCCACACTTCCCACAGCTCCTGCCCTGGCTGTGTTCCAGCCTGGGAGTCTGGGTTCAGATCCAGAGCCCTGTGCCTCGGGAGCAGGGCAGGGCTGGGGCCACAGCAGAGGGAGGAATTCCCTGGGATGGAGGGAGGGATCCCTCTGCCTTGGCCAGAGTGCAGGATTGCATTCCATTCCTTAAACCTTATTTAGGGCCAGGTAACAGAGCTCAGGGAAGGACAACAAATCAAACCAGAAAAGAGTCAGTGACTGGAGGGATTCCTTAGGGAAAAACACGATTGAAGGAAAGGCTGGCAAAGCAATGACAGGGAAAAGGGACATGGAGACCATGTGAGTGCCAATTGTTAAAGAATCAAACCCCAGGGAGAAAGAGCTCCTGGAATTGGTACTAAAGGATACAGGAATGTTTAGGAGAGAAAAATTAAAAGGGAAAAAAAGGCCTTTACTTTGAGGTAAACAGCAAACAAGTGTCCAGTGTCTCCCCTGGATAACACAGGGCTCCTCCCCTTCCCAATTCCCTGCTCCCTGAAATTCTGCCTGTCCCAGCTTTCCTGCCACATTCCCTCCCTGCTGCACTAACCAGGACACAACTGAGCTACCTCCTGTTCCTGATGCAAATTAAGACCCAGGAAAAGCTGTGAGTGGAGCTGAGGTGGTGTCAGGGCTTACCTTTGAGGGAATTCAGCGAGAACATCTCCATCCCAGTGGGAAGGGTGGGTTCCTGGGACAGCAGGAGGGAGCAAGGAGAAACAGCGAGTTAGGATTAATATTTCCTTCAAAAGGATTCAAGTGCTTCTGCTCTGCCTCTGTGGTGACAACGATTTGGGGAGGTTTTAAAGCCATTATCAGGCCAGAACTAAGTAACTATTGCCATTACTCTCCTTTTCAAAGGAAAAAAAAAAACCAACACAGAAAAAAGAGAAGTCCTTTTGATAACCTTCTGTGCTGAAATTGTGTTAAACTTCCTATTTTAATTTCTCATTAAAAGAGCTTTCAGTCAAATAAGAAAAAACCAACCTTTTCTGGTGCTTTATTTTAGGCCAGAGATCAAATACATTGCAGGACCTCTTGGAACAGAGTAACAGGGATTTTCTGACCCCCTTGTAGCAGAAGGTGAGGACTGAGGAGCCTCATTTATACAGAGTGAACAAAGTTTGGAGCTGGCCTTCCATGGTCCTGGGGGGTCCCTCCCAGCTCAGGATATTCTGTGATTCCAAGGACATTAAATCCCTCTGAATGGCTTCCTATACACAATTAGTACCTGCAGTTATCAGTCAAATCCTTCACTTTTGCTTTCAGTAAAACCAACGACAAATTCCTTCAGCAGCAGCAGCAAAAAGGGCTTGAGATGAACCCACCCCCCCCCTTGCTGGACACGACACCCTGGGCAGGAATTCCCCTCCCCACGGACACAGGGAGTGAACCTGCCGTGGCTGCCAAGGCCACTCGTGGGCTCCTCCCAGGACTACAGGAATAAACCCAGAGTGATGTGAGGCTGTAAAAATGAGGGCTGTGGGGGGTACCAGAGCCAACAGCCCCAGTGTCACCGCTGCTGCAGGGACAGGGACAGCCAGAGCTCCTTGGAGGGAGTGGGCGCTCAGCAGTGCAGCCACATCCCGGCAGGAATGCACGTGGAATTGCAGGGAGTGGAGCCTGTGCCCCTTCCACAGGGATCATCCCAGCCTGGGCTGCACCCCCTCAGAGCCAGCGGTGTTTGACATGAGCTGTGTGAGTCCAGTGTTACTCCAGAGGGGAGTAAATCCAGGAACACCCCAAAATCCCTGCAGAGAGAAACCCAGGAGTGGGACCGGGAATGCTGCAGTAAATCCAGGTCATGGAGGCATCAGCCTTGGCCTCCTCCCCAGTTCTTAAGCGTGACCAAAACAGGGGGAGCTGCTTGCCTGGAGAGACAGAGTGTGTCCCAGGGAACACAGGGAAGTTCCTCTCCATCAGCTTCCCGGGAACGCTCCAGGCACAGAAACTGCCAAGTTCCCTGTGGAGCAGGAATGGGGGAGAGGGAGCAAAGAACATCTCACCCACACTGGCACAGGGGGCTCTTCCAAAAATGGCCTTAAGCTGAAGGAGGGCAGGGATAGGTGGGATACTGGGAAGGAATTCCTGGCTGGGAGGGTGGGCAGGCCCTGGCACAGGGTGCCCAGAGAAGCTGTGGCTGCCCCTGGATCCCTGGAAGTGTCCAAGGCCAGGCTGGAGCAACCTGGGACAGTGGAAGAGGGCCCTGCCCATGGCAGGGGGTGGCACTGGATGATCTTAAAGGTCCTTCCAATCCAAATCAGCCTGGGATTCTATGGATAAATGCAGGAGAAAGCTGATGGAAATGGTCTTTTCTGCTCAAGACCAGGGAAATAAAACACTGAAAGCCATCCAGGGATGAGCTTCCAAGACAAACAATGGAGAGCCCCTTGGACAGGCAAGATTCCAACCCAGCTGTTATTTATAATCCTGCCTGGAGATCCCAGCTGAGGCAGCACCTTCACTGGGAACCAGTAAGAGTCAGACTGGGTGGGAGCTGGGCTGGACAAGGGAGGAGAATAAAAGATGGAGAGATGAAACAATTGAGGTCCATGAACAGAATGCCATGGATGAGGGATACCTTTGGAATGACGTGGAGGAATTGGGGACTACAGGCTTGAGCATCCAGTGGGAACAAGGCCCAGCTGGGCTAGGGGAGGTCGGGATAAGGCCCAGCCCAGCCCCTCTGGGTCACTCAGGGCCAGATCTGCTGGATCTGGACTCCAAGGATCTGGACCTGGGAATCACTTCTAGCCCAGCCAGCAGCCTGGGCCAAATCCCAGGGTTTGGTGCTGCAGATCCTGATCCCAAATAAAAAGAAGTGACCAACTGTGGCAGCTGGATCTGCATCCATGGAGACAAGGGGACACAGGAGCAGCAGGGAAAGGGGACACTGGAAGACTCCAAATGTGTTTTGTCCCAGGGCACTGGAGTGGGAAGAAGTGGAACATGATGGCACAGAACAGGCTGGAATGAGAATCCATGGGACCGTGGAGCCTCACACTGGGATAGCACCGGAGTTCCAGGTGGGAAAAGGGACACCAGAAGTTTGTTAGGAAGAGACTCAGTGCTCCTGCTGCAAAGGCAGAGAGTGAAACCAGGGAACGTGGCACGGGAAACTGCTGGATGAAATCCAAAAGGATGGGAATTGGGTCTTTGCTGGGTTTCCTTGACCCGCTGGGAAACAGCTCCATGAGGAAAAACCACCTCCCTGAGAGCAATGCAGTGAGTGGCACAGGAATTCTGATTCCTGCCTGCTGGGATATTCCAGCAGCGCTGGAAGAGGCAGAGCCCCGAGTGCTTTGTGGTGAGAACAAAGGAGAAATCCCGCTGTGTCCCAATCCAGCCCCGAGGACTCCGTGCCCGGGGGTCAGGAGGAGCCAACAGGCCCCTTCAGGATTGATCCCTCTGGACTTTGGGCTACTTGGGCCAAAGGAGCAGCGGGGCTGTGCGGGAAAGCCTCCCTTCCCAACCCTAATCCTGCAGGATCCCCGCTGCTGGCCGGGGGATAACGAGGAGCTGGAGCTGGGACGGGACGCTGGATGCGCCGGGGACCAAAGGGCCGCCCCGGAGCGACAATTCCAGCGACCGCGGGGGGAAACGGAGCCGGGAGCGACAGCGGGACGAGCCAAGGCGGGGACGGGACCGGGAAAGGGCTCGGGGGAGCAGCGGGAGCGAGGCATCCCGGGGAGGGATGGGAACTGCCGGGAAAGCCGCGCTCCCAGGGCCGCTCTCCGGGCCCTCCCCGCCGGCCCCGCGCCCGGGGGGATCCCCGAGCATCCCCCGCCCCCGAGCCTCCCGGGCCCCCGAGCATCCCCGGCATCATCAGGAGCATCCCCGCCCTCGAGCATCCCGGGCGCCCCAGGGCCCTCCCCGTCCCCCGGACACCCTCAGTCCCCGGGCGCCCCGGGGCCCTGGAGCATCCCCGCCCGCGCCGCCCCGCCCGCACAGGCCGCGGCCCCGCACGGCCCTGCCCGCCTCGCCCCGCTCCGCCCGGCGCCATCCCCCACCGCTGCCGCCGCTCCCGCTCCTCCCGCCGCCCCGCGGCCCCCGCGCTGCCCCCGGGGTCCTGGCCCGGCCCGCGGGCCCTGCACCGACCTCCGCACCGCGACTGCCGCCGCCGGCCGCCCTCGGACTACAGCTCCCAGCAACCCCCGCGCCCGCCCCGCCCGGCCTTCCGCCCCGCCCCGGAACCCGCGCCACCCGCGCGCCCCCAACACCCCCCGGCAACGCGGGAAGCCGCGCGTGCGCGCTGGGCGGGGCGTGCCGCCATGGCAACGGCGCGGCCAATGGGAGGCGTGGGATGTTTCCATGGCAACGGCGCGGCCAATGGGAGGCGTGGATGTTCCCATGACAACGGTACGGCCAATGGGAGGCGTGGGATGTTCCCATGGCAACGGCGCGGCCAATGGGAGTCGTGGGTGTTCCCATGGCAACGGCGCGGCCAATGGGCGGAGTGATGTGTTCCCATGGCAACGGCGCGGCCAATGGGCGGTGCGGCCCGAGGGGACGCTACGGGCCCGATCCCGCCTCTGATCCCGATCCCGCTCCCGATCCCGGTGCCGCCCCCGATCCCGGTGCCTAGCTGCAGAAGAGCTGCCGGCGCAGATGCTGCAGCCCCGGGGGCTCCGGCCGGGGAGCTGCCCAGAGCAGCTGCGGCTGCCCCATCCCTGGAAGCGTCCAAGGCCAGGCTGGAGCAACCCGGGCTAGTGGAAGGTGTCCCTGCCCGTGGCAGGGGGTGGACCCCAAGGGAGCTCTTCCTGGCCGATATTAAGGGGAAATGGCTTTATTCCCCATTCCATGAACTAGATGTGGTTATGAAAAGATAAAGAAGCTGTGGAGACTTGGTGCACATCCCTGTGGGTAATTATGTCAGCACCCAACTAACTCCCTAATTGCATCTCAAGTTCACACAAACCCTGAGATTCCGCTCACAGCTCACCGGTTCGTGTTCTCAGCTCTCTCTCGGGGAGCCAGATTTTCTAAACCAACCGTGCAAACTACCCCACACTCTCGAAAGGCACCTCAGGTGAGTGTTAGAGGGGACCATAAATTGGGGAGAAACTAAGGTGAGGTGTGGGTGCCCTGAAGATCCTGTGGTTCTTAAGGCATACAAAATGTGTCTCAGGTCCCACAAGGGAAATCCCCTGACATGGAACCCACCAGGGGAAACCATCTGTGTTCGGGGCCCAGAGCACCCCGGGAGCTCTCTCCAGGCGGTACCGGGGCACCCACGGTGTAATTCGCAAGCCCAGAGCGCTCCCTTGGCAGCACACGAAGGGCACTCACAGCGTTGTTTGCTGTTTCAGGGAGCATCCCGGGGCCGGTCCCCGGGCGGTCCCTGTCCTGTGTGTGTGTCCCCAGACAAGCACTGTCCCTGTGTGTCCCCGGGCGGGCACTGTCCGTGTGTCTGTCCCCGCTCGCCCCGTCCGCCCTGAGGGGACCTGAGGGGGCACCCGCGGGGCCGCCCGGGCGCGCGCGCAGGGGCGGCGGGGATGGGCGGGGCCTGGGGGCGGGGCGGGGCGCACGGGAGCGGCGCGTGCCCGAGCGCGTTCCCGGTCGCGTTCCCGATCGCATTCCCAGTCGCATTCCCGGTCGCATTCCCGATCACGTTCGCCGGCGCATTCCTGGTCGCGTTCTCAATCGCGTTCCCAGTCGTGTTCCTGAGCACAATCCCAGGCGCGTTCCCAGTGCCGTTCCCCAATCCCATTCCCGATCCCATTGCCGAGCATGTTCCTGATCACATTCTCGATCGTATTTTCCATCCCGTTCCCCCATCCCATTGCCGTTCCCCCCACCCCATTCCCGCTCCCCATCCCTCATTGCCGATCCCCCGCTCCCGTTCCGTGCGCGCCCCCGCGGGTGGGCGGGGCGGTGCGCGGCGCATGCGCGGCGCGGGGCGCGCGGGGACAATGGCGGCGGCGGCGCTGGCGGCGGGCGGAGGCCCCGGGAGTGGCCCCGCGGCGGCCCCGGCGGGCGGGCCCGGCCCCGCGCTCGCAGCCGCCCGCCGCAAGGACGGCGGGCCCGCCGGCAAGTTCTGGGAGAGCCCCGACACCGTGTCCCAGCTCGACTCGGTCCGCGTGTGGCTGGGCAAGCACTACAAGAAGGTGCGGCCCGGCGGGGGCGGCGGGGACCAGGCGGGCCGGGACGGGACGGGACGGGACGGGGGGCTCAGGGCCGCGGTGCCGTGTGGGAGGCAGCCCCGGGGCATTCCCCTCGCCCCCGGGGCCGTGTTTGTGTCCCCCGGTACCCCCGGGCCACCCCGGTGCCCGGGGCCGTGACTTTGCTGCGCGGGCAGGTCCCGGCCCCGCTCGGTTTCGCTGCGGCCGCGCCCGGGAGGTGTCGGGGAGCTGGAAAAAGGGAAGGGAAAGCCAACCGAGAGGCCGCTCTCGCCGCTCGCAGCCGCCCCGGAGCCCCGCGTGTGGCGCCGGGCTCCTGTGCGGGAGCGGCACCGCTCGCTCCGCCGCCCTCGGGCTCCTCCTCCTCCCTCGAGCACTCTGAGCGCTGTTCCTTCGCTTTCTTCAAGTGTTTGTTGTGCGTTTTTTTCCCCCGTGTGATGATTTTGTAACTCCATTTCAACCCCCGAGCCTTGGAAACCCACCCGACGTAACTTCCCGGCGTGTTTGCACCGCGATGTGACGATCCCCGAGGAGCCTTGGCTGGATCTGAGGGGATGCTGGGCGGCCCAAAGGTGCCTTAATCTCGGGATTTCCCCGGTTTCGGGGCCGCTCCTCGGCGGGTCCGGTGTGAGCGGCCCCCGGCTGAGCTTTCCCGTGGCTGTGGGCTGGGTTCTTTGTGTGCCCTGAGCTGGAATCCGAGCCGGGAATGTGAGCTGGGCTGGAAGCAGCGCAGGCTCAGGTGTGTTTTTCCGGTCCTTCCAGCTCCTTGCAGCAGCCACAGACGGCCGGAGCTGCAGCCTGAACCCGCAGCTCGAGCTCTTTGTGTGGAGAAGGAACCGGAACGGGAGATTTCGGGAGTTTGGCTCTGGTTTGGAGCTGCTTTGCCGCTGTTCCAGACTGTGCAGGAGCAGCGTTGTTGTGTGTGATTCCCATGACCGAACACCCCCCGGAGCACCGCAGACCTCGGGAACAGCCTCAGCCCTGCTCTGAGGGGGCCCAGCACCTCCCGAGCCCTGGGCTGTGCTGGCTGCGGCCCCAAAGCACCCCCGGGCTGTTCCTGCGTCCTGGCGGGCAGGTCGGGTGTGGGGCGGGAGTGGAGCTTCCCTTGGGTGTGCCAGGGAAAGCTCCTCCGTGAGAAGCGGTTATAAAGCTTAGATCCTCCTTTCTGTCGACCCTGGAAGGTGGTCAGAGTTGGACTGAGGAGAAATCTTTACAAGGCAAGGGATTTCAGGGTTTTGGTGTGAAAATCCTTTTTAAAAATGGAACATAATTTTAGTTGTGGGAAACAAGGCAGCTCGTGCTGCCAGATTTAGCCTTAGTGCTCCGGAGGGAAGCGTTGATTCCTCTCTGGGTCATCTTGTGTCCGTTTTCATCCTGCTGTGGGTGTGTGGCTTTTCCAGGGAGGGACACGATGATTATAAGTGACTTTTGTCCAGTTTATACTCCTAAAAATGGGTGTTTGGGCACCTCTGTGCTGAAACCATCGGTGGGAGTTGGTGTGTCCAGCTCTGGGAGCTCCAGGGGCACTGGGGACCAGTTGGAGAGAATTCCAAGAGCAGCACCAAGCTTGGTCAAGGATTCAGAAGGACAATGGGCAAGGAGAGAGCTGGAGAATTGCAATTACACATCTTCTTGTTCTTGTCTCTGCATTAAATGAGTCGTTAATATTGGAGAGATCTTCGTGTCTCTGGAAAGTAACCAACATTGGAGGGTTCTTTGTGTCTCTAGAGTATAATTAAGAAAGGTTTTAGCAGTAGTGTGGAAGACCACAGTTAACTAGGAATTCTTAGTTCTGAAGTAAACTGGGCAATTACTGTTTATGATATTGCTGCTCATTTATCTCTGATATTGTGTGTTGTTTCGATAGTTCTGTTCTCGTTAGACCACAGATCTCTCCTGTTAAAATGGGTTGTCACCAAGCAGAGTTACTCCTTGCATTTCCAACATCTTTGTAAGTGGTTTGGGAGGTGGTGAGGGGTCAGACCCTGCCCTGGGCCTCCAGCCATGCTCCCGGGGCCGTGCTCGTGTCCGGGGCCGTGCACCGACCCCTGGAGCTCTGGCTGCTCAGTGCCTCGGGAATCCCTGCCCCTCTGGCACAGGGGGCTGCACAAGGGGGTTTTGGGAGGCAGGGGGGAGGGTGTTTGGGTTTTTAAGGAGAGAGTGGGACATTGTGTTTGGGCTCAGTTAGAGGGAATGAGGGTGCGGGCACCATATGGATCCAGGTGCCATCACTCGGAGCTCTGGATGGCGTGGGAGGATCTGGCACCCCCTGGCACTGGCACAGGGGGTTCTCCCCATGTTCATGGAGCTCCTGCTGCTGTGAGGGATTGGGCTGATGCCCCTGGAGTGTGTCTGGTGGGATCCCCTCCCTCCCATCTATTCATAACCCTCAGCGAGGGGGACGAGCTGGTTCCTGGCAGCTGTTGGGAAGTGGCAGCTGTTCCATCTGGGGTGTCTGGTTGGAGCCCACCTGCCTGTTCCCCCTGCCAGGGGCTGAACTGAGGGGATTTGTAGTTCTCTGGGCCTGGCTCTGCTGTCCTTGGCAAGTGTTTCCTCGGTGCCTGGCTCTGGTTTGATCCCAGGGAGGGTTTTGTGTCTCTGCAGCTCCTTTTTGTCCCACCTTTGAAAAGGGAGCAAGGGTTGTAAACCCAAATCAAAGCATTTTCACATGTGTTTTCCTTTCTCTGGTGTTTGGTGCTCTGAGCTGAACTGTTCTTTGTTTGGGGGAAGGAAGGGATTTGGTGCATCGGGGCCGAGCCCAGAGCGCTGAGTGGTTATTTGAGGTCAGTGACCACATCAGAGCTGGCTGAGGGATCTGTCCCTGCCTCGGTGACAAAGCCAGGGCAGCTGCATGGCAGGTCTGGCTGGAGAAGGGATTTCCTCTGCTTAAGGGTATGGGGGGATTTGGGGCTTTCTAATTGTCGTGGAAGTGTTGGAAAACCCTTTGCTGTGTCAGTGGGGCTTTGGCATCTCACAAAAATGGAACGGGGCATCATTCTGTCCTCTGCAATTCACTGCTTAGAAACCTTGAGTTGCTGCAGAATCATTTTCTGCTTCTGTGGAGGTGACTGGAAAACCTGGAGATGTGTTGGGAGTTGGGTCCTCTGTGACCCCTTGAACCCTCTGGGCAAAGATCAGGGACCATCTGCCTCGTGTTGCTCCTGAAGATCCATTTGTGCTGCTCACTTGTGGGCAGAAACGGTGGAGAGGAGTCCTGTGCTTCCTGCTGGGGGGCTTTTCTCCTTGTTGTGTAGGGGAAACCTCAGGCAAAGAATTGGGCTTCCCATAAAAAGGGTGTGCAGGATGGTGGCAAAGGAGGATGAGGAGTTCCTGCTGGTGTCTTCCTTTAGCTTCCAGCCCTTGGTGCCTCCTGCAGGAGGGAAAAATGGGATCCCTGAGTAAAGGAATGAATGCCTGAAAAGAATTCACATATGTTAAAACAGGCTTTGCAAGATGTTTTCTCATGGAATTTTCCTTTTTTTTTTCCTGAAGGAAAATATTTGAAAAAAGTGGAGTAAGTCCATACCAGGATGTCAAACCTTCTGGGTTTGGTTTATTGAAAGAGGTTCAGAGAATCCCAGAATGGTTTGGGTTTGAAGGGACCTTAAGGATCATCCAGTGTAACACCTTCCTCTGTCCCGGGTTGCTCCAGCCTGGCCTGGGACACTTCCAGGGATCCAGGGGCAGCCACAGCTTCTCTGGGCACCCTCTGCCAGGGCCTGCCCACCCTCCCAGCCAGCAGTTCCTCCCCACTATCCCATCTTTCCACGCTCTCTGGCAGTGGGAAGCCATTCCCTGTGTCCTGTCCCTCCAGCCCCTCGTCCAAAGTCCTGTTCATGGCCAGGGCTTGGACTCGGTGATCCCTGTGGATCCCTCCCAACCCAGGATGTTTTGTGTTTCTGACATAATTAAAATGTTAATTCCTGGTGGAGGGAGCAGGGCTAAGGGAAAGGCATTTGGAATTTTAGTGCTCTCTATGGGCTCATGTTTCTGGATGGGGTTTTATACACAGTGTAGGACACCTGGGGAGTCTCACAGATGTTTGTGTCCTCTGAATAGCAAAGGTTTAACTTCTCAGATGTGTCTGTCAGCTCCTTAGAAAGCACTGAAGGAACTCTCATCCCAAGGTGGTCAAATCCTGTAAAAGGACAGTGGAAAAGTCAATGTCTTTGAGGTATCTTTGGCTTAGGAGCTGGTGCTCTGGAAAACCTCGGTTTGACTGGTATTTAAACCCCTGCTCCAAAGTTCTGAGGCTTCTGGCTCTTACAGCTGGTTTGAAAAGGGCTCCAGAAAACCTGATTTGAGGGAAGAGCAAAGGCTCAGAGTTACCCAGGTGAGAGTTTGGGGTGGCTCATATTGCTCCATGTTCTAGGGGGTGTTTGTTCTTCCCTTGGATGTCTCCTGGCACGTGGAGGAGGTGACATCCAGTGAGTGGATACTGCAAACCAGGAGCAACAAAAACCCAGCAGCTGGGTGGGGTTGGCTCATATTTCATGCTGTGATTTCCCCTTTTGCATTTACATTTTATTTACATTTACATTTTATTGGAAGTAGAACCTTGGGAACTGCTCAGATTGTCCTGAAACGTTGCCAGTGGAGGTGTCTGGCCCAGCTTTTCTCCTCTGGTACCACTGGGTGCTCTGAGGATTCCTTAGTGCTTGGTCACAGAAGGAGCTGGGGAAGTTACTGCACAGCTCTGGGTGTGGGGGCAGAGCGAGGCTGTTCCTTTCTTAGGAGCTACAAATGAGCTTGGGGTTAATCTGGGGCTGTGTCAGGAGGAGCTGGGGATGATCCACAGGTAGGTGCTGGATTTTAAGCCTAAAGCTTGGAAAATGCCTGTGCCTGGTGCTGCTTCTGTGCAAACCCCGTCCTTCACCCCCTCCCCAGCCTTACAGGGATCCCAAAATCTTCAAACTCTGCTCTATGACTGCTGAAATAACCTGGGGTGGTGCTAACCAGGCTTCATTTCCCTCCCCCCCAAGTAACCACGTGGTTTTTGTCTTTCAGTACGTTCAGGCAGATGCTCCCACCAACAAAACACTGGCTGGGCTGGTGGTGCAGCTGCTGCAGTTCCAGGAAGATGCCTTTGGAAAACACGTCACCAATCCTGCCTTCACAAAGCTTCCTGTGAGTACTGGGGTTGTCACCTTGCTGTTTTCCCTCTGTGCTGATCCAGGCCTTGGGGAGAGCTGAGGCTTCAGCTGGTGTCCCCCCCTGCAGGGGCTGGAACAGCACACTCCTCAAAAGCAGATTTTCAGTGTAATAATTTGAAATGATTCCTTAGTGCTGTGGGAAGGGTTTTAATTCCCACTAAAATTCGACGCGGTTCGTCAGTTTTAAGTCAAATCTGGACCGGTGCACCCTCAGCCGAGGGAGTAAAATGCTCCTTCCAAAGCAAACAAGCTCCCCCTGGGCATTTCTGTTGATTAAACTCCAAGCTTGTCATGGTGCCAAGGCTGAAAGACGACTTTCCCATGGCCTGGAGTATCATGTCATTAATTACCTCGGATAGTTTTCCAGTCCCTGGGGGGTGTTGGTACCTGGAAACAAAATCAACACGTTGCGAGGGCTGCTCGTTTAAAATTCCAGCTGGAGCCCTGCCCAGCACCACGGGGGACCTTGTCCTGGGCAGTGTGAGGTGCAGAGGGGCTGGAGGGAAGGGGGATCTCAGGGAAGGGCCCAGCTGGTTGATTTACAGAGGCTGGGGGGCTGAGACAACTGGCTATAAATGCCCCCACCGTCGCCTGTCCCCCTGCCCAGAGCCTCAGATGCACAGGTCCCCTGTGCATCTGAGGCTCTGGGCAGGGGGACAGGCGACGGTGGGGGCATTTATAGCCATTTATCCGCTGAAGTTGTCCTGAAAACTGCTGGAAGTGCTCCTGTGTCTGTTGTTGTTCCACGGTGGTTTCTCCCCCAGGTTCTGTGTCGCTCCCTCAGAGAGGGGTGTGGGACTTGGGGGTGTTTTTCAAACTCCCCCGGGGTGAACCTCGAAACAATTCTTGGATTAATTTTGGAAGGAATTGCTGGTTGGGAGGGTGGGCTGCCCCTGGATCCCTGGAAGTGTCCAAGGACAGGTTGGAGCACCCTGGGCTGGTGGAAGGTGTCCCTGCCCGTGGCTGGGGGTGGCACTGGATGATCTTTAAGGTCCCTTCCACCCAACTCATCCTGGCATTCTCTGAGGCTCTTGGTGCTTTGGAGAGCACCCAGAAGCACCACAAGGTGCCACTGAGATCTATCTCACCATCCCTCCTGTAATACCTGACACCTCAGTGATGATAAAAGGCTTCAGGGGCAGAGGGGAGCTCTGTGATGCTTTATTTTTGGTGTGGCAGCATAAGCCATAGAACTGTCATTCAGCACGTGGATACACCACCTGAGTGCTCAGCAGTCCTAAATCAATTTGTCTTATCTTGAAAACGGGCAATAAAGATTGCAGTGGCATCGTAAAGATGCTGTTCCTGTGTTTGTTCTGGCTGTTTCAAAGGTTTCATCTGGTCGAATTTGCTCAGCCCAAGTTTAGAGCAGTTGGATCTCTCAGTTCCTTCCCACTGGGACAACTCCTCAGTGCACCTTCCTGTGTGTTCTTTCCTGGGAAATGCACTGTGCACCCCCAGCTGAGGCTGGCAGGGCCTTTTTTAAACCTCCAGGTAATTTGCTGTGAAATGGGTGTTCAAAGAGCTTGGATTTTTACAGCTCTACAAGGAATATTTTTCAAGCTACTCCTATAAGGAAGGACATGGAGCTTTCAGGTGCATCAAGTTCTGCTTGCAAATACCAAGAGTTCTGCTTCAGCCAAATGCATTTAATCTTCATGAGACACTCTTAAAGGAGAGCCTAAAACTCCAAAAGGGATTAATCTGAAAATTAACTATTCATTTGCTAAGTTAGATATCTAAAACAACCAACAAGTGTGTATTTGTTTAAAATAATTGCCTAAAAGTCACTGTCTCTGTGTTTTCCTTTGTGTTTTTTTTGGGTTCCAGGCAAAGTGCTTCATGGATTTCAAAGCTGGAGGTACATTATGTCACATTCTTGGTGCTGCTTACAAATATAAGAATGAACAGGGCTGGTAAGTTTCTTCTTTGTGATTTACACACCTTTTGCATGAAACCAAGCACACAAACTGCTCATGCCAAGCACCCGACGTTTAATCCCTCCTGGAGACTCGGGGAGGCAGGGACTGGAGATGGGAAGAGGGAATGTTTTGCTGTGTTGCTGATGGTGGCTTTTTTCAGACACACCCCCACGCTTCTAAATTTATAGACACTTGGCCAAGTTTAAGGTCTCGGGCCTGGAGCTGGCTCAAGTCTGAGGCTCTTTTTTTGGCATTTCCTCGCTGTGTGACTGAGAACGTGGACCAGATCCGATGTCTCACATCTGTGAGGTGTAAATCTTTGCTGTGTTGATTGGAGGGGTTAGTTATAATTGGGGAAACGTGAAGCATTGCACAGATTCTAATAAATGCTCAGTTTTCCATCACTTCTCCATCTCCGGGAGTGGGGAATGGAAGCACTTAGAGACTGTGCCCCTGCAGCTCTCGGCACTGGTATCAAATATCCATCCCAGGAGTGTTTTGTCCTGTGTGTTTCTAAGTTAATATCCTCTTTCCAATAGAGCAGTAGCACAGGATCATAAAATCATGGAATGGTTTGGGTTGGAAGGGACCTCAAAGCCCATCCTGTCCCACCCTCTGCCACTGGCAGGGACACCTTCCATAGACCAGGTGGCTCCAAACCCCATCCAATCTGGCCTCAAAATTACTGTATTTGAGAACAATGGAGGGGAGAATGAGGGTGAGAAGTCAATAAATGTAAATAAATAAATTAAACAGAGATTGTTTTTGTATGTGAATCTGATGTTTCTGATCTGTAACAGCATTCCTGGAATCGAGTCTGTGTTGCTGTTACAAGAGCCAGTTAAAAGGCAAAATAAAGTTGTTTTAGGATGGCTGGTTGGTTTTAGGGGTTATTTATACTCATACCAGCTCTGTCTGAGGTGGATGCATCAGGAATAAGCTCTTTTCAGGGATTTTCCTTCTCCAGTTTTGCCATCCCTGGCACACGGCCCCTGTTTGCCTGTGGTGTGTCAGGAGTGTCTTGCTGCCTTCTTTGCCTCTAAACAAAGGAATTAAATGGTTCCCACTTCATGAATATTGAAACATTCCATTTTTCATGTACAAATCTAGTCTTCAGCCACAGAGATTTGCCAGCAAAGCTCAGCCACGTGGTTCCCTCCTCTCTCTTCCCTCCCTTGCTGCCCCCTCACCACTAGCGTGGGTAGTGCCTTGTGTCTGTGCATGTGGGACGTAGAGGGCAGTAATCCTGGAACTTAACTCTGAGGATCAGACCTAGAGCTTGGAATGTGTCCTTCACTGACTCAACCAAATAATACGTGGTGTCTGTGCCTGACATATGATTTTGATTTGATTTTTGAACGGTCTGCATTGTCGCTCTTGCTTAACCTGTTTGTGAATGATCTGTCTTATAGGAGAAGTACCTTTCCTCGCCATAATAGGTATGTCTGCCAGCTGACATACCTTGTCCCTCACTGCAACCCCAGCTGTTTGCTAGGACCTGGCAGAGGGAATCACTTAAACTGAGGACAGGAGGAATTGGTGCTTTTTGATCCCAGTGGGCAGCTAAAAAAGTGCTGTTAATTAACACATCAACTCGCTTCTCTTAAAGTGGGGGCTTGACAAGCAGGAATTTGGGGGCATGTAGAGCGTTCCAGGAGTGCACAGTGCAGGTTTGGAGCAACAGATGTAAAAATTTTTGGTCAGACTTCCGTGCCCTGAGTGGTTTTGTCTCACAGGTACCAAGAGTTCATTGGGTGTTTGGGTCAGTTTGTGTTTATTTGTTTATTTCCCTTCATTTCCATGAAACCATTCCGTGTGTTTTGGATACAAACCGTGGCTGAATAACAGAGAAGTGGCTGGATCTTGGCTCTAAAATCCTTTATTAAGCTGTGCTGTGCAGTGACCTGGCAGCCCTGACGTCTGGTCCTTCTCCTGCGAGTCACTGTGAGCTGCTGCACGTGCACAGCGCTGCTTAAACCGCTCAAATTCCTCTGAAAAGGGCTGGTTCTGATAAATCTGCCAGGATGTTTTGCTCAACCTGCCATGCCCTTGGTGTGAGGGGAAGAGCCCCTGACTTAGGAGAGCACCCTCCCTCCCTGCTGGTGGCTGTTCCCTCAGAGCCCCCTGCGTGGGCAGCTCCCTCCTGGAAGCCCCGAGAGCCTCCAGTGCAGAAGGACGTGGTGCTCTCAGCTGAAGGGCCTTTGTTTAATGCACTGGGGTCTCCTGGCTGTGCTGCCCTGCTGCTAACGGGCTTTGGGGCTGAAAATGTCGCTTTCCTTTACCTGCACTGAATGTTTGTCAACCCTAAAGGTGGATTTGTTGCTGCAAACGGGGGTGTGTTGGTAACAACTGTCAGTGGATGTGGGATAAATGTGTGCTCTAGGCTGGGGTGGGCACTTGGAGCCTGGCAGGCCCCGCATTGGGAGGGTGTGCACGGCTGTTTCACTGGTTAAATGTGCCCAGGGGGTTTTATTTCACCCTGAGGTCCCTCCTGACACCACGTCAGCACCCAGGTGGTGTTTGCAGGCTCCAGCAACACTTTTTCCAAACCCTGGGCGGTGCAGCAGGTCGTGTTTTACGTCTCAGAGTCACCAGCCTGGTGATCTGAACTGATCCTGGTGCCTTGGGAAAGGCTGCATTGTGGAGGGGCAGCCCCAGATCTGTGCTGAGCCCCCTGGGGAGGGCTGACCTTGGTGAGGGTGCTGGGCTTGTCCCACCTCTCACATTCGTGGGAGTCTCCTCTCAAACCCTTCCTCTGAGTCCATTCACCTGTGAATTCCAAACGTGTGCACGGTCCAGGTGGGTACAGAGGATGGACTGGGGGCTCCTCTGGTGCTTCCCAGTAGGAAGTCTCAGATTTTGTGTTATCCCCGCATTTCCCATGGATAAACCTCCACTGTTACTGCAACAATTTTGACTGTTTGTCTGTGAAATAACAAAGTTTGACGTCCCAGAGTCCAGTAAAAGCGATGATAAAATGCTCATGTGGATTATTAGCTCCCTGTGCTCTGGGGGGGGGGATTTGTTCTCACATCAGGCAGAGGAATTACTGCTTTTCCTGCATTCCCAGGACAGGTGGATGGGTGCAGCCAGAAGTAAGAAACGTGAGAGCTCATCCATGACTTTTCTCATGTAGTTGTTGGCACCCCTCATGGTCCCGTGTGTTCAGTGATCCCTTGTGACTCTGGTGGAATGCATGGCCCTGCTCCAGGGCTTTGGTGGACAATGTCAACCTGCCTGGTTGTTTTTTTTTTTTCCCCTGGACATTTCACAAATCAGCTGCATTTTGTTGATTTGGTTCCTCGTGGTTTTTCTTGCTCGTGAGGGGCTGCCAAGTGAAGCAGAAATAGGTGTGGTTGTGCTTTAAGTGTCCTTAACGTCGCTCCACGATGCACTGTTTGTGTGGAACGGGAAGGATTCTTGGCTGCTGAGGGGTGGGGAGTGGAATTGAACATTTTGGAATGCTTTCCCTTCACAGGAGGAGGTTTGACCTGCAGAATCCTTCCCGGATGGACCGGAACGTGGAGATGTTCATGAACATCGAGAAAACACTCGTGCAGGCAAGGAACCCCAAACCCAAATCCCAACAGGATCAGGGCAGGCATTCCCTGGGGCCTTATGGACCTCAGGACCCAGGGAGGAGTTTCATCCTGGACTTCTGTAGGAATATTGGACTCTTCCCTCCTTCTCCCACCTGTTTGAGTCACAATTTCACGTTATCAGTTGAAAAATTCGGATATGCAGAGGGTGAGGAAAACCTGTTGTAAGGTGGGAGAAAACATCCTGGGTGTCCCCATGTTCCTGTGGAAGTGGCACCCTTGGGGCTGAGGAGCTGGTTCTGTACACACCCATTCCATGGTTGAGTCCTGAGACTTTTAGTTGGATCTGAATTTCACTCTTCTCAGATTAGGAAACGTTTTAGAGTCTCACTTTATCAAATGAGTTATTTTCTATATCCATTAAGCAGCTCTGGGGAGTCTAATTGGAAGTTAAATTTTTTTTAACTGCTGCATGTGAATAATATATTACTTTTATTCAAACTCTAAAACCAAGCTCAGGGTACAACAGAGTCAAAACATGACTTTGAGGAGCTCCTCAGGAATGGAAATAGGAGGGAGGGACAGCAAGAAGTGACAATACCTTTGCTGTAAAAACCTCTTGCCATTGTTGTGGTGGTTTCAGTGCATAATAGAGCAAAAAGGAAAATTGCAGGGTTGATTAGTGAGCACCTCAGTGCTGTGGCAATGAGTGACTGCGTGTCAGGGCAGCAGGGCAGGTTCCACATGGGATGTTGACACCAGGAGACTTAAATTTCCTTTGAAGTGAGGTCTTGCACAGCCTGTCAGAACTCTTGACATCAAAGCCATAGTTTGTGTTAGGGGGGTTGTGGAACAGGAGGGGGAACAGCCCCACTGGGTGAAGGTCTGGCAGAGCTCCCAGCAGAGCCACAGGGACCAGACAGAAACCCTGGAGGTCTCTGGTGGGAAGGCAATATGGGGGTTCCTGGAGCTGTGTCACCACCTGATCTGTGCTCCTTTGGAGTTACAAGCCTTGGGGATTTTAATAAAAATATTATGATTGTTGTCACAGATCACCTCCTAATTCCTCATCTGACTTGCTGTTCTCTCCCCCAGAACAACTGTCTGAGCAGACCAACCATCTACCTCATTCCTGACATTGAGCTGAAGCTGGCAAACAAACTGAAGGACATTGTCAAACGTCACCAGGTGAGTGTGGGACGGCAGATCCTGAGCCAGGGGTTCCAGGTCCAACATCTCTGCCCACCCTGAGCACTGAGTTACACCTGGATGTGTCTGATGGCACGAGCACCAGCACCAGGTCACTAAACAGTGCCAGTAGTTTTTATCCTCCAGTGGAGACTAAAACCTGCCTCTGCTCTGAAAGGGAACCTGGACCTGCTGCTGAACTGAAGGGGGGTTCTGGGTGAGGGGGGGCAGCCACAGCTGATTTATTGTTCAGTTCCTGGGAAGAGAGAGCAGGAGCTGGTCCAGACCTGAGCCTGGAGAAGGAATTCTGTCCTAAAGGAGTTCTGTGGTGAACTCCAGGCTTGCTGTATCCAGGAGTGATTTAAGGGTTTTTTGAAGCAGGCAGCTTTGTGTCTAAAGGGGTGTGAAGAGCTGAAGACAGAAATTGTCCCTGGTTCTGCTTTTTGGGCTTTCTTCCTTTGCTCTCATCTTGTTGCCAACTTTGCCTCTCACCATTGTGACTATTTCCATTTATTGAACCCACTGCTGCTGTGTCTCCTGGACTCCACCCCCAGTGCCTGTAACTCCCTCCTCCCTGCCATCCCCAGTGCTTGTTGCAGCCCATGCAGAGTAATTCCATGCCCCTTGTGCCAGCACAGTGCCCTGGGCTCTCTGGGATTACAGGGAGAGGTGTCAGGGAGAGGTTTGTGCTGCTGGAGATGCTGTCACTCTCCCTGGTTTTGTGGGATGTGGGTAAAAAGCAGGAGCCAGGGAGTTTGGGGTGATGTGTTGAGGGTTTCTCACGTGGTTTCTTCTGTCCTTCCACCTTTCCCACAGGGAACAGTAACTGAAGAGAAGTCCAAGGCCACCCACCATGTTTATCCAAGTCCAACCTCACTGGATGACGGTAAAGGTTGCCTCTGTTGGAAGTACTTAAGGTCCAAAAAAGTGATGTAACAGTTACATCCTTCAGCAAACAGCAGAAAATTGCTCTCACTTTTTTAATCTTGACTCCATTTAGTTGCCTGTTGGATCACTGTTGTTGAGTCCGAGCTCCACAGCCATAACCCCCCTTTTTCCATCCTCCCTGGCCTGTGCTGGCCACTAGATGGAAGTGTGTCCTCTGGAGCTGCTCTGTGCTCTCTTCTGGCAACTCCATGCCCAGCCATGGGTTTGTGTTTATCTTTGACCACTTCAGGTTCAGGGAGTCATAAATAGCAGAGGATGGAAAAGTGAAATAATGTGCTTTTAATTCAAACCTGACCCGGATCTCTTTCCTTGGCAGATGAATGGTTGAGACCTGTGATGAAAAAAGACAAGCAGGTGCTGGTACACTGGGGCTTCTTCCCAGACAGGTAAGGAAGGTGGGGGAAGAAAGCAGATCCTGAGTCTGAATTCAGTTTATTGAAGGAAAAGTCCTGATCTCAGTGTCCAAAGCTTGAAAGTAATCATTGATTTACAACTCAAATGTGCCCATCCAGTGGTTGCTCTGGCAGGTGGGGGTGGAAAATTGATTTACAGCTGAAATGTTCACATCCACGGGTGGCACTGGCGGGTGAGGGTGGAAAGGAGAGGGGTTTTCTGCAAAGCCACAAGGAACTGGTTGCAAATTGATCCAGATTTCAAAGGGTGGAATGAGCCTTTCCTCTCAGCCTTAAGGGAGAACTTGTTGGTTGAGCTCTGACAAAGAGGTTTCACTCCATGGGTTGCCTTCAACCAGGTGCAAGTGGCTGACAAAGCTTCCATTTGAGAGAGCTGGTGTTGTTGGAAGTGTTAAAATACAGTGTATGTGCTGTTGGCAGCTTCAGTGTATTTGCAGTAACTGGCTGTGGAAGGTCAATTAAAAGATGGATAACCCAGCACTGACTTTAGTTCAGATAGTTTCTCCAGGCCACCCAAGTCTGCTGTGCACACTCAGAATTCCCAGGAGCCGTATTTCCCACGGGTGTTTCAGTGGAAGAGAACAAACAGCAGTCACACTGAAGTTTTTCTTTGTACAGATGAAGAACCTTTAGATGTTTTTATATTTATATCAGTGGTCGGTTTGGTGTTGATTCTCTGTGTGTGTATTTATAAATAGCAGTGTAAACACGAGGAATTCTGTGTACACATCGTGCCAGGCACATACATGACTTGCCCCAGTTCCTCACTGGGTGCCTGGTGTTGATTGCAAAGTATTTTGGCTTTTGCTCAGTGTAGTAATGGTAAATAGACTTGGGAGGGAATAGCATGTGGAGAAATGAGGGAATAGCGTGTGGAAAAGTGAAAGTCAATAATAAATGGTTTCCAGAAGGAGAGGGTGCAGACTCCTTCCTTCCAGGAATCCAGCAGCTCTTGCTTTGACTCCTAAGGACAGAACAAAGTGAATTAAGTTAATTCCAGGGTTTGGTCAGGGACTCAGAGCTGCCCTGACACACCTGGGTCTCTCCAGATTTGCACCTTTAAACTGGTTCAGGGGATGGGTTTGAAACTCTGATGGGCACAAGATGCCTTGGCCCCCTCCCTCTGCACTGTGTGCTGTTCCTGAGGCACCAGGGATTGTTCCCTGGGGAACAGTCTGCTGTCCCAGCAGTGGGATGTGCCCATGTCACACTGCTGGGTGCCATCCCTGCTGATCCCTGGGAGGAGCAGCCCGGGCACCTCAGGGCGTTGTCTCTTGCCTCTCTCCTCAGCTATGACACCTGGGTTCATGCCAATGAAATAGAGGCTGAAATTGAGGACCCTCCAATTCCTGAGAAGCCATGGAAGGTGAGTGTCCCTCAAGCAGCTCCCAGAATTCCTGCTTTTATTCTGTTCTTGGCCTTACACAGTGCTGTGGGTGTGCTGCTCATCCCCACAGAGTTAGAGCAGCTCAGACCTGAAAATAACTTGGGGTCTGTTCAAACACCACTTACTCCATGTCATAGCTGGTAACTGACTGGAAAACATGCTATTTGAGTATAAATCTGCTATGAATAATAAGAAAGAGTTGTGTAAAATATTAGTAAATCAATAACAAATTGTATAAATTACTCTGAAGCTCAACATTTTTTTTTCAACCAAGTTTTTTCAAGGAGTTTATTAGTTTTTAAGCTAAATTTTATTTGAAAATGGATATTTTAAATCAAGATATGGCCAGTTCTTACTGTTTTTGATGTTTGTGGCACATCTGCTCAGGTGATCTGTGTATTTAGGACATTTTGATGGTAATTTTCAGCATCCAGAGCTGCTGTCCCAACTCTGAGAACTGCCCTCACATTTCAGGAGGCTTAAGAATGGTTGAGGAGCAGAGGTTGCATTCTAGACTTGGTCATGTTCATCCTTGATTGTCCTGCCTTGTGAAATCCTCCTCACTGTGTGTGAAACCATTGGGACATAATTCGGGTGTTCAGACCCTCATGAAGCTCCAAGAATGTCCTTGATCCTGTCAGGACAGGTCTGCCATGGAGTGCTTTGTTCACAAAGCTTCTGCATGTCCCTGTCCTGGGTTCCTCAGGTTCATGCCAAGTGGATTCTGGACACAGATGTGTTCAACGAGTGGATGAATGAGGAGGATTATGAGGTGGATGAGAACAGGAAATCCGTGAGTTTCCGCCAGAGAATCTCCATGAAAAACGAAGAGGTGGGTGGTTGGTTCTCTGTGCTGGGGGACCTGTGCATGCACTGATGGTCTTTGTCTCTGCATGGATGGAGCTGGGGGGGTTCCTGGAGAGGAGAAGGCTCCAGGGAGACCTGAGAGCCCCTTGCAGGGCCTAAAGGGGCTCCAGGAGAGCTGGAGAGGGCCTGGAATCTCTCCTGGTGTGTGCTGGGATATCACTGCTCTAAGCTGCTGCTGTAGGGTGGACTGAGGAAGAGTTGAACCAGCAGGGACTGATGTTTGGGGTGAGCTCAGTGCTTCCCTTCCCCACAGCCCGTGCGCAGTCCAGAGCGGAGGGACAGGAAAGCAGCTGCCAGCACAAGGAAGAGAAAACATTCCCCTTCTCCACCCCCCACTCCTGTGGAGTCCAGGAAGAAGACAGGGAAGAAAGGGTGAGTGTCTGAGTCCTGGAACTGGAGAGGAGTTTCTGAGGAATGCTGGTGGGGAGATCCCTGTGCCCTGCCAGCTCTCCCAGCTGAGGCTGCACTCGTTATGTCTGCAGTGGAATCCAGTGGTTCATCCTGTGCACTGGGAGTGATTCCTTTACTCCTCTGCACAAACGTGCTGGCTGCAGCTGGGGCAGGACCTGGGGCAGGCTGTCCTTTGCCTCTGTCAGGGACAGGGTTTCATGGCAGCTCAAGAGTGGAAATTAAAGGAGAAGTTCCTCAGCTCCTCCTAAAATAACCCCCGCTGGTTGTGTTGGGGCAGTCGTGGGGTACGAGCACAGTTCTTGAGTAACAGCCCCATAAATTCCTGCTTTTCATTAAGGAGATTTTTATTGATGTAGTCAAGTACTTTGAAATCCACTTCTCAAATGTAAACCTTAACAGAGAGACATTTGTGGCTTAAAGGTTAGGGAGTTTATCAGTGGTTTAATTTGATCTCTTAAAAAGAAGAAAATCCCATATTCTACCCAAATAAAAGCTTATTTATGGGGCTTTTTTGTGGGTATGGAGAGGAGCCGTTTTGAGCTAAAAATTCAGGTCTTGTTCATAGACCTGCTGGGCTCTAATAAGACAAAGCTGGAAATTTATCATCCAGGAAAGAATTGAGTGGATAACCTGAATTACTGCTTGTTCCAATGTAAATCCTGAGTTAGATGCTGTAGGGAGAGGTGTGGGTGGTTCTGCCTTGGTTCCCATGGGGATTTCAGGAGGGTTTTAACCCATCCTTTAATCCTGGCATGTGAACAACGTCCAGGTGAGAACATCTGGCAGAGAACTTGTGTGTGCTCTGTTCCAGACAAGCAGCTTTGTACGGGAAAAGGAGGGGGCAGAAAGAAGAGGATGAACAGGAAGATCTTACCAAGGACATGGAGGATCCCACACCAGTCCCCAACATAGAAGAAGTGGTACTTCCCAAAAATGGTAAAATATGCGAACACTGGGTTCTTTGAATGTTACAAAATGGCTTAAACTGCATAAAAAACACACGTATATTTTGTCACATCTTTGAAATACTTTGTGGCTGTGGGGCCAGGTGCTCTGATCCCACCTACATTTGTCTGGTCAGGGATTGACAGCTGGGAAGGGCAGCAGATTCACCTTCTTTTGGCCTTCTAAAGTACGAAAATACATTTACAAGAATCTACTTAAACGTTTCATTTCACTTTTTTTGGATTTGTTTGTCTTTGGGGAGGGGGTGGAGTTTTCTGGATCCAAATAATTTGCTGCCAAGTTCCCAAGAGGAGGATGTTAAATAAGTGGAAACTCTGCAATATGTCAGGTGCTTTGAGCTCCTAATCCTTTGCAGGGAAGGGTTGATCTGGACAATACCTGGTCTGGGCAAGACCTGTTAAATAAAGATAAACCAGAGAAATTATTCCTTCTGCAGTCCTTGACAGCAGAGAGTGTTGGGAGTCGGTCCATTTGGGTGTGCCTGGTCTGAACTGGGATGTGAAGCACTGCTGGGTGTTGAGCAGGTGGAGCAGAGCAGGGTTAGGCCATGGATGGGGGGCTTTGTGTCCAGCTGGGAGTTTGGGGACATCAAAGGGGCCGTTGTGCTCCGAGCCCACACGGGACCGGCTCTGAACTGCAGGGACAGGGCCAGCACTGGGTTTGGGACAGGAGATCTGCTGGCCTGGGCTCCTTCCTCCCCCCTGCTGTTCTCACCAGCTGGTTTTGCTTTGGCAGTGAACCCCAAGAAGGACAGTGAGAACACGCCGGTGAAGGGAGGCACCGTGGCAGACCTGGGTAAAGCACTCACAGCACCCCCAAGTCTTCCAGCCCTGCTCGGAGCCCAGCAGAGTCCAGAGTTTCAAATCTCTCCATTTTAAAAGCAGTCTCTAATTCTACTGTTTCAATGAATTAATTCACTTTTCTCATGTATTCCGGTTGAAATGTGTCAACTCTTTTCTACCTGCAAGGCTGTTCCCACGTAGACTATTTTTATTTTTAATGTGACATATAAGCTCTTTTCTAGCTCTTCTCCTTGTTTTTAGTGGGAATCAAGGTGAATCACAGATTCCCTGAGCTTTGCTAAGCCTTGGCATAAGAGATCCCAACTGGTGTGCCATATCCTGTCACACAGAGCTCCCCTGGGGCACTGGGAAGGGTAGTAATGAAATGGGGATTCTGGAGTGTGGGAGAATCATCATTATCCTTCCTCTGTATTCTTACTGTTCCCTGGGCTGGGAGAGGTGAGTAAGGGTGTCACTGCTTTAGTGATGTGTGATCCACTTTCCTTCCCCCCTCACTTCCCATCCAAAATAATTTAAATATTCTTTCCAGCTAAGCTTTTATGTTGCTGGAGAGGCTCCTAAGCACTCAGATGGTTTTCATTGGTGTGATTGTAAATGTTTTCACCTTTCAGATGAACAGGACGAGGAGACAGTGGCCACTGGGGGAAAGGTAACAGCAGCTCTTTGTTGCTAAACTTCACAGAAATTGGAGATCAGAGAATCCCAGACTGGTTTTGGTGGAAGGGATCTTAAAGCCCACCCAGTGCCACCCCCTGCCATGGGCAGGGACACCTCCCACTGGCCCAGGGTGCTCCAACCTGGCCTTGGACACTTCCAGGGATCCAGGGGCAGCCACAGCTTCTCTGCCCAACCTGTGCCAGGGCCTGCCCACCCTCCCAGCCAGCAATTCCTTCCCAATATCCCATCTCTCCCTGCCCTCTGGCACTGGGAGGCCATTCCCCCTTGGCCTGTCAAGATCTTCATCTCACCTTCCGGAACTGAACCTGTAATAGTTATCGAGTGATGTGTTAGGTTAAGGTAGTTACTGATGGGAATGGTTTTGTTTTTATAAAAATTCTCCAAATGGAGGTACTTGGTATTTTTAAATCTGGTTGTGTGATTACTTTGTCACTTTAAATCTAGCCTATTAAAGGGGACAATGAGGAGACAGATGCCAGCTATTTTCCAAGAAGCATTTTTCAGACCAGGGGCTTCCCAAAGGTTTGGGTTTTAGACTGAATCTAAACCCAGGCTGGGCTCCCTGATCATTTTAATAGAGTTGCAGGAGTAGTTTCTGTATTGAATTACGTTTGTGGCACTATTGTAACAGCTTGCAGTTGTCAGATCACTGGGTGTGTTTAGAGTGATACCTTGTTTTCTTTGGGGGAATTTAATCCCAGGTAAAGGTCTGTTGTTGATACCAAGGTCTCCTTAGGGTCCTGCTTCAGGGACTTGGATATTTTTCATGTTGAGTTACCCACGTGCTCTTCAGACAACCCCTGAGGGTTTCTGTACAGGTGATGTCATGACCTGATCCTCTATTTATACTTCTGTGCCCTTCTCTTGATCATTTTGGGTCAGGAATTGAACGTTTGCTGGAACTGCAGTTGTAGAACCCCAGGTGTTCACAGGAGGCTTCTGCTGTGAAGCAGCAGAGTGACCAAAGACTTGTCCTCCTGGTGGGGATGTCACAGAATCCGCACAGCACTGGAAAGCTCTTGTTTTGGACCAGCTCTGCTGTCCCAGAGTGGTGTGGGATGCCTCTGGCAAGCCCCTGACCGCTGTGTTCCCTCCCTGCTGCAGGAAGATGAAGATCCCAACAAAGGGGATCAGAGTCGCTCCATCGATCCGGGGGAAGACAATGTCACAGAGCAAACCAACCACATCATCATCCCCAGCTATGCATCCTGGTTTGACTACAACTGGTAAGGGCACTTGGGAACTGGGGGGAAACTTCAAATTTTGGATGTTTGGTGGTTTTTTTTTTTTCATAAATCAAACCAAGAGTTTGAAGAAACAACTGTTGGTTAAGTCTGGTTCCCTTGTTTGGGGGCAGCTTTTCCATCTTTCTGAGCTGACTTCTGACTGTTTTCAGGGATTGGGAATGAGGAAGAGAATTTCAAACAGCAGGGACCTTCAGTCTGCCTTCTCAGCAGTTCTTGCTTTACACTGATTTCCCCCCAGTGTGGGAGATAATTCCATTCTCTTCCCTGCTCCTCTAGTCCTTGTGTGATCTTCCTATGTTTGTATCTCCTTCTGAAAGCCAGCGCCTTTTGGGTTTGCTTCAGAACTTGCCTGTGAGGATAAATCATTGGCTGTACAGGGAGGATACTGTTTCAGCTTGGAATCCTCCTTGGAATCAGGGATTTGGGGGGGTGGTGCCCACACAACTGGCTGGAGTAACCCTGGTGTTCTCTGTACTCAAACCTTTGTGGTGTGGGAGGAGCAGTGAGGGATGGGGAAAGTCAGTCCCTCTGGAAGTTGAACTCCTTGGTAGCACTCTTTTAAAACCAAAAGTGCCTTGGAAGCACAGCAAGGAATAACCATTTGTCTGGAAGGCTCTCCCGAGCACCCACTTTATCTTGGTTCTGGAACTCTAGACTGGAGTCTAAAAAGGTGTGCTGTGACACTGGAGTGTTGGGACTCATGTGCAACTTCAGCAAGGGGGTGACTTGTCCCAGCAGTGAATTCAGGTGGGCTGGGAGCTGTTGGTGTAGGGGTTGGATCAATTCCCAGCTCTGGCAAGCTCTGTTCCCTTGGATCAGCGGCTTAAACAGAACCATCCAAAATCAAATTTCCAGAGCACCGGGGTTTCTAAAAAATAATGACCATAAAATAACCCTTGTTATGAGTGTTCTCCCTCCCAGGTGCTTTGGAGTGAGCAGGGCACTGCAGGTGGCCGTGCCTGCCCTCTGAGCTGGGTGTTCTTGTTGCAGCATCCACGTGATCGAGCGCCGGGCGCTCCCGGAATTCTTCAACGGGAAGAACAAGTCCAAGACTCCAGAGATGTAAGTAAAGCCTGTGAATGGGGATGGTGGGAGTGGGGCTTCCCATCCCATGGATCCTGTGGACACTCCAGCTGGGAGGGTGTTTAGCTGATGTTTTCTGTAGAGCACGAAAGGAAGAGCTGCTGATCATGTGTGCACAGTGTTGGAGCAGAGGGAAATGTTTAAATATCAAAGAAATAATTAATAGTGGTTACCCAGGAAAAATAAAACTGATATCTCCCCAAGTAATATTGAACAAATTCTTGACCTTTGTGGCACAAATGTGATCACCTTCCAAAGCCATCTCAAAATGTCATGATAGGGCAGGAGCTGAAGAATCCTCCTGGGTTCTCCCTCTCTCCTCACGCCACGCTGTGGTGTGGAGGCTCAGGAGTTGTGTGTGTGAGCACTGAGTGTGTTTTGGGTGCTGTGTCAGGCTGTGGAGTGGATTTTCCACGGCTTTCCATGGTAATTTCAGTTCCCTGAGCAGCTGATGGGTAACGGTGAAGTGCAGGTGAGGGTCAGGAAATGAATCTTCACAGGCCTTGGATGTGACTGTTCTCAAGTATCAGTCTGGTTTCAGTCACAGGGTTGTGCACTGCAAGAGGGCAGATATTTTTTTCCTCTCCAGCTGTTCCAACCTCTGGTGACACTTCAGTTCTGGCCATACCTGTTCAATCCAGGTGGATTTAGATCCAGTTTGTACTTGTCTCATCTGCCTGTGGGATCTGGTTACTGCAGAGCTTGAGTGTTCTTAATTCAAAATGACCCACACAGAGCTGTTTAAACAGCTGCAACATCTCCCTGGAGCTGTTTAAAATAATAATTAAAATAAAGCTGATTATTGTGAGGTATTGCAGGTTTTGTCACACATCACATGATTACATTTCTGCTCTGCCTTAGCTGGTAACAGGATCAGCTGCTGATTTTGCCTCAAATGCTTGAGAATCCTCTGCAAAGGTTTTTCTGTGCATTGGGAAAGTTCATCTTTCCTCTGAAAATGTTCTAACAGTAAATTTCATTATTCAGGGCCATCTTGAAAGGTGATCTCTAAGGGAAGATGGTCAGGCAGGCTTTTGAACACTGCTTGTTTCTATTTAAATGATCCTAAAACCTGAGATTTCACACCAAAAAATAACGAATTTTTACAGCAGTGTGTGCTGGTCCACTTGGGCAGTGGGACTGGGCTGGTTGTGTTCACTTTGTCTTGGTATGGAATCTTGGCCAGTTGCAGAGCAGCTTTTGGGGATTTTAAAAGGTTTTCTTCCAATCAGCTACTGAATGAAATGTTTGAGGTGTCTCATTGTCTGAGAGTCAGCTGAGCCCTGAATTCTTCATACACAGCATTTCATCCAACCCTGGGATGGTTTGGGTTGGAAGGACCTTAAAGCCCATTCAGCTCCACCCCCTGCCATGGGCAGGGACACCTTCCACCAGCCCAGGGTGCTCCAACCTGGCCTGGGACACTCCCAGGGATCCAGGGGCAGCCACAGCTGCTCTGGGCAACCTGTGCCAGGACCTGCCCACCCTCCCAGCCAGCAATTCCTTCCCAATATCCCATCTCTCCCTGCCCTCTGGCAGTGGGAAGCCATTCCCTGTGTCCTGTCCCTCCATGCCGTGTCCCCAGTCCCTCTCCAGCTCTCCTGGAGCCCCTTTAGGCCCTGCAAGGGGCTCTCAGGTGTCCCTGGCTCCTTCTCTTCTCCAGGGGAACCCCCACAGCTCTCCCAGCCTGGGCAGGAGAGTTCCTGCAGAGCCTGTTGTTGTGCTGGAATTCCTGTCTCAGGTATCACTGTTGGTTTGTGAGGCTTCTGGTCTGACATTGAGACAGAAATCAGAAACTGAGCTTTTTCTTCAGGGATCTGCTGTGTTTTCCCTCTGCCCAGGAGGTCCCTGGGCAGGCACAGCCAGGCCCCTCCTGAGCTGTGTGGCAGGAGGAAAACAAGTCAAACACAGCAAGTTCCATTTGGATAAAAGGGAAACTTTTAACTCTGAAGAAGATGAAGCACCAGGATGGGGCCCTGGGAAGTTGGGATTGTTCCTCCTTGGAGTCCTACCGGGCCTTACTGGACAAAGCCCTAGGAAACCTGGTCAAAATTCATGGTTTGAGTAGGAGGCTGGATTAGAGACCTCCTGAGGTCCCTGCAGCCCTGGAATTTGCAGTCTATAGTCTTTCCTCTGCCTGTCTGAGTTCCAGAGGTAACTACAGCTGCATTGTGGAATTCCAGAGTGGTCTGTGTTGGAAGGGACCTTCAAGATAATCTCGTTCCAACCCCCTGCCATCCCAAAATGTATTTGTTCTGGAGTGTATTTGCTGACACTGCTCCATCAGCTTCACTGTTCAGCAGGTTGTTGTTGGGGGTTTCCAGGACTCTGTGTCTAAGGCAGGTGAAGGAATGCTGATCCCTCTCTCTGTTGCCCACCAGTGGGGTTGTCACATGTGCTCTCAGGACTCCTCTCTCACTTGGCATCAGAACATCAGGTCTGCTGATGCTCCTCCCTGAGCTGCTTGTGGTTGTTGCCTGTGAGTGGAGCGGGTCAGGGGCTCCTCCCAGTCCTCCTGTTGTCCTGGAGATCTATTTTGGGGCCGTGGAGGGGTTGTAGGAGCAGCACATGGGCTCTGCTCTGTGTTTCCTTTTTGAATCAGGGAGTGCCATCCCTGTGAGTGGAGATGATTTGCCTCCAGCTGAATGTTCAGGCCAAAACACCGTGTTTGGGAGCTCACCCCAGTTCACTGTTGTGACAGCAGTGCCTGGGGGTGGGTCCTGTCTGAAAAGGCATTGTAACTAAATCCCACTTGACTTCCCCTCACCCTGTTGACAGGTTTTAGCTCATGGGTCGTGTCGTGGTTGAAAACCATCTCCCTTCAGGATAAAACCTTGGGACGTTTCTGTCTTGGGCTTCTCTCTGCACCTCTTGATGTGACCTTTGCTAATAAATATTAATTTCTGGGGCCGAGACCTGTTCCTGGGCAGGTGGGAACCCAGTTCTGCCCTGGAGCATTCAGCAATGTGCCTCAGTGTTCCTCTGGGGAAGAAACTCCCCTTCATTTGTGGCCTCCTGAACGTCCCCAAGGAGCCCAGCACCTACTCCAGCAAGTTGCTCCTGGCCAACTTCGTGTAGAATTGGCTCAGGAGGGAGATGTGGGGTTTTGGCAGGGATCTGTGCTTCCAGCATCTGTCTCCTTATGCTTTGCCTGGATGATTTATTTATATTTTTGGTTACCAGCTGCTTTGCACACACTGCATGTGAGACATTCCCTCTGGAATTTTCCAAAGGCAGAGATCTGCTTACAATACACTGCTTTAAAACACAGCTTTTTGCAGGATACTCACTTCACAGAATCCCAGCATGGTTTGGGTGGGAAGGGACTTAAAGACCCCCAGATTCCACCCCCCTGCCATGGGCAGGGACATGTTCCAGCAGACCAGGTTGCTCCAAGCCCCGTCCAACCTGGGTGATTCCAACTTGAATTTGGCAGATTGGTTTTTCCCCTCTAAAGGACAGGGCTATCAATAATTTTCTGGGAGGTTATTTTCTGGACAGTTTTTATTAGGAAGCATCAGGATATTGCAGAAACTTCCTGAGGAGCCTCTGAGGCCACAGTGCAGGGAACGGGCTGAACCCCAAAACCTGCTTCCTTGGCCTGTCGTGCACTGAAATATGGGAATCTCACAGGGATTGTTTCTGCTCCAGCTGCTCCCAGCTGTGCTGGCTCTGGGCTCTTATCCTCTGCTCTTCAAAGATCTGTTCTTTCCCCACGTTGCTGTTCTCCAGCCTTTCCTCCCTCATCTCTTATCTGTTAAAACCTCCCCATGTAGCCACAGCAGTGTTCCAACCACTGTGCTGCTGCTGCTGCTGCTGCTGCTGCTGCTTTTCTGGGCAGCCTCTTTCCTTCCAACCTCACACGGGGATGGACAAGGATTATTTACCCTGTTTCCATGGGAAGACCAAACCCCACTAGTTTTTTCTGCAGTTCCTACTGTTGTGTGAATATTTGGTTGATGCCCAGCCTGACACAGATGTTTGTGTGACTGCAACTGGAGCGTGTTTCCATCCAACCACAGGGAAAATCCAGAGTGAAGCCGTCTGGAAGAGATGGGTCATATAAAAATAACTCCCCTTACCCTGTTGCTTGGGATGCTGATTCCTAAATTTCACCAACAAAAACGATCTGTTGGTGTTTCCTTGTCAGTAACACGAGTGTTTGGAGAGGGTGAATCCTAAAGTAGGCACTGTGGGTGTTGTTAACCCTCGGTGGCTGTGAGCACCATGCCCCTCGTGCTGCAGAGCCCTGGCCCTGCCTGTGTGCCCCCTGTGTTGCAGATACCTGGCCTACAGGAACTTCATGATCGACACGTACCGGCTGAACCCGCAGGAGTACCTGACGAGCACGGCGTGCCGCAGGAACCTCACCGGGGACGTGTGTGCCGTCATGAGGTGACACCCGGCACCGGGGCACGGGGCCCGGGGCCTTGGGCGAGGCTTCAGCTGTGAAGCTTCGATTTGCCCCTCTTTTTGGCAGGGTCCACGCCTTCCTGGAGCAGTGGGGCCTCATTAACTACCAGGTGGACCCCGAGAGCCGCCCCATGGCCATGGGGCCGCCCCCCACCCCTCACTTCAACGTGCTGGCCGACACCCCCTCGGGGCTGATGCCCCTGCACATCCGCACTCCTCAGGTGAGTCCTGCGGGGCTGCCTTTGCTGGGCTCTCTCCAGGGCCGTGGAACACGTCAGCAGAGCCATCTGTGCCCAGCTTGGTGAAATGTTCCCTCCTTTGTCCAGCTGGGTCGAGCCTTTCAGGTAGTTTTACAAAAACGCTCGCCCCCATTGCTCAGAGATTTGGTTTACAGTCACCTCCGGGGACTTGTGTTCAGCTTCTCTGTTGGACGTTGGTCTGAAGACCTTGAGAAACTTAGAGTTCTTGCCCCTCTCAACTTTCCCTCGTGATGTTTTCCCAGGTTCCAGCTGCTCAGCAGATGTTGAGTTTTCCTGAGAAGAACAAGGAGAAGCCAACTGACCTGCAGAACTTTGGGCTTCGCACAGACATCTACTCAAAGAAGACTTTAGCCAAGGCAGGTGTTGGGATCTCTTTCCCCTCAACCTTCTATTGAGCTTTATTGCTCAGGTGTGCCCAGCTGGGTGACATTGGGGTGACTTTTGTTACTCTCACACTCCTGGTTTAGATTTCTTCCATAGTGCAGGACACTGAGGTGAGTGAGTGTGTTGGAATTCTGATTTTGTAGACATAAAGACACATATCAATTCCCATTCCCCTGTCAGCCTTCAGACCCCAGACTCACTGTGTTCCTGCCTGTTCCTCCTGAGTGGTTCAGAATCAGCAAACCATCCAGTAATTCAGGCCAGGAGCTGGATCTTTAACTGTCCTGTTTTCCAAGTCTGAGCAGGGGTTTCCAGCCTGAGAGAACAAAAGGTGTCCCCAAACCACTGCAGGTGACGTTCTGTCACTGTCATTGCACTGTGTTGCACGGGGTAATTAGAACTGAGACATCATTGCAATGATGTGATGATTCCATAACCTCCTGCCTCTCTCCTGCTCCCAATACCTGTGTGTGCCTGGAGGTGCTGCAGGAATCCCATGTTACCATAACATTTTGGAGTTTGGGAATCTCCAGAGTTTTTTGGGCTCACATCGGGTTTAATTCTGTGTAATTAGCCCACTGTGCTAAGAGGTCACTATTGAAACCAAAGAAATAACTATTAATACACTATTATTTTACTATTTACATACTATTTATCCCTTCAGGGAACGATTTCAAAACCCCACAAACCCAAAACAGTACTTCTAGAGATCAGTATTTTTTATAAAGCCTCATTCCATCTCACATTTCACAGACTGATTTTTCACTTGTTATAGGGAGTGTAAATATTCTCCAGATCTATAAATCCCTTCCTGGTTCTGGACTCTTTACAGGATCTGTACCAGTGAGCTGGAGCAGATTTCTTGGCAGATACTGATTTCCCTGTTTGGTTTCTGTGTGACTGTTGGGTTTTTGGCTCTTAAATCAGCCTGTTGGGGAGCTGATCAGCTGCTGAGTGATGATTAATGTTCTGTTTGGGTTAATGATGTGTCTGAAACGCATCTTGAGATAATATTTATTCCCCTGAATACCCATTTCCTTTGCTGTGCTCTGGCACAGAGCCACCCAATGATGTTCTTCAGGAGCAGGTGACAAGCTGCTCTTGTCCTTTTTGACACGTGATGGGTCAGGGTGTCACAGGAGGGGAAGCTTCACCCTGAATTTTGTGATTTCATTTTTTTGTTTAACTAATCCCAGCAGTTAATGAGGTATAGATTTGGGAGCAGCAACCCTTGGAGCAAGTGATTGCTGGAGTGCAAATGATCTTGCTGTAATTACTTTTTCCTTCTCACACAGCTCATTTCACTTGTAAAGATTTATCATTTCTTTACTGATGAACTTACAGATAAATGAACTTATTTTTTACTGAGTTACTGATGAACTTTCTAAACAGATGAACTTATTTTGGACCAGCACACACCACACACAGCCCACTGCCTTCAGCATTTAAGGGTTTATCATTTAGGAAAATCCTCTTTTCTCTTTTTCTCTTCAATGTTTTCTTCTAAAAGGTTTTGTACAAAAACTCTTGTGTTTCACTTCTGTTTTTCTGCTGGTTTTTGTAGAGTAAAGGTGCAAGTGCTGGGAGAGAATGGACAGAGCAGGAGACGCTGCTGCTCTTGGAAGTAAGTTCAGGAGGGCAAAACCCAGGGGTGGGAAACCAAACCATGCAGGATATCGGGCTTTAAAAACCTGCCTGTGGCTCCTGCCCCTGGGAGGGGAGGCCCTTTGGGAGCACTTTGACCCCACACGTCTCCTGGGTGCTTCTGCCGTGGAGCTGCACTGGGGGGGGTTCTTTGCTCTTCTCCTGGGGGTCTCCAAGGAATATCCCTGAGATGGCTCCAGCCAGGTGCTGCAAAACGAGCTCAAAGAGCTGCTGCAGGACTTTGTCCCCGGGTCGCTTCACCTGATGCTCTGAAGCACGTGGTGATTGTCGGATGTGCTGGAATTCCAGTCGGGAATGGAAACCCTCCCCCTGCAGAGGCTGCTCTGGTGTCCCACACGGACAGCAGGGCACAGTTGTTTTTCTGGGCTTCATCAGAAGAGGAGTCTCAGTGGCCTGAAATAATTTAAAGTGCTGCCACTTCCTGTAAAGAGAAATCATCTCTCCAGCTTGGCTATTCCAGGGACGTTCTCGTGATGCAGCGGCTGCATGGCTGATTTATTTCCCTTTATGTAATTCAGGGTTCTAAGAATTCCAGTTTTGGGTTCTGTTTTTGTTTGTTTCTACTTGGGGAGCTTAAAGCAGATTGCAGTTGCCTGATTGTTCCAGCCTTTTGTCTCCCCATGTGTCAATAAACCCACTGAAAAGTTCATTTGTTAGGGAAAAGCCTGGAGAAGGGACCTGGGTAGTGCTGAACAACACTCAGCTCCTGTGATTTAGCCCTCACAGATATGGGGTATGGTCACCAAACAGCAAAAACTTCTATTTTTTTCTATTTATTTTACGTTGATATTCACTGTTTAGCCAACATTTTCCTATAGGCACATGGAAAAAAATTTGCTTATAGGGTGTAAACAACTCAGATGTTTTCCATGGCGTTCTTGGAGGGAGAAACAAGGCTGATGTCTTGATATACTGGCTGCTTTCCTCTATTATTTATTTAAATTCATTATTTAAATTAATACTATTAATAGTGTTATTATTTGAAATTCAGTGGTTTGTACATTTGTAGCTTCTGGTCAGACACAGCAAGTTGTAGCCTAATGAAATAATCCAGTGACATATTTGTTTAAAACAAAAGAAAAAAAACAAACACACAAATCTTGAGATTGCAATTTGATTTAATGAGTTTAAATTAATAATATTTTTATTGCTGATTTTTCCCAGGTTTGCCCTCTGAATAAATCAGTGCAGAGTATATCAGTTCAAGCATAAGTAATTGGGCTGTAACAAGCCAGCTCAGTCCAATTAGATCCTCAGGGCAGCTTTGGGCAAACAGGGATGCAGCAGAGTTCCAAATAATAAATTATCTCTAAGATAATTATTGTCCCTCTGCCTGTTGACTGAATTAACGGGGGAGGGAAGCGTCTCCCTCCCTGAATCCTCCCCTGCCCCAGCCCCTCTGTCTCCACAGGGCACTGTGAGTGCCTTCCCAGCTGTTCTCAGGAAGGATGGTGACTGGGAGAGGGTTTGTCTGGCAGGAGGATGAAGCAGGGAAGGAGGAGCAGAGACCAAACCCAGGGGGTCTGGAGAAGCAGAGCTGCTCTCACGTGCAGTGTGGGCACAGCCAGGAAGGGAGTGAGGGAAAGGGAGAGGAAGGCTGGGCAGTGGGTAAAGACCTCCCTTGAACGTGACTTACTGAACTGAGCAGTTTCTTGTTTATTAAACTCATTACTCTTTGTTGTTCTTTATTATTCTCATTCTTAAACCCCTGGAAGATCAGGGGGGAGGGCAGGAGAAGGGTTCAGCAGGGGTTGGGAATGGGGATTCCTGTGGGAGGACCAACCTGTCCAGTGCAGTCCATCCGTTCATTCCCAAACTCAGATTATCTCAGAAATGTAGAAATTAATGGCTCAGGATAACTCAGTTTATGTCATACAAATGCTTCACTAAAACAGTTTTCAGGGGGAAAAAATGTTTGTTAAGGGATAGTAATTTATTAGGCCCCCACTTGGAGGGTTTTACAGGACTAATTCATTGGTTTTTCATAAACTAATGCAGGGCCTTCAGAAGCTCTTTGCTATTAAATTATTTTAAGACTTTTCTACAGTTTAAAAGTGACTGAAATTCTGAATCACAAAATCTTTGATTTGATGTAGAAGTTCTTATTTTGTGAAGTGCTTATCCACCCAGTGAGGACTTGTTACAGAGATCACACTGGTGAGCAGTTCCTGGAGAACGGGTCTCTCCTGCCTTCAGGATGGGGGATATTTTTCCCTCTTTTCTCCTGGTGTATTGCTTTGATGCTGTTCCACTTCTGTAACATCTGTTGGATCTAAAAACTGTATTTCACCATCCCAGCCAGTGCTTATGTGGGATGTAAATCCTGTCCCTGCCCCAGAGAGCTTTGTGTGTTCAGTGGGAGAACACAGGAGCCCTCGGGGAGGAGTGGTGGGAACTGAGGAATTCTGAGACGTGGCAGGACAAGCAAAATTCTCTGTGAAAGCAAATGGGGAAACACCAACTGTGTGAATGTTGGTAAATCCCAAATCTTCTGAGGATTCTCTTTGATACAGTAAGAGCATCAACTGATGTGATGGTCCCTGGGGCTTAAATATCACTGATATCCCGGGAGATGCTCACATTTCTCATGCAGATCATTTTGCTACCAGGAAAAATGGGATTTTTATTAGTTGTGTGATCCTGGTTTATTGTTCCATTACCACCTAACCCAGTGCTGCAGATCTCTTTGCCTCGAGCAGGGCTGTTTTCCCCCGAGCAGCTGGTGTGCAGACAGCCCCTGCTTGCCTTTTGCAGGCCCTGGAGATGTACAAGGACGACTGGAACAAGGTGTCGGAGCACGTGGGGAGCCGCACGCAGGACGAGTGCATCCTGCACTTCCTGCGCCTGCCCATCGAGGACCCCTACCTGGAGAACTCGGACGCGTCCCTGGGCCCCCTGGCCTACCAGCCCGTGCCCTTCAGCCAGTCGGGCAACCCCGTGATGAGCACGGTGGCCTTCCTGGCCTCGGTGGTGGATCCGCGCGTGGCCTCGGCCGCCGCCAAGGCCGCCCTGGGTACGGCTGGGCTCCCTCTGCTCCCAAAACCGGGGGCTTGGGCTTCCTAGTGGTGAATTTGGGTTTGCAGCTCGTGTAGGAGATGGGGGTGTGGTTCCCAGGGCTGGGTGGTGTTCCCTGAAGTGGCCCATGGGCAGGCAGGTTGCCCTGGAGAGGCACACGTGGGGTGTGGTGTTCGGGTCTGGGCTCCTCAGTACGAGCCGAGCCACTGGAGAGGGTCCAGGAGGGCCATGAGGATGATGAGGGGTCTGGAGAGTGGCTCTGATGAGCAGAGACTGCACGAGCTGGGCCTGGCTAGTCTGAAAAAGAGCAAAAGGGGATCCTGCCGTGGGCAGGGACACCTTCCACCAGTAGATTCGAGCGTTGAGTGCACGTTAGGTGTGTCCACTTGATGAGGTAGTTCTTTTCACTTTTTCCTTGTTCTTCCACTTAAAACACAATTTTATGTAATTGGGAAGAAATTCTCTTCTACCACGTTGAAAAGACAAAACCACTTGTTTTATAATTTAGAAGAAAGTCTTTTTTACGACATCAGAGAGACAAACCCACCTACCTCATGTGAAAAGAAGGACCATTACGTATTTGAGAACCCACTTTGCCTCAGGATTTACCTGCAGATTCACTGGAGAAAATACAACTTTCAATTTGCCAAAAGAACCCCAGAATGTAACGCTTTCTGTGTTTTCACAGAGGAGTTCTCCCGGGTCAGAGAGGAGGTGCCTCTGGAGCTGGTGGAAGCTCATGTGAAGAAAGTGCAGGAGGCAGCACGAGCCTCTGGGAAGGTGGATCCGACCTACGGGCTGGAGAGCAGCTGCATCGCCGGGACGGGCCCGGACGAGCCGGAGAAGATGGGTGAGTCATCCACCTGCTGCAGGAACCCTGCAGATGAGGTGCCTTGGGCTGTGCTCCTGACTCAGAATAAACCTGAAGTTCACCTCCAGCAGGAGGTGAAAGTTGTGGGTGAGGAGAGGGGGGACGGGTCACTTCAGTTCTCACTGCAGGATTAGCTCTTGGCACTGAACTGATGAATTCAGAACCAGCTGCAGTGTCAGGAGTTTGTTTTCCTGCTCTCACACATGGAAATGCCACTGCTTGGGTTGCACAGTGACCAAAAACACCAGAGCAGAACATTCCAGTTTGTTCTGTGGATGTGGGAGCAGCTGGAGGATGCTGTCTGTGGAGGGTTAACATAGAATCATAGAATAGATTGGGTTGGAAAAGACCTCCAAGATCATCAAGTCCAACCCCTGATCCAACTCCAATTACTATATCATGGCACTAAGGGCCATGTCCAATCTCTTTTTAAAAACCTCCAGGGATGGTGAATCCACCACCTCTCTGGGCAGGCCGTTCCAATGCCTGATCACCCTCCCTGTAAAGAATTTCTTCCTAACATCTAACCTAAACCTCCCCTGGCAGAGCTTGAGCCCATGTCCCCTTGTCCTGTTGTTGGTTGCCTGGGAGAAGAGACCAACCCCCACCTGGCTATAACCTCCCTTCAGGTAGTTGAAGAGAGTGATGAGGTCACCTCTAAGCCTTCTCTTCTCCAGACGAAAACATAAAGCACACTGAGGGGGTTTGGCAGTCAGTTCTGAGGTGAATCTGGCACTCTGAGTGTGTTGCTCACTGTGGTGGCAGCAGCAGAGGAGTTTTTGCTGGGCTGGCACACGACACCCCCAGTCCTGACCCTGGTGAGGGTTACACTGCTGTAACTCTGCATTACTGGTGTGCAGTAACAAGCTCTGCTTTCAGAGCTCGGTGTCAGGTGAGCCCAGTTCTGTTGTGGTCAGCAAATATTCTGCTGTTAAGCCTCTTCTCTGAAACCTTGGGAGCTGTAAATTGGTTCTTGTTTGCTGTGGAGTGTAACAGCATCTGGTGGCAGCTCCCTCTGAGGTGACAGCCGTGTGTAAGCCGTGTTTCAGCCCCGTGGCTGTGCCCCAGCAGGGTGAGAACAGCTGAGGAGACTCTGTTCACTCTGTACCCACGGCTGTCTCGGGCTTCACCCTGCTCATCTCGCTGCAGACCCACCATCTTGGCAGTGTTATTTTTCTCTCAGCACTGTTGGCTCCTGTTTGCTCAGCTCATCACAAAGGATTTTAGTGAGTGTAGTGACTGGACATGTAAAGGCACGTCTGGCCCTGGGTGGAACCCGAACAGGATGTGATGGAGCTTGACTGGGGGGCTGGATTTGGGATGTGCTCCTGCATTTCATGGCTGACCTGCTGTCACCCCATGCAGGGACACGAGCAAGGTGCCAGATTGTGGGATGGGATCATAAGGGACCTGTGTGTTGGTGCTGTGCAGTTCTCAACTGCTACTCAGGCAGGGTTCCTATTTATGGTGCTTAATGTCCATTGCAAAACTACCCAGTGACTGAGATTGAAAATGCCATTGAACTCATGAGGATCACTTTTAAATGGAAAAGAAGTGAACAGACCACTGAGTCCTTCTGTCACGTCTCTCAGTTCTGTGTTCGGTGGGACAGACTCAACATGAGGCAGCTCAGTGCTTTGGGAAGATGTGGAGTGTGTGCTGGAAAGGGAGCAGAAACATCTGGGGTATCTGCTGCTCCTGCTCCTCTGTGCTGCCTTGCCCAGGGCTGACAGCAGGCATTGGAGCTCTGGTGGAAGGACAAGGCTTTGGGGTTTATTTTCAAGTCAATTATAAACCAAATCTCAGTGTTCCTCCGTCTGGGACTGAGTTCAATTTGATAGCTGCTTTAAAATAAGCTCAGCTTCAGTTCATTTTTTCTTCCAAGGACTTTGTTTCCCTTTCCCATCTTCTCCAAGAACAGATGTCACTGTGGGATTAAGGGCCTCACAGAATGGTTGGAAAAGCCCTCCAAGCCCATCAAGTCAACCTGTGATCAGTCCCCACCTTGTCCCCAGCCCAGAGCACTGAGTGCCACGGCCAGGCCTTCCCTGGACACCTCTGGGGTGGGGACTCCAAACCTCCCTGGGCAGCCCCTGCCAGTGTCTGACCACCCTTTCCATGAGAAATTCCTGCTGCTGTCCAAGCTGAGCCTCCCCTGGCCCAGCCTGAGGCCGTTCCCTCCTGTGCTGAGCACATCCCCTGTCACACGTTTGCTGCCCTGAGCCGTAGTTCCCAATCCCGCAGCCCAGCCCTGAAGTTTGTCGCACTGCCAGGCTGTGGGCTGGCCCTTCCGTGGGAGGCTTTGGGCACAGGTTGCAGTGCAGGGTTTGGAGTGGCTGTGGGGAGGCACAGAGCAGATGCCCACAACCTGAGTGGGGAGTTGCAGAGCTAACGCTGCCCTGTCGCCGTTAATGCGATTTGTGCTGGGCTGTGACTAATGGAATAAATTAGGACAAGAGCAGATGGTTCTCCCTGGGGGAGCTGCTCAGCCTCAGTGAACTGGGTCACCCAGCAATCTGTGGTGCCTTGCCCCTCCAGAGAGCTCTGCTCTGGGGGCCTGGGATCCAGGGTGTCCTCGGGATCATCCGTCACGGGATCTGCTGGGGAGCGCAGCTGCTGACACGGAGCCCTGCTTTTCCATGGAGACCTGAGGTTTTAAATTTAACTGCAGCTGTGGGGAAATAAAAATATCTCCTTAGGGTTCCATACTGTAATTAGAGTTCAGGAGGGTTTGTGTTGGAAGGACCTCAAAGCTCCTGCAGTGCCATCCCCTGCCATGTCAGGGATACCTTCCACCAGCCCAGGGTGCTCCAATCCCCGTCCAACCTGGCCTGGGACACTTCCAGGGATCCAGGGGCAGCCACAGCTTCTCTGGGCAACCTGTGCCAGGGCCTGCCCACCCTCACAGCCAAGATTTCTTCCAGTCATCTAATCCTACTTTTTTCCCATTTAAAGCCATTCCCCCTTGTCCTGTCCCTCCAAGCCCTTGCAATGAAATCACTGAATGTTGGGTTTGTATTTAAATGCAACTGTGGAGAAATAAAAATATCTGCTTAAGGTTCCATTCTGCAGTTAAAGTTCATGAGTTGTTACATTTCAGAAATAAAATTGTATCACAGCTCCATAATAATTTTAAAACACCTAATATTGGTGAATTATAGACAATATGGGATGTGAAAGGGGAAAATGACTGGAACAGATTGGAGGAGCTTAAGTTAATGCCCAGGAATCTCTTCTTTTAAGTCTTCATTGTTAGGTTTCCTGAAAGCTGGTGATAATTCCTGTTAAGTTGATCAAGTGAGGCTTCAGTGGAGTTAAGAGGAGACTGCAATGGGTCAGGTGCTGTGGGGAGTGTGGTGGGCTCTGTCCTCTGCTTCCAAAGAATCATGGAATAGTATCCTGGAATGCTTTGGGATGGAAGGGACTGTAAAGCCCATCCAGTCCCACCCCTGCCGTGGGCAGGGACACCTTCCACCAGCCCAGGGTGCTCCAAGCTCTGACCAGCCTGTCCTTGGACACTTCCAGGGATGGGGCAGCCACAGCTGCTCTGGACAGCCTGCTGTAAGGTTCTAAAACTGTGCCTTATGGTAAATACTGAGACCTTTCTAAGCTCATGCCTCACTGAAGGGTCTGTGTTGGAGTTAATTGAGCAGTCTATCTCTTACTCCAACAAGCATTCCCACTGACAGGCTGTAGCTGCTCTGTGACAGTGCAGGAGGGGATGGGAGTCCGGGTTTGTGTGTTCTGCAGCTGTAAACACCTCAAATGGCTGGGCAAGTTCCCCATTTTGGGGCTGGGTTTGATTCAGTTCAGACACACACGGGAACCACACACGAGTGTGCAAACACTGGTGGTTACTTTAGTCACTTTTGGCAGGGTGATTTCTCTCGTGGTCTCCAGGGTGAGCTTGAACTTGAAGTGATGCAAACATTGCTGAAATGAGCTGGCTCCCGAGTGCTCCCCTCATTTTGGGGGAGTGCAGCTGGACGTGCCCCCCTGGAGGGCTGAGCCCATCAGTCCTGTCCTGCTGGACTCCCCCGGAGCTGCAGCAGCTCTGTCAGCTCCCCAGCCCTCCCCACAGAGCCCACCCGGGTGGTGCCTCCCAGCTGGGTGAGGCAGGAGCACGGGAGGCTCCCCGTGCTGTGCAGTCCTGATTTGTTGTGGGAAATGGGAATGGTGGTTTCGATAATCCCATCATTATCATAACCCAGGGTATTTCATAGCTGCCGTGCATTTCCTCTCAATTAAATATTGGCTCTTGACAGGTTGTGTGTGTTGCCTCTGTGAAAACAAAGGAGCCTGGGATGGCTGGAGGGTGTCTTTAAACTATTTGCTGAGCTCAGGAAGTGCTTCTGTGCATTTCTGAGCAGGGTTTTGCTCATTCCCCTTGTGACAGCTGAGGCTCCGTGTCTGCTTGTGCTGCACGTTTGGCAGCGCAGGAAACCCTCACCAGGGAAAGGTTTCAGCTCTCCTGGGTGACCTTAGGTCAGTTTAGGCTCTCTGTGAAGTCACTGGGCTTGGTCAGAACGGGGCTCTGAGTCCTTCAGGTTTTAGTGAAGGGGCTCTGTGCTCGTGGAGAGGACGTGCACAATGACAGGGTTGCAGAGCTGGTGTCTGCTGGCTCAGCATAAAGGGAGCACGGAGAGGTGACGATTCCTGTCCTGGGGAAGGGATTCCAGGGGCTTTCTCACTGCAGCCAGGGCTTGCCCCTCTGTCCCAGGGACACGGATATTCTCCAAGTAATCGATCCCTCTGGTATAGATCCTCATTAACCTCATCAGATCACACAGAAAATCGGTACAGTGGGTTTGTGTCCCTCCCAGGGCCTGAGGCAGCTCTGGCATCCCTGTGCAGAGGGGCAGAAATGTTTGGGGGGGGGTTCTCACCCTTTCATCTGGGAATTGGATTTTTGTTGGATTCAGCTGTTTTGAGGGACTTTTGGGGGAATATTTTTGAGGGATTTGTCCCTGGAAAGGGTGGTCAGGCCCTGGCAGGGGCTGCCCAGGGAGGTTTGGAGTGCCCACCCCTGGAGGTGTCCCAGGAAGGCCTGGCCGTGGCACTCAGTGCTCTGGGCTGGGGACAAGGTGGGGATGGGGCACAGGGGGGATCCATGGGCTGGGAGGGCTTTTCCAACCTCAGTGACTCTGGAATGCTGTGAATTTCCTGCGCCGCAGCAGCATCAGCCCCTTAACACCTCTAACTGTGTCCATGAGTTGGTCTGGGAATTTGCCCAGAGCAACTGTGGCTGCCTCTGGATCCCTGGAAGTGTCCCAGGCCAGGCTGGACAGAGCTTGGAGCAACCTGGGCTGGTCTGAGGTGTCCCTGCCCATGGCAGGGGGTGGCACTGGATGAGTTTTGAGATCCCCTCCCACCCAATCCAGCCTGGAATTCTGCAGGTGTGTTGTGGTCAGCAAACAAACTCCCCACACTCAGAGGTGAGTTCAGAGTGGAAGGGGGACCACATGCAGGAGCTTCCCTGGCCTGTTCCTCTCTGGCCTGGAGCTTTGTGTGAAGCAGAACTTCAGGCGTGCTGCCCTTCTCCCTGGGGCTGTGTGGGTTGTTTGCACAGCTACAGGCTTTTTTCTCTCTATCCCAATACCAGGAATCTCGGAAGCTCTTGGTGCTTGTGCTGAGCCCCACCAGAAGGAAAATTTGGGTGTTTCTGAGCAGTATTTTTGTGGTCTGAGCTCAGCATCTTCCCCCCCACCAACCCAGACACACTCAGAGCGTTCTGCACTTTGTCTCCACTTTTTAATTTGCTCAAGGATTGAATCCAACTTTGTCTGTGAATCCTTCTCTCCCCCTTACTGGGAGGGATGACACTTCTAAGCCCAGTTTGGAACTCTGCTCCTAGGCTTGAAAGAGCTGTCTGACAAAATCTGCTTGAGATTTTCCCTGTGACATTATTAGGTCACTAAATCCTAACTCTGAGATAAAACTTGGGAGTAACTGTGTCCCCAGTGTCCCTAAATTGAATTACGGTGGCAGATAGTTCAGATTAGTAGGTTTATCATCCTAAAATAAGCCAAGAGGAAAAACATTATTGTTCAGTCAGACATTTTGGTCTGTTTGTCTTATATATGGAAGGGACTTCTGTCCAAAATTCCCTGCAGAATTGTTGTTATTGTTTTCCCTCAGTGTAGCCCACAGGAATTAGCAGGAAAATGGGGATTACTGAAAATGAACACCAGCAGCTGCTGATGTCTTCAGAAGCTTAGAGATGGATCAGGGGTTGTCACCACCAGTTCCACAGCGAGTCCAGGAGCTAAATAAGCTCCTTTAGTGCCCTGGACATGCAATTGTAACATCCTGGGCAGGACTACAAGATGCTGACACTTCCCTCTTGTTCCTTCTTGCAGAGCTGGAATAAACTGGGATTTCTTGGACTTTGATCCAAGAAAATATCAGGAACAGCAGTGCATTACCCAGACCCCTTTATGATTCCCCATCTAAGGGCTTGTTGTTGTCCCCTGATCTCTGAGACCAACTGTCATTATGGGGACACTGTAAATAAATGTTTTAGAAAGCAGGAACTTCCTAAGTGAGCCCAAGGCTGGCTCCAAGCCCTGTCCAGCCTTGAACTCTTGATGCCACTCCAGTGCTGAATAATTATTTTGAAGTCTGTGTTGGACAACTCTGGTCTTTGCAGCACCTGCAGAATGGGATTTAACCCTTCCATGACCTGCAGCCTGTGCTGGTGGCTCGGTGCAGAGCTCCTTGGCAGCACTCGGGGGATCCTGCAGAGCAGGGCCTGCAGGTGTTCTTTATGGAGCTCAGGTGGGGGGTTCTCTCTGGGGGTAAACTGGGGGGCTTCAGCAGAGCACAGGTAATTACACAAGAACTTAATGTTGTGTGCTGGACTGAGCAGAAAGCCCAGTTCAATTTAAATTTGCAAGGAAACTTCATTTATAAACTAAAGCCAGTGTCATAAGCTTTGAGTCTTCCAGGAGTTTAGTGCTGTGGCTTTCTTGAAACCACTGTTTGAGACCAGAAAATCTGAGTTAACCCTGGAATAAATACTGAGTGTGATAATGCATCCTATGGCAATTCTAAATATTTCACTGCTTGTTTTCTCAGATGGAGCTGAAGAGGAAAAGATGGAAACTGAGGCAGAGGGGCAGCAGGCTGAGAAGGTGAGTTTGGGTCTGCACTGCTGCTGGAAAGAGACCTCTGACACTGCAAACCTGAATTATCAAGTTTTAGAGAGCCTGGGAAGACAGGTGGACATCATGTGCTGGTCAGTGTGTCCATAGGGAATAGTTCTCAGCTCCACAGAGCTCCATTTTCGTGTGAGTGAATTAATCTTAAACCAAAGCAATGAGATGTGAGTGTGGTGATCCCTGGTCCTGAGGAAAAAGGGTTGGATGGGAGGAAATGTAAATGGGGTGATATTGGAATTGGAGATTTAGGAATTGGAGAATTTAAGGAATGCAGATTTAAGGAATTGCAGATTCAAGCTGCAGAAGGATGTTGGCCCATCGTGGTTCATGACCTGCAGTGTGGCCTAAGGCAAGTGTCACTCTGAGCTCTTTGCTCTGGAAAAGCTTTTCTGACAAATCCTTGACAAATTCCCTTCCCACCAAGGCTGTCCAGGCAGTGGTAAGTTTGGGATAATCAGTGGTAAGTTTGGGATAATCAGTGTTTTACCACCATTTGTGTCTGAGGTGTCTCCAGCTGAGCTGCTCAATGAAACTGCTCCTTGCAGGAGGCCTGGGCAGACTCTTGGACATGGACACGTGTTTGTGTCTGGTGCTGGGCATGATCCATCCTGCCCATGCAGATCAGATATTTAGACATAAATTATCATCACAACAATGAATTACCATTATCCTTCAGCCTGTGGATAATGCCTGCAAGCACACAGTTACTTGAGGCTGATCAGTGCAGCCTTGGGGTGCCTCTCACTGTTTTCAGGTAGCTCTGCTGCTGCCTCTCTGACAACCAGGTACACCTGGGTAGATGGAAGTGTGGGAGACTCTCCCAGGGCTTGGAAAGCTGCATTATTCCCAGCCATTCCATGATCCCACCAGTTCTTAGGTCAGGATTTCTTGTGCCTGCAGAGTAGCCCAGGTTGGCCTGGGTCACCAGACCTGACAGACTCTGCCCAGTCTGGCATTTACTTTTATTCAGATTTGGGTTATGTTTGAAATACTTGGCTTAAGCAGCAGCCAACCTTTACAATTTAATCTCTTCCTTAATGATAATTAATTAATTGGAAAGCTATAAAGGAGTTTTAACAGGGAATGTCTTCTCTGTCTGATATTCTCCATCCAATCTTTCATCCCATTTAGGTGGAAAACAAAGCAGAGACTGAAATTGAGGAAGCAGAGAAAGTTCCAGAAGGAGAAAACGAGAGAAATGCAGAAAAAGAGCCAGAGGGGGAAGTGTCTGCAGAGCCCAAGTCAGGTAACAGTTCCCATCCCAGCTGCTCCTCGAGCTGTGCTGGATTTACCAGCCTTCCCCAAGTCTGGGATAGACCATAAACCCAACTGGAAATATTTCCTCGTGCACATCAGGCTGTTTCATGCTCCAGTGGAACTGAGTCTGCTTTAATTTCACTGCAAACTCGGGCTCTAAATCCTTGCTTGAGCTCATTGTAGAGCTCAGCTGAGCCTTCTGTGCAGGGACTGGGAACTGCAGTAACAGAGTGCCTGGAGGGCACAGAAATGATTTTATTTTTGCTCATATTCCACAACATTTGATCACTTTGGATGCAAAGAAGTGGAACTACTGGAATTGTCCAAGGCCAGGTTGGATGGGCTTGGAGCAACCTGGGCTAGTGGAAGGTGTCCCTGCCCATGGCAGGGGGTGGAATAGGGTGAGCCTTAAGGTCTTTTCCAACCCAAACCATTCCATGATTCTCTGTTCACTTCTACCCTTAAAAGTTAATATTTTAGCTCAGTTTCTGTGTGAGTGATGCAGATGATTTTCACAGGCTGAGGAGTAATGTTGTTTTCTACATAAACCCTTATTCTGGTTTATTTTTAACATGTTTCCCTTGTACCTCCTGGAATCCTGGAATGGTTTGGGCTGGAAGGGACCCTCAAAGCCCATCCAGTGCCACCCCTGCCATGGACAGGGAACCTTCCACTAGCCCAGGTTGCTCCAAGCCCTGTCCAACCTGGCCTGGGTGTCCCACCTCCAGGGGTGGGAACTAATCCACTGGTTTTTCCTGGCACTTAGATCCAGTTTGTTAGCACAGAAAGAGCATTTGGATTTGGTGTAGTGGTGGAGTTGATTTGGAAACAACAAGAGGAAGCTGACGGCAGGGGATGAACCGAGGGGCTGGGGATGAAAAGCGTGCAAAGCCATCCTGTTTGTTGGGTCGGATGCTCTCAGACTGGGGTCCCTGTCAGCTGTGGGGTGGGCACGAGTTCATGGGTGTGAAACCTGGGGGAATGTGTTGCAGAGGAGAAGGAGGCAGAGGAGAACAAGGAGAACGTTGATGGGAGCAAAGACAAAGAGAACGAGGCCGGGAAGAAGAAAGTGGAGCACGAGATCTCGGAAGGAAACGTCGCCACAGCTGCAGCTGCTGCCTTGGCCTCCGCTGCCACCAAAGCCAAGGTTGGTTCTGGCCCAGCACCCCCTGGCTGGGCTTCCAGCTTCCCAAAGTCCCTGCCTGAAATGGCCCTTTGTTCCCGGTCTGAGTTCACATTCTAATCCCTGACACCTCAGAGGAGCACAAGGGCTGCCTTCTTTTCTTCTGCTTGAACCCCTACGTGAGGTAACAGACAATTCTAATTTAAGTTAGCTACTCTTATGGTTGAGGAGTCGACAAACATCCCTAAGAAACAGCCCCAAAACGTGTTTGTTATTTCTTGGAAAGGCTTTTCTCTGCTGGGCAGGTCTGGCTGCAGTGCTGAGGGTGTTGGTCTGGTGAGGAAACTTTCCTTGCTCTTTCTGCTGCTCTGGGGGCTCCACACAAACCCTGTCCTTGGACCCTGTGAACACACTGTGGTGTTCAGTTCTGGCACTGCAGTTTTTACAGACAGCTTAATGATTTGATTTCTTGTTAAGAGGTCTGTTAAAAGCACCTCCTTGTCTTTCTCTCCCTAAACTTGTCTTTGTCTGTGGTCTCTAATGAGCTGTGTTTGAATGAGGGTCCCATCTGACAGCTTTTCTTCACCCTGTAATTACTGATTGCACATTGTCTCTCCTTTCCTTTCTGCAGGAACCACACTGCTCTCATTTCTCTCAGAATATCTTTCTCAAAATCTGTTTTCTCTTTACCAGTTTCAGTGGATTCAGGTTTTAGTTGGGGGTTATAATTGCTCTTGGATTGGGTGCCATGTTCCATGTCCACCTGCTTTGTAGACACCAAGAGCAGAGCGTGGGTGGAGTGTATTCCTGAGGGATTGCCAGGGCATGATGAGGGATACAGTGAGGTGGTGTGTGTTGTACTGACTTTCCTACTCTGACCTTTGACTCTCCAAACTTGAACTTCAGACTTTTGCCCCCAACTGCATCCCCCGGACTGAGGATGGTGGGTGATGTCATGGCACAGTCCCTCCTTTTGAACCGAGGAGATTGAGGATATTTTAGTTGTTACTTTCCAAAACAGGTTCTAAAATCCCAGGTTTCAGCAAACTTGGCATCCATTAAAATCCCAAATTGCAGGTGAGCCTGAGGTTGAGTGTTTTGGTGAAGTGCAGAGCCCAGACTGGCTCCCTCTTGTGTCACTTTGTCGTCATCTGAACCTGAGAGGAGCTTGCACTTCATCAGACTCACAGAAATTCTCAGCCAAATTGGAAAAAAAACTGCTCATGTACAAGGAGCCATGAAATTTAATCTCTGCTTTATGGCAGAAAACAGAGCTGAGCTGCTGCTCCTCTCCCTGGTGCTAACGAGCACTGGAGGGAGCAGGGACCTGGCTGGTGGCACTTTTCATTATGGTAATAATAATGCTTGGGGAGAATTTTAGCTCTGCATTACAGGAAATAATGGGTTGTAATTAGGATGTTGACACTTCAGAGGAGAATTCAGGTCCAACAGGGATTTCTCTTTCCACTCGCTTAAAAACCCAGACAATAATAAAGCTTTTGGTGATCTGTGTCTTGTCTGAGGGAGTAATTAAATTCTTCATCATAAACTCCAGTGCTGGTCACGTGAAAAACTGTCACAAAGGTGTTTTCCTTGGGATTTTATATCAGAGGAATACTGGAGTTGGCTTCTGAGGAGAAACAGGTTAGAGGCAGGATCTTGAGGTGGGTTTTTGTTTGTTTGTTTGGGGGTTTTGTCTTTTGGGATCGGTGACTTCACCAAGAAGTTGTGCTGTTTGAGGAACGATCGATGTGTATGTGCAGGGGTTAGACTGAGTTACGTACAGAGCAACAGTTTAAAGTGTGTTTTTACAGGGTCTGGCTTCTGAACAAACAGTATGAGAATTCAAGTCCCTTTTCCTCATCTCCCTCTCAGATTCCTAACCCAGTGTGAGCTGGTTTAATCCCCACTGATTTTGTGTTCCTGAGTTTTCATTGTGGTCTTTGCCCGTGTAGGGCCCTGGGTGGTGCCAGGCCAAGGAACAGCCTCTCTGGGCCTCTCCAGGAAAAACTCCAGTGCTAATTTCCTTTCTGATGTGTGCTTGGGACCTGTCCTTTACCCAGTCATGTGCTTTGCTGGTTTGATGTTAGTCTGGTTTCACTATTAAAACTGCACGTGTGAAACAAGGCCAGATGACTGGCAGAAGACTCTGTATCAACCACAGCGCTCCTCTCACTCTGAATTTTCGTACAAATGAGTTTATTTTGCCAAACAGTGTTCTTTACACTAAATTCTCGTGTCCTGCCAGCATTATTTCATTGTCTCAGGTGTGTGCAGCACTTTGGTCAGTGTTTAGCTGAACAGCTGCTTGAATTTCACAGGGATGTGGTGTTGGATGAGCTGGGCATCACCCTGAATCTCTCAAACTGATGGAAAATTCACCTTGGTGAGGGTGTGAATGTTTATTATCCAGCTTCCCTGAGGCCTTGCTTTGTTGCTGATGGGTCACAGAGGTGAATGTGTCAAATGACACAACAATATGGAGAAATTCTGTTTGTAATTGGGATTACAGGGAGTTTTTTAATGCTGCTTTCCTCCAGCTTGGTGTTTTCTCACAGTTCTGAGCCAGTTTGGGGCCCAGCTCAGTAAATATGAGTCTGTTTGCAGCTTGAGCTGGATAAGATCCAGCTTTTCCTTTTTTCCTTCTTCCCCTCAGCCCTCACCTTCCCCTTCTGCCAACCCAGTCCTCCTTCCCCTCAGCCCTTGGATGTCAGTGAGGCTTGGCTTGGACCCTGCATGGAAACATCTGTGACTGCAGAACCCCCAAGCAGCACATGTTGGGGGGATTTTCAGTGAATTTTCATTCTGAACGGGAGGATTTTACCAAAAACTGGTCTAAGGCATCATTAACACACTTTTCACGCTCTGAGAATGTGAAGCACTTTTATAGGCTGCCTCATAAATACATAGACATATATAGATCTCCTGAATTATTTATGTCTAAGTGTGCATGTGTAAATGGGATAAAGCTAAATCCTTGCAAAGAATCAATTTGCCTTTAACCTGAGAAAAAGTTGTTTGAGTGGCCAAGACACTGCAAGAGTCCTCTCCATGTTCTGGGGGTTGTTGCAGGCGACAGCCACTCCTGGGAGTGTTCCTTCCCTTGGAATGTTCCTCCTGCCCACGTTTCCCAACCAAACCCTGTGCTCTCCCCCAGCACCTGGCGGCGGTGGAGGAGAGGAAGATCAAGTCCCTGGTGGCCCTTCTGGTGGAAACCCAGATGAAGAAGCTGGAGATAAAGCTGCGCCACTTTGAGGAGCTGGAGACCATCATGGACCGGGAGAAAGAGGCAGTAAGTGGGATTTGGGATTAACCCCCCCCTGCAGAGATCCGTGTGTGCCAGCAGCTGGGAACCTGGGGATCCCAGCTGTGCCTCACCCTCGGGTGTCTCTCCTTCAGGTAGAATCCACAGTTGCCTCCCACAGTGGCTTTTGAGCCCTGTCCTCCTTTCTCCAGCGCTTTCTCTTCGCCATAAGCACCGCTGGTGGTGTCCTGGACGTGCTCCCCAATCCCTGCTGCAGGCAGGGATGTGGAGTGAGCCTTTGTGGCCTTTGCACGTGGGTTGTATCCAACATCAGAGCGGCTTTTCCCTGCAGAGAGTGAAATGGGTGGAAACTTCCCTTTCCCGAGGGAAGGGAACAGCTCTGCCTTTCCTGCCAGGCCCACCCAGCCTTGGCTCCAACGGTGAAGTTCAGGGTTTTTGGGGACATTCTCAGCAGCCCTTGGGAGAGCCCTGGAAGTGGGATGTGGAGGGGGAAGGAGATGTGTTCAGGAGTAACATCTGCAGTTTGTGATGATGATGATGGATTTGGCTGAGCTGGGAGGGCAACAGCAGCTCCAGGAGAAAGGGAAGGAAACACCAAGGTCAGGACATGGAAGAGGTGCTGTCTGGGCTGTCAGTGCCCAGATTACTCACCAGTTAAGAGGGTTTGTGTCAGATACAGAGCAAGAGGCTTTCAGGGAAGTGATTCCTCTTCAGCTACTTAACAGATGACTCAAAACATCATTTTTATCAGAGTGATCAGTTTTAATCCATTTTTTGGGTTGTGCAGTTGCCTCGTTCTTGTCAGAAGCCAATTACTATAGGTGGGTTGAAAATGTTGATTCATAATTCCAAGAATTTCCACACTTCCTCTTCTGTGTGAATTTAATGGAATTTACACCTCGTTTGGCGTTGTTGGAATCACAGACTATCTCAGGTGGGAGTCCAGCTCCTCACCTCCTGAAACTAAACCATGTGGACCCAGGGCATCACCCAGACACTGCCTGAATTCTGCCAGGACCACATCCCTGGGTCCCAAGCACCCTCTCCATGGAGAACCTCTTCCCAGTGCCCAATCCAGAGCTCCCTGATCGGCTTTGACAAACGGTGCTCTCCTCTTGGAGCAGAATGTCAGCAGGAATTTCTGGATTGCTCCACGTCCTCCCCCGTTTCTGTCTGTGTTTGCCTCTGATTGGCAGCTCAGGAAATGGACCCAACTCTTTTGGAAAGGTTCCCTGCAGATTTCTTTCTTTGGGGGATATATTCCATTAGTGGCAGGGTGTGTTTTTCTCCATTCTGAGGCATATGACATTTTCCTTTTTAGAAATGTGCATACAGATTTTCCCCTTGGCTTCCTGGTGGTTACAGTCGGTCTTTTCACCTGTCATTGTGGATATTTAGGGGAATAATTAAAGCAAAAAACCCTCTTTAGTGCCACTGCACACTGTGAATGTGTCGTTACTGCTGCCCTGGCTTTTCCTACAGGGAAGGTGCAGGGACTGTTGAGTGTTGACAGGAATCAGTGCTGCTCTGGAGGGTGTTAAATTTAAGGCAAAACACATTTATTCAGTATTTAACTCAGTAATGTCAGTGCTGCCAGCTCTGGCTGTGTGAAACCAGGGCCTGATAGGGGAGCTTTGCTGACCCAGAATTTCTAATGGCACGTGAGAGCTTTGCTGGGTCTGCTCAGGGAGGAATCCCAGAATCATTTAGGGTGGAAAAGCCCTCCCAGCTCATGGATCCCCCTGTGCCCGATGCCCACCCTGTCCCCAGCCCAGAGCACTGAGTGCCTGGGACACCTCCAGGGCTGGGCACTCCAAACCTCCCTGGGCAGCCCCTGCCAAGGCCTCACCACCCTTTCCAGGGAGAAATTCCTCCTGTTGCACACTGGAAGATTGTCAAGTGTAATATTCATAAATACCTACCTAAAAATTTGGCTGATTTCCTGAATGGGATTGTGTGAGGAGATTCTATTCCCTCCTCCCCAGAGGCTCCAGAGGAGACCACAGAAACGATTTGGGGTCTGGAGCATCTCTCTGATGAGCAGAGACTGCGGGAGCTGGGCCTGGTTAGTCTGGAGGAGAGAAGGTGAGAGGGGGTCCATCAATCCACACAAATACCCCCAAGGGGGGTCTGGATGGTCCCACACTCTCCTCAGGGCTGCCCAGTGACAGGACATGAGCAATGGCCACAAACTGAACCACAGCAAGTTCCACCTCAGCCTGAGCAAGAACTTCTCTCCAGGAGGGTGGCAGAGCCTGGGACAGTTGCCCAGGGAGGGTGAGGAGTCTCCTCTCTGGAGACATCCCAACCCCACCTGGACACGTCCCTGTGCCACCTGCTCAGGTCACCCTGCCTCGGCAGGGGTTGGGCTGGGTGATCTCCAGAGGTCCCTCCCAGGCCCAGCCATTCCACGATTCTGTGCAGGTGACACACACTGGTCTTTGTTAGGGTGCCCAGCGTCACCCCTCCCTCATTCCTGCTGCAGGAATGGCTGAGCTGGCAGAGATGGAGAGCAAATGCAAATTATTGATGGAATTTCCCCTGGAAAACCTGTTCCTGCCAGTTGTTATAGTGCCTCCCTGGGGGCACAACTGTGGGCTGTGCCCATAAAGCTGTGTCTGAGGTAGTGACAGAACCTGGTACAGAACCAGGTATTAAAACTCAACTCAGTTTAAAGCCCAGTTTGTGTTTATGTGCCTTGTTTTCCTCTCTCCCTCTGTTTTTCCTCATCCTTGGTGTAGGGTCTGTGTAGAAAGGAAGTTTTTCCTGGTTTTCTTTACTACAAGGTGAATTTTCAGGCACTGGGTGCTGTTTGGGGATCCTTGTAAAGGCTGTAGCAGGATAGGGTTCCTCAAAGAGAGCAAAGCAGGGATTCAGAAAGGTATGAAAGGAATAAAAAACTCCTGCCTGAGCCTTTGTTTGGGGTCATTTGCAGTAATTCCTCTGGGAGCTGCTGGACACCCCTGGAATGTTTCCCCACATGCCCCATTGCTCCGGTGGGGTGGTTTTATGGAGTTCTTCCCCAGCAGCTCTGGCAGTGGCCAGGAGAAAGGAGGCAGGGCAGAGGAGAAAGGAGGCAGGGCAGCGTGACTAATGCCATTGTGGGCCTGCAGCAGCCCCCACCAGGCCATGTTTTATTCATGAGGCTCGGCCCATCTGGGGCCGCTCAATGCGGGCTCTGTGGCTGCTGCTTCCCTTCCCAGCCCTGCCTTGGCAGCAGCCAGGCCGAGCACAAAGTGCTGGGGGAGCCTGGGATTCTTGGAGAACTTGTGCTAGGTGGGAGTCTCCTTGGCAACCTGCTTTCCAGCTGGATTGTGGATGTACCTTCAAACGCTCGTGGAATATCTGTACGCGAGTCACGCGGATCCGCGGGGCCGATTCCGAAGGGGACCGATGCAGGAATCTGCTCATAGTCCTTAAAGCAGTCCCATGGCACACACTGCCAGAGCCAGGACACTGAGCCATCACACAAATATCCAAGAGTAAGAAGTATTTTCTGTGGCTTTTCTGTATTTTCATGGAATCCCACACCGGTTTGGGGTGGGAGGATCTTCGGGCTCATCCAGTTCCACCCCCTGGGCAGGGACACCTCCCACCAGAGCAGGTTGCTCAGGGCTTGCTTACTCTCTATGGCTTCATAATTAATCAGAGTAGCCTATTTTATGTTAATTGGCCTAAATGACATGAGTTTTTTTATGTAATGCTCTTATTGATGCAAATCACTGTTGTTCAGCTGTCACAATGTCCACTTCCTACACTTAAAGGTGTGGAGGGGGATCCTGCCTGGAGTCACTGAGCTCCTGCTGTTGCACACACGTTCTGCTTTGGTCTCACCCAGAAAATCTCTTGAATTTCCTGTTCTCCCTCATTCCAACATGCAGAAGATTGAGAGAGCCCCCCCAGTTTCTCCCAGAGCTGTGTTAAGGCTGAATTCTCTGTGGTGCTCACTGAGGAAAGAGTTGTGTTGCAGTTACAGTTATAATAACCGGGAGATTTTAGAACAAAACAAGGTGAGTTCATCTGTTCCAGCTGGAAGATGGTCTGGAGCCTTCCCCAGAACCAGCTGCAAATATCAGTAGGAGTGCCCCTGGTTCTGATTTTGATTTTGATGGGGGTTGGAACGAGATGAGCTCCGAGGTCCCTTCCAACCCAAGGCATTCTGTGGTTTGCACAAAGACGTTGGAATGTCCATTCTCACCCCCCCTTTGCCCTGTTCTTGGTGCAGCTGGAGCAGCAGAGGCAGCAGCTGCTGACGGAGCGGCAGAACTTCCACATGGAGCAGCTCAAGTACGCGGAGCTGAGGGCTCGGCAGCAGATGGAGCAGCAGCACAGCCAGAACCCCCAGCAGCCCCACCAGCACCCCAGTGGGCCTGGCATGAACCCCCTGGGGGCCCCGGCACACCCGGGGCTGCTGCCCCACCAGCAGCCCCCGCCGTACCCCATGATGCACCACCAGATGCCACCTCCGCACCCGCCCCAGCCAGGTAAGAGCTGCAGGGAGGGGATTCCTTGGGTTAATCACTGTTTGGGAGCTGAGCCCAGAGGGAGAGGAGCTGCCAGGTGTGACGGGTGGTCTGTGTTGCTGGGTGTCAAACACAAACAGTTTGCTGGAAAGGTGAGCTGGGCTTGTTCTCACCTTCGTTTTGGAGCTTCTGCCCCCAGTCCAGAGGTGTGGGTGGAGTTTGGGGAGGAGGTTTCTTATGGATGGGTGTGAACCCCCAAAGCAGGGAAGGAGAGAGCCCCAGGCTGTCCCCAGCAGTGCCCACTGACAGGGTGAGGGGCGATGGACACGGACTAAAACATGGGAAATTCCATCTGGCCGCAGGAAAACACTTTGTTTCCCTGTGAGGGTCATCAGCCCTGGAGCAGATCGTCCAGCAGGGCTGGAAGTCCCAGTGCCTGGACACAGTCAAGCTCTAAAGTAAAGTGAAAAAATAGAGCAGCCCCTAAATATCACTTCAGACTATTTTAGGTTGTTTGTATTTCCTTAGACTTGTTTTATACTTGGTGATCTGAGCAGAGATGCCCCTTCAGAAACAATCATTCTTCAAATGCTCCTTCAAAACCAATCACTCCTCAAATTTTCCAGTTCATGGCACACCAAGCCATGGAAAAAAATCAAGGGCAAGGACTGTAACAAGAAGCAGAGGCAGGAAGCTCCTTGAGGAACTTCCTTTGCAGGACACCTGACTGGGACAGGTTCCTGTGTTCTCCTTGAATGTGTTTGGTGCCAGCTGGGAGTCACAGGGCTATCTTTGTCAAGGGTCATCTGCAAGCCTCTGATCCAGCCTCCTGCCTAGAGCAGGACCAGTTGGATCCTGTGGCAAGGGACTTGTCCTCATGAGGGTTGGGTGTCTCCAGAGGTGGAGATACTCCTAATTCCAGAAGGTGGAGAGGTCAGGTGTGATGCTGTTGAAATGGTAGTTTAAAATCAGCTAACACTGTCTGGCATGTGGGGAGCTGGCTGTGTGAGTGGAGCACAGCCAAGGGGAAGAGCTGTTGTCAGTCTGCCTGACCAAACACTCCTCTAGAGCCAGACCTGAGTGGTTATTAGCCAGAAGTCTTGGGGAAGAATTTGCATAGGCTGCTGCTATTCCTTCTTTTAGGAGGAATTTCTCCCTGGAAAGGGTGGTCAGGCACTGGCAGGGGCTGCCCAGGGAGGTTTGGAGTCCCCATCCATGGAGGTGTCCCAGGCAGGCCTGGATGTGGCACTCAGTGCTCTGGGCTGGGGACAAGGTGGGGATGGGGCACAGGGGGGATCCATGGGCTGGGAGGGCTTTCCCAACCTCAGGGATCCTCTGAAAAGTTTGGGGTATCATAATCAAAAGAGGACATGGCAACAGGAAGCTACAGGAAGCTTTTTCCTCTTGGGAAAAGCCCTGTGTGAAGGGTTTGGATTGGTTTGGTTTGGTTTGGTTTGGAAAGAGCAGAAGGGCTCAGGAAAACAGTGGGATGTGCAGGTGACCGGGAAAATGGGGGGCACCTGATCCAGCTGGATCTCCACAACAGTACAACTGGATTCACTCAGCAGATGCTGTGATGTTGATGGAGCTAATTGGGATGGTGAGAGTTGTCTTGTGATGGAAATGCTCCAGTTCACTCTGTTTTTAAGGGTTGGTGAGTTCCTGACTTTGTTGTGGACAAAAAGTGCTGAGACTGCTTGGAGCTGGTTTAGTTATTGCTGAAGTTGAACTGGGATGTGCTGGAATATGGTCTGGTTTAGATTACACACCTCTGTGTGTCTGCTGTGGGGCGTGGTGACAACCCAGGGCTGTTCACGTGGCAGTGGAGGGAAGAAATAACCTGTGGAATGGAAAAAGGGGAAATTGAGAACATTGGAATGGTGACCTGTCATGGACAGCTCTCACTGACACGCTGCTGCTGAGCCTGGAGGTGGAACGGGATGAAATGCATTGTTGTATCCACTGGGGGACCAATAAAACTGTTTCTAGTACATTCCCATCCCTGGCTCACATCACACCTTATTATTGCAGCCCCATCCAGGCTCTGCCTCCCCAGGGCTCCCTCTGCAGCGTGTCAGGGAGGGGAGGTCTGTGTTAATTAGTCAGTGCCTCTCTGTTTCACATTTGATTAAAGCTGGTCGATAGATTGACTTTTCCACCGGCACCTCCCCTGATCGAGGGCAGCGAAGTGATGGATGAGGCTCAGCACTCCTGGCTCCCACCACACTGAAGCCTCTGGTGCTGTCTCATCCCAGACACCTCCAGGGGTAGGATTGTCCCCTCCACCTGGCCAGGCAGTTCTTTGGTTTGATGCTTCTGTGAAGGGAAGAATTTGAGACCCTTTCAGAGTTTGAAGCAAACCCCTCTGTGTCTCCAACCACATCCCAGGTGATCTTGTCTAGAGAATAAAATAGTCCTGTTTCCTTGAGTTCTTCAGTGGAAGTTTGTTGGGAATGCTTGGGAAGTCCACAGGTGCCAAAGCTCTTTGGCTGCACAGTGGAGTTGGGATAACTTGAGGGCAGTGAGGGAAAATGGCAAAGGTCACCATTTCCTCAGGTTCAGCACTTAAACCCTGAGCCAGTCCTGGGAGTGTGAGTTGTACCGTGGGGATCCTGCACATCCCACAGATCCTGACTCACAGGGACCTGCTTGGCCGGGTCAAGATGCCCAGAGTTCGACTTTCCTTGAGAAAAGTCTCAAGCTGTGCCAGGGGAGGCTCAGGTTGGACATCAGCAGGAATTTCTCCCTGGAAAGGGTGGTCAGGCCTTGGCAGGGGCTGCCCAGGGAGGTTTGGAGTGCCCAGCCCTGGAGGTGTCCCAGGCAGGCCTGGCTGTGGCACTCAGTGCTCTGGGCTGGGGACAAGGTGGGCACAGGGGGATCCATGGGCTGGGAGGGTTTTTCCAGCCTCAGTGATCCTGGGATTCTGTGACCTCTTCATCTTCACAGGGCAAATCTCTCTGGAAATATTTGTTCCATGGAGGCATCTCCACGAAATCTCACTGACACACTGCCAGTCTCAGCAGCAGCACTTCACGTGCTCCCCCCATTATATACACTCAAACATAATCCTTTATCCCATCGTGTTGGTCGTGTTGAATTTGTGGGAAATACCACAGAACTACTCCTGTGTTCTGCACAGTTTCCCTCCTCTGACATTTTTAGGGCAGTTGTGGTGTTGTGGTGTGTTTGTTGTACTTTTAAGTCTTGGAGCATTAACAGTCCAGTATTCTCCTGACAGACCTGTACATACATAGATCAGTAGCAATTTTTGCTGCTCAGTTGCTAATTTGGGATCCTTTGTAACAAACTGGGGAACTTCACCTTGTTGACCCCACACCTGTGAGTTCCCTCACTGTGGGTCTGCCCGTGAGGCTCCTGCAGCCTTGGTGGAGATGCCAAAACGTGGAGGGTGTGGGGAGATCACAGAGTCCCAGAATTGTTGGGGTTGGGACTTTAAAGCCCATCCAGTGCCACCCCTGCCATGGGCAGGGACACCTTCCCCTATCCCAGGGTGCTCCAAACCCCGTCCAGCCTGGCCTGGGACACCTCCAGGGGTGGGGCAGCCACAGCTGCTCTGGGCAAAATCCATTCCAGGCCTCCCTACTCTCTCAGGGAGGAATTCCTTGGTCTGCAGCTTCCCAGTGCTTTTGGAAGAAGCAGCAGCAGTGTCTTTCCCCAGGGCCTCACCTTCTCCCCAGTCACAGCCTGCTCTCCGAGGTGGCCAATTCAGAGACCTCAGGCCTGAATCCCTCAGTGTTGTTCCTTGTTCAGGGATAAAGCTGTGACTGGAGACGTGGATGAGCTGCTTTCCTTTGGTCTGTCCAGCAGCTCTGGGGGAACTGCCTTGCTCAGAAATCCCCAGCACCTGAGCGGTGACTGAGGAGCACCGTGGGCAGCCTGCCAAGCTCAGCCCGGGGGAGGCTGGGCTGGAAATACCTGCAGTTTCCTGCTCAGCTGCCTGGTTTCACTCCAGACTTTACCGTGGTCCTCACTGATGTTTTCAAACAGGTTTCTGACCTTAATAAGCGACGGGAAGTGTGGCTGTTGGTGCAGCAGACCGTGAACAAAGCGCCACGTCCGATGTCTTTAGAGTGATTGACGAGAGCTGAGGAGATGGTGGGAAACAGGGTGAGGAGAGGATCTGAAATGGCATTTCGAGATGGGAGAGGGAGAGGAACCCCTGCTCACAGCTTCTCTGTGTGCAGAGCTCGCAGGCTGGAGAGGTGCAGGAGCAGTGGGGTGGAAGGAGATCCAAGTTATCCATGCGGTGAATGGGATTGCAGCTGATCCACAGCACTGTGACCTGTGTGTGGCTGTGGGTTTGGAGGTGTGAGGGTGGCTGATGACACACAAACGTTGGCACCACGTTGGCTTCTCCTGGTTTTGCTGTGTGAAAACCTGCTGGGGCAAGAGGGGCAGGAGTAGGCTGGATCCGGCATTTTGGGCTGGAATGGTAAATAAAAATAGCACATATTTTATGTGTTACCATATTTACAGACTAAAATAGTGAACAAATGAGCGGGGGCAGTGGTTGCACTGAGGTTGTGGGTGATGCTGGAGCGACTCGAGTCAGTCACCATCTCCCCATCCGTGAGCTCCTCTGGGGGCTTGAGCTGCTCCCGGCTCCTCCCAGGGGTTTGACTGGAGATCCGGGAATATGTGAGGGTGGAACACCCCCAGCAGCTTCCCCACGGGTGTCTGCACACCCCCAGCAGCTTCCCCACGGTGTCTGCGTCCTACGTGCGTGCCAGGAGGCAGGGAATGGTGAGGCTGGGAATGGTGAGGCTGAACACGCAGGGCAGGGCTGGGAGTGCAGCACCAGGGAAGGACAAACTCCGCTCTCTGCCCGAGCCCCTGCTCTGAACCAGTCCCTGGGCTTCATTAGCCACACTCCTTGCCCGGGGAGGGGGGAGCGAGGGAGGGATGGATTCCCTCTGGAATGTCCCTGCCCACGGCAGGAGGGGCAGCAGGATGAGCTTTAAGGTCCCTCCTCCCCAGCCGGTCTGGGATTCCGTGATTCCGGTCTGGGATTCCGTGATTCCCGGCTCCCGTGAGCCGCGTTCCTGGCGGGAAGGAGCACGCTCTGCATGGAGCCAGCAGGCATTCCCTGGAGCTGCTGTCTGCTCCTTCCCCAGGGCTGGGAAGCAGCTCTCTGAGCCAGGCACGTCCTCTCGGAGCAGCTCCTTACCCTCCCAAACCCTGCCCCGCTCCTGTGTGCCCGCAGCCTGGAGGGAAGGGGCAGCAGGGAGAGGTGAGCAGGAGGGTTTGGAGCAGCTCCAAGCCCTGTGCATCGCTGCTCCAGCGAAACAACCCCTAGAGCTGTTTATCACTCCAGTGCCCCTCGAGGAGCTGATTTAATAGAGGGAGAGGCTCTTTGATAGAGATAAATACCTTGGAGAGCCTTTAAAAGTGGTTCCTCATCCGTTTCCCTGGAATGTGGAGCTGCAGTTTGGTAGCAGTGGAATCCTTTGGAGCGATAGGAACCTCCCCAGTCTCTTAACGTGGAAAGGGTTTTTTTTAGTCTCTTAAATCTCGTTTTGTTGAACCTTTTGGCTTTATCTCTTCCTGTGGCTGCTGTTCTAGGAGCTCTCCCCCCGTATGTAGGTCACACTTCCACGTTTTCTGCTTGAGCCACTGTCTTGGAGCAGTTTTTCTGTAAAATAAGAAAAAAAAAATGTCTGTAGAAACAGGACTTTGGTTTTGCTGTGGTGGTGGCAGGAATTCCCCATGTTTAATCCCAGTTTAGTTGGGTATTGCTTGGTTACTCTCAGCTTGAATATTTAGGAGTTCTGGGGTGGGATAGGATTGTTCCTCTGCAAGTTCCCTGAGCTAATCTTAGGATAAAATTGTTGCATCTTGTGTCAAAAGGCAAAAAATGGGCACCAAACCCTGGACTCACACACAGAGGAGCTTCTCAGCTCATGGAGTCTCCAGCAAACCAGCAGCACAGCTTAGGTGTAAATCTTCAGGGGTTTAGAGGGGAAAAAGCTCGACAGACTCCTTGGGCCAGGTAGGAGGAGCTGCCCAGTGAGCATCATTGGGAGGTTTGGAGTCGTAGAGTCCCAGAAGGGTTTGGGTGGGAAGGGACTTCAAGGACCATCCAGTCCCACCCCCTGCCGTGGGCAGGGACACCTTCCACTATCCCAGGGTGCTCCAAGTCCCATCCAACCTGGCCTTGGACACTTCCAGGGATCCAGGGGCAGCCAAGCCAATACTTGGGCACAGAGCTGTTGTTCCAAAGCTGAGCCTAAGAAAGAGCTGGCAGTGTTTGTGCTGAGGTGTTGACTCGATCCCAGATCCAGAGCTCCCACTTCCTTGGCTTTAACCCTGTGGCTCTGATGTCTTTTTTGTGCTGGAGGTCCTATCACCATGTTTCTTTCCCCCCTGCCTGGGTTGGGGTGGAAGGAGCTGTTCAATCCATGTCTTGTCACCGCTTTCCAACTAAAATACTGTCCCTGCATGGGAGTGTGTAAAAGGAAATGGGATTGCATTATGCAAAATCATCTCTCAAATGAGGTTTTAGGGCACCACTCCCAATTGTTGGAGGTGTCCAAGGCCGGGTGATTCCAGCAGTTCCTTGTGCAGCTGGAATGGAAAGGTCTTCCATGGAGCTGATTTGGGAGCAGGAGTGTTGGAATCTTCCCTCACAGCAAAACAGGGGGATAATGGCAGAAATTCCATGCAGCCCAGTTTTTGACTGCATAATTTCAGTTCTCCCATTGAATCAGTCCGTGAGGCTTCGTGGCTGCTCCATCCACCAGGTGCTCCTGCTTTGGTGCCTGGCTATCCTGGCCCTTTGTTTCCCTTTGTTTGGACTCCAGCAGGTGCCTTTGGTGGGGGGTCACTGCCCACTCTTTGACTGTGTCACTCCCCCTTGTGCCAGTGTTCCCAAGAGGTGCCCTGTGGCTCTTCCTGAGGGGAGTGCATGTCCTTTGGGGACAAAGAGGCATTTCCTGGGTGTTTGGAGGGGCTCCGCTCTGCTTTTCCCTCCCCACCATCTCACCGTGGTGTCTCTCACTCCCCTGCCAGGTCAGATGCCAGGGCCAGGGTCGATGCTGCCCGGGCAGCCCCTGCCAGGCCGGATGATGCCCAGTGTGTCAGCCAACATCCACCCAGCCGGAGCGGCCCCCCCGCCCGGAATGGCGCCCATGGCCGGGAACCTCCTGGGACCGCGGGTGCCTCTGGCAGCTCCCAACGGCATGTGTAAGTACAGAACACCCTGGGGAGGCTCCTGCTGGGGCTCCTCTGTCTCTGGAAAAGTGCTTTTGGTGGAAACCCCTCCATTTCCTGTGGGAACAGCAGGGTCTGTGCACGCTGCCAGCCCTGACGGGTACCAGGCATGTGCTTGAAGCTTTAAGTGCTGCTCTCCCCTCTGGGCATCCAAACACGCTGCATTGTCCTTTATTTTATTTATAACATCCTTTCTTTTATTTATAATGATACTGAGGCTCAGTAGTGATGATCAAAAACCTCTCCTGGCTCAGTGGAGAGTCAGGAATTCACCATAAATCCTCAAATATCAAAGGTATCAGAATAGAAACCAGTTCAGTAATTCCTTACTGAAAACCTGGCACCCTGAAATGGGAACAGGGAAGTCCTGATTAGGAGGAGGCAGAAGATAAACCATGTAAGGAACATTCCCGGTGTAAAACCTACACCTCCAAAAATGAAGTTGATTTATGGCAGCCAAAAAAGCAGCTGAGTCAGGAGCCCCAGTGTGGGTGTTGCTTGAGTGAGTGTGAGAATGTGGCCAAAGCCAGAAGGCAAAAGACGAGCTGGCACAGGGAGGAATTACTGAGGAATTCTCAGTCAGGGATCCCTCAATAAATTGGCCATTATTAATTCCCCCCTGGGCTCAGCTGCTGCTCTGCTTCAGCCCAGGAATCTGCACCCCAGAAACACTCAGTGTGACTGTCCCCAGAGGAGCAGGAACTGGGATCACTCATAGTGCCTCTCCCAAAAAATCACTGGGGAAAGCCCATCTGGTTTTGGCTTCAGCTGCAGGAGCTGCAGGAGCTGTGAGTCACTGGTGTTCACCAGCCCTGGTGGGAAATACTCCAGCTGATGCTATTTTTGCTCTAATTCTTCTCCTCCTCCAGCTTTACTTCGTTTTCCTTCCTTTTTCCTGAGCCTCTACCACTGGGAATATCTCATGTCAGGTTATATTCCTGTTTGCTCTCTTCCCTTATCTTAATTTCTCCTTTTTTTCTCCCCTACTAAACAAGTCAGTCATGTTCCATTAGTGTCTCCTCTCTGGGCACAAAGCTGCCCTTTCCTGTCCCTGCTTTCTTCACTCCTCTTGCTGCATCCCTGAATTCCTCTGCTTTTTAACCTACATCCACCCTTCAGAGGGGAGAGCAGGCTCTGTTTATGTAGAATCTGCTGTTCCATCCCTTTGGAGCAGAAAAGGGCTGCAGTTCGGGCCCGAGGGCAGAGCTGGGAGGGCAGAGATGCCAATTCCAGCCCTGGAAGTTGCTTGGCCTGAACTTTGCCAGCTGCTGAGCTGCATCCCTGGCATCTTGTCAGTGAAAACAGGGGGATTTTTTGCTCTTTCGTGGGTCCCACGTGGTGGAAGAGCACCTTGAAGGGCAGTGGAGCCGCAGGTGCCGCTGCCGGGCGGGAGTCGCGCTGGGGGCGTTCCTGGCCCGGAATTCCGGTGGGACACAGCCGTGCCTGGGGCACGGAGGCCCCTGGGCGTGGCTGTGGGGTCCCTGCTCCCCGGGCAGCCCCTGCTGATGGCGTGTCCTGTGTTCTGTTGCAGATCCCCCCCCGGCGCAGCCCCCGCCGCCCGCCGAGGGAGTGACCCCCCCTCCGGCCGGAGCCCCCCCGGCCTCGGCCGCTCCCTAAGCAGCCAAGGAAGAGGGAAGGAGCTTCCACAGCAACACAGTGGTGACCAAAAAGGAATTCCTCAGCTCCCTTCTGTCCCTGGGAGGGTTTCACCTCCTCTCCCAGCCGCGTGGGTGTGATTTACACACGCACTTACACGGCGTCCTTCCCCCTCCCCACCTCTTGGAACCCGGCAGGGCTCGGCATTCCCTCGGGAAAGCTGGAGATGGGGGGTGCCAGGAGTGCCTCCATGTTGCTGGTGGGAAGTCCTTTCCCCTTTGGCCTGCTTGCCTTGCAGAGCTCCACGCTGGTTTCCTTCCTCTTGGTGCTTTGAGCTTTGGCTTCTCCCGGGAAGGGTGAAATAATCCAGGTTTTAGGGTGGGGGCAGGAGCTGAGCTTTAGGATGTGGCACGAGCCCACTCTGGGGTGATTTAGGGTTTTGGGGTCTCTGGGCAGAGCAAAGCACCGAGCTGAGATGCCAAACCAGTGCTTGGAGCAGAGCAGGAAAGCCAGGGCACGGAGGGCAGGAATGGCAGCCCTGTTCCCTCGGGATATTTGGTCCTCACGGCCGGGGCTGCCCCGCTAACTTATTACAGGAAATATTGATCCATGTGAATGAAGCCAGGAGCGAATCAATTGGAATAAAACCACTCGATGGTAGGAGTTTTCTTGCTCCAGTTTTTACCTTTCCTTTGCCTTTGGAGGTGGTAGTTGGACCTTCCCTCTGAGTAGTTCGGTGCCGTAGCCAACTGAGGAATAAACCCCCATTTTTAGTCCCTCTTTTTGGAGCATATACTTTGTACTTTTTAAAATGAAGAAAACAGGAAAAAAAGAAAAAAAAAAAAGATAAAGTAGGTAGCGAAGAAGTGCTAGAATTTGGGATTGGGTTGGGATGGCTGGGATGGGAATGCCAGAACTACCTCCTGCGGACAGCCGGGGCAGGCAGCGGAGCGCGCTGGGGACACCTGGGGTCACCTCCCCCGGGGCTGAGGGCTGGGGAGGGAACAGCCTCACCAGGCGGATCTGGGAGCGCTCGGTGAGACCTCCGGGCTGCCAAAACTTGGGAGAAAAACCCTGCAAAAAATCCTTCTCTGCCCGTGGCTCGGGTTCTCCGCCCTCATCCTGCCCGGGAGGGTTTGGGGTTCCCTGCCGAGGGTCTGGGGCTGTTCCTGGATTGGAAGGGTGGCTTTGGCCCTGTGAGGGGGTGTGAGGATGGGCTGGAGAGAGGCTCCCAAGAATTCTGGTGCCTCCAGAGCCATTGGACAAGAAAGGATTGGCCGGGTCCTCCCGCACGGACTCCGCGGTGCCTCGCAGGAGCGGGGCCTGCCCCCCCATTCCAGGGCTTCCTCCCCCTCCAGGGTCTTTGGGTGAGCATGGGATTTCTGGGGCAGCCCTTTAGTCCAGTTTAGAGTAACCTCAGGTTGTTTTTAGCGTGATCAATGCCAGGGATCCAGGGGGAGACTATTTTTTACTGTCCTAGTGCTGATCCTGCCGAGGACCTGGATCCTGGACACTGTTTTGTTTCTGTATAAATAATCCTTGTGCCGACTTTTTCACCTGAGCTCTGTGTAGGGCCTGTTTGATTCCTGCAGCAGCCACCCAATTTTGTGAAATAAAAGCAAAAAAAAGCGGTTTTTGTACAAAGCTTGTGGAGTTTGTGGAGTCTCCTTTGCCTTTGTGTGTGGGATGAGCTGGGAATTGGTGTGATCTGGGGCTGCTTTGGGGCTGAATCCCAACTGCAGTGGAACAACCACAACGCCTGAGCTTGGAGGAGACACCGAAGCCACTCAGGGAAAGGAAGGCTCTTCACACAGTGGGAGTTGCTGCTTTGGAAAGGCTGTTCCAGGTTTTCAGAGCCTGCTGAATGCAGATGAGGTGCAGCAGCAGCCCAGGCTGTTTGATTCCTGCTTTCCCGCTGGCTCCGGCTCCTGCTCCCGGTTGGATCACACTGGAAAGGAGAGCTCTGAAGTGGCAGGTTGGAATGGGAGAGGGTTGGGCTCACTGACCTGGAGGGGTCCCACTGCTCCTCCACCCTCTCCTCTAATGGGGTCGTTCTGATCTCTTCCCTCCTCCTGCCGGACTCTGGAGCTGCCAAGAGGGTTTTCCTTTTTGATTGAACTGGATTGAACAGGATCCAGGCTGGATTATATTCCAGCCGCTCCTGCTGCTTCACCCAGGGAGAGCCTTTCCCTTGGAAGAAGCAGCACCACTTCCCAGGATCCCATAATACCCACAGTCCCCAGTTCCCTGAGAAGGAAAACCCCTGGGTCCAGGACACTCATTTCCAACTGGGAATTCCTCCTTGGATGGCCTGGGGTGTCCCCAGGGCGGGGTCTCCTGCTGAACATCCCCTCAGTGATGGGGGAGGGAGGAGGGGGAAGGAGTTCTTGGACCTTTGTGCTTGGGATCACCCCCTTCTCGCCCGTGACAGGGCCAGCAGGGGTTATTTTCCCTCCTCATCCTAAGACCTTTTTCCCGAGGGATGCACGGAATGTGGGAAATCACAATGACAATTTTTGAACAGTTTTTTTCTATTTTCAGCCTCCAAAGCTTCATGGTCGCAGCAGCTGCTGAGGCTGAACTGAGGGCTGGGCAGTCCTGGGAGTGAGGAGGCAGAGGAGGAGGTTTGGGAAACCAGTTTCAGGAATGCTGGGGGGGAGAGGCTGGAGATGCCCCAGCCCAGAAACCCCCTGTGCCCTGGGCTGATCCCACAGCAAGGATGGGGGGATCCAGCCCCTGTCCCCCCCCAGGTGAGACCCCCCTACAGAGCTGCCCCAGCCCTGGGAACAGCAGCAGGAGGACGTGGAGCTGCTGCAGAGAGTTCAGAGGAGGCCCCGGAGCTGCTGCCAGGGCTGGAGCCCCTCTGCTCTGGAGCCAGGCTGGGACAGCTGGGGGGGTTCCCCTGGAGAAGAGAAGGACCCAGGGGGACCTGAGAGCCCCTTGCAGGGCCTAAAGGGAGCTCCAGGAGAGCTGGAGAGGGACTGGGGACAAGGCATGGAGGGACAGCACACAGGGAATGGCTTCCCACTGCCAGAGGGCAGGGAGAGATGGGATATTGGGAAGGGATTCCTGGCTGGGAGGGTGGGGAAGGACTGGAATGGATTTCCCAGAGAAGCTGTGGCTGCCCCTGGATCCCTGGAAGTGTCCCAGGCCAGGTTGGACGGGGCTTGGAGCAACCTGGGCTGGTGGAAGGTGTCCCTGCCCATGGATGGGGGTGGGACTGGGTGGGCTTTAAGGTGCCTTCCCACTCAAACCATTCTGGGATTCTGACCCTGCTGGGGGTGTTCAGATCCCCACAGCTGGGCTGGGAATGGCATGAGGGCTGGGGTCGCTGCTGGAGCTTGGAGTGGGTTGGGGAGTGAATTCCTTCCTGTTCACAGCTTTTGGGCTTGGATACATCAATTTGAAGGTGGGTTTAGGACAGGGCTCCAGACTGGCTCAGTGTCTGCTCCAGAACTGCAGTGGGGTCATTGGAATCCAAGGTGTCATCAGGACAAAGGAATTACCTGTCTGGGATGAGCCCTTCTGCCTGCTCCAGAAAATTCCCTGTCCCTCCCACTAACACCCGTGGCTGGGAAGGGTCTGCACCTTCATCCCAGTGATGGGATACTGCTGGACAGGGAGATGCGCTCCAGGTGGGTTTCTTCCCTCAGCTCAGCAGGGGTGAAGCAGCAGGGCAGGAACAGGAACCAGCGCTGGCACCTCCACTTTCCACATCCCGGTAACTCACCAAACCAACCTCCTGCTGTCCGGGGGGCCCCAAAAGCTGGGGGTTTGTGCTTTTCTGGCTGATTTAAAGCCACAAATGCCCCCTGGGTCACACCGAGGGGGTGGGGTGTCCCAGTGTGTGTGTTGTCCCCCAGCGCTGTCCTTTCATCCCTGTGCCTTTCTCACGAGAAACTTCCAAAGGATTTGCAAGGCTGGAAGCTCCTTTTCTCCCTTGGAGGTTTTATGGGACCGAGTACAAGGCTGACCCCTGCCCATCCCCTGGATAATCCCCCCAGATCCTGCAGGAAGAGACGTGCCCCAGACGAGCCAGGGCGGCTCTGGGTGACCTGCCAAGGGCTGGGCCGTGCCGGGGCCGTCCCTTCCCATCCCTCCCAGACCCTTCCCAGCTCTCTCCAGGAACAGTCGCTCTTTGTCTGGTCCTGCTCCTGCCCGGCCGCGTGTGCTGCCCGTCTGGGAATTTCCCCTTTCACTGGCACCCCGGGACACTGCCAGGGTCAGGGCACAGGGACCCCTTCCAGCAGCCCTGGGAGCCCTCGGGATGTCTCCTGGAGGCTGCAACGGGAAACCAACGGGTGATTGTTGGAAAGTTTTTCCCTCAAATCCCTCACTTTCTGTTGCAGTGGGATAAAACAACCTGGTGTCCATCAGAGCCAGCAGCCTTCCAGGATTCCAGCACTGGGATGTGGCTGGTGGTGCCCCGTGGCAGGGCTGGCATTGCCCATCCTGCTCCCTGTGGCTGATCCGGCTGACAAAGACCCGGAGCGGCCCCTTCCCTGGGGCAGGGTCAGCTCCTGGCTGAGCACTCCGTGTGCTGCTGGGAGAGCCACCAGACCCCTGCAGGACCCGTTCCACAGATCCCTCCCAGCACTGGGGACCAGGACAGTGTGGTCCCACTGTGGTCCCCCCGATCCGGATCCTCGGAGGATGCTTGGAGTGGATTTGGGTGACCCCCAGGTCTGGTTCTCTCCACTGCTCCGGTTTTGGGTTCCCTCCCCCAGATATCCCGGAGCTGGAGCCTTGGAGCGGATTGACCCCCCCTGGCCTGTGGGGGGGGGATGAGGGGTGTGTTCCCTGCTCCAGGCACGCTGGGGCTCAGCTCCTCCGCCCTTCCCGAGCCTTTTTCCTTCCTTTCAGTGGGATGCCATGTTGTCTTCACTCCTTGTCCTACCAGTGAAACAGCTGCTTTGATTCACCCGGATTTCCAGCAGTAATGAGAACAAAACCCCGAAGATAAAAAGCTTTTCTGAAGGGCCTTTAGTGCCCTCTTGGCAAAATCACAAGCACTAAACCGGATTCTCCGGCAGGGAAGGAGGAAGGTAAGGGAATGGTGCTGGTGCTCAGGGTGACTTATCCTGGTCCGTGACAGTTTTATTTGTCACCCCTGTGCAGACTGGGCACGTTCACAGGCACGAAAGGTGTTGGATGCAGCTGGCAGGTGCTGTGGTGTGTCCTTGGATGCAGCGCTCCGTCCTTGGGTTGCAGCTGTCGGTCCTGAGGACACAGTGCCCCACCCTTGGGATGCAGCTCCCCCCCATCTCTCCTCCCAGAAGCCTCTCGGTCCCATTTTTCTCGCTCTTTGCAGCTCAGAGCTGGGACAGGTGATTATTAAACCTCTCCCCACTTTTCCCTCTGCAGCCAGAGGGCTCCGGGGCTCGGGAATGGCCCCGGGCAGGTCCAGCACAGCCGGGGACCCCTCGGACACCGGGACTCTGCCCCCTGCCCAGCTCAGCCCCTGCAGAGCCAAAGGCACCACTCCCTGTGCGGGTCAGGAGGGTTTTTTGGGAGGATCCAGCAGCACAGGGCACACCGGGCCTGTGGATCCGGCTCTTTGTGCCTCCAGCGTCCTCCCCGAGCTGCTCGTGCCATCCCAAACGCGGCTCCTGTCAGGAGGACTGGGAATTCCGGCAGTTTTGGGCCCAGCTGGGTGTCGGGAGCGGTTTGGAGTGTGGCTGATCCGGGGGGGGTTGCTCCCTGCAGGAAGGGCTGGGATGTCGGGCTGAGGGGGGGAGGCCGAAGGTCGATGCCGAACCTCGCGGCGGCTCCTCCAGCGTTCGGTGTCACATCGGGGCTCGTCCCCTCAGAGCCAGCCCGGGCGGTGCCAGCCCTGACCGAGGGCAAAGCCAGCCCTAAAGCCCCGCCTGGCTGAGCTGGGCTCGGCCCTGGGCTCAGGCTCAACACCGAGGGGGCTGGGAGAGAGGGAAGAGCTTTGAGGGGAGCGGTGTCCGAGCCGGGGCAGGAAACACCGACCTCGGTCCTGGCTCTTTGATTCAATTTTCCATTTTCTTTGCACTTTTCCAATGGTTGTTTATTTTTTAAAAATAGGAATAGGTGGTTTGAGCATCTCCAGTACCTGCATGAGGAGGGAGGCAAAGGCAGCCCCGGGAGAGGTGATGGGAGGAACAGGAGCTGGTGGGGAAGCGCTGGCCTGGCTCATCCTGCCCCTGCCATCGCCTCCCCGCATTATCCTGGGTCTGGATGCCGGTGGGGTCATCACTGGGTGTGGGATGAGGTGACTCCCAGAGCTCAGGTGATGGCAAGGAGCTGGGAAGGTGGGAATCAGAGCCCACCTGTGCCTCCCCTCAGCCTCTGTCTGTCTGTCCATCCATCCCCGTGGGGTCCCTGGCCACAGCCCAGCCTGGCACCTGCTCCTGGTGGTGCCCTGTGGGTGCAGGACGGGAGGAGGGAGGTGCTGGTGTGGGGATTTTCTGTGGCCTCCGGGAGGCTCCAGGACCTGCCAGCTGGATGAGCTGGATGTGGGACTGAGCTGAGGGCTCCCCACAGCATGGGCAGCCAAAGTGGTGCTGGCAAGAGCATGAGGCAGCAATGGGGGAGCAAAGCCCCTCCTGTGGGTTTTTGGGGACCCCACGGCTGGGGAGGATCCATGAGCAAGCCCCGCTCCCATCACTGAATAGGGCAGGGAAGGGATTGGGGATGAGATCCCTCCCCAGCCCACAGGATGGACAGACAGAGCTCACACTGATCTGCTCTGGAAATGCCCCAAATTGTGGCTGCAATTCCAGGTCTTTTCATTCACCTTTAATATTTTGAGTAACTCTCCCAGGAAAACATGGACTGGGCAGCAGCCGCCGGTTCTTCCCGAGTAGAGAGAGTTGGTGCCGGATTCTCCTTTGAGACCAAAGAGCCATCCCTGTCCGTCTGTCTGCCTGCCTGTCTGTCAGTCCCTGCTGCTCCTCATCCAACCCTCGGCTGCTGCTGAGGCCAAATCCAGGGCAGGTTTGTGGGAATGTTGTGGGATGTGGCTCAGCCCCGTGCTGGGCTCAGCTGCTCCTGGATTTGGGCAGTGACGGAGCCAGCACACGGATGGGGAGTCTCCGGAATCACTCCCTGCCTGGGTGTCCCTGCAGCACCCCTACCCTCCCTGGGATCTCTCCACCCCCACACCGAGGGGGGACAGACCCCCGGTCCCCCCTTGCCACCTGGTCCCTGCCAGCCCCCCCAGCTTCCCACCCCCAGGAGTTACTGCAGGTGCTGGAAGTTTCCATGGGCTGCTGCCCTGTCCGGGCTCCATCCCAGTGCCATCCCCATCCCAGATCCCACCCACCTCCATCCCATCCCAATCCCATCCCCATCCCAGCTTCCACCCATCTCCATCCCATCCCCATCCCAGATCCCATCAGCCTCCATCCCATCCCAGATTCATCAGCCTCCATCCCATCCCCATCCCAGCTCCCACCCACCTCCATCCCATCCCAGCTTCCACCTGCCTCCATCCCATCCCCATCCCAGATCCCACCCACCTCCATCCCATCCCAGCAGTCCCACCTGCCTCCCATCCCATCCCATCCCCACCCTCCCTCCCTCAGGCTCTTGCTGCCATGCTGGGGACCCTGCCCAGGGACTGCCCAGCCTGTGGGACCCCGGTGCCTCTGCCCGAGCCTTTCCCGCTGTCACAGCCGTGTCCCCCCTCCATCCTGGCGGCCCCTCGGCCGGTCCCCTTGGAAACGCTTCCAGGGGCGGAAGCCTGGGGAATACTAAGCAGGTGCAGCCCCTTCAATCCCCCTTTGAGAGGGACAGAACGGGACTTGTTCCCAGCTCGAGGAGCCCGGCCAGGAACTGGGGGGGGGGGAGAGGGGACCCCCATCCATTGCAACCCCCCCAGCCCAGCCCCAAACCCTGCACACACACACAGGGGCCCCTCGGAGCAGGAGGGGGGCGAGGGAGGGACGAGGGGGGGGAACAGCTGAGCTGATGTGGGACCCACCCGGGGGGGGCACCAAAATGGGATCCCCGGGGAGCACCTGCTGCTCCCCAGGGCCCCCAGCCCCACCCCGAGCATCCCTCGCTGCGGTGGGACTTGGGATGTGGGCGTGGGATGGCTGGTGCTGGATGCAGGATTTGGGATGTGGGCGTGGGATGGCTGGTGCTGGATGCAGGATTAGGGATGTGGGTATGGGATGGCTGGTGCTGGATGCAGGATTTGGGATGTGGAATGCCTGATGTGGAACATGGGATGTGAGATACTTGACACGGGTTATGGGCTGCCTGATCCAGGATGCAGGGTGTCCGATGTGGGATGCCCAGTGTAGGATGTGGAATGTGGAATGCCTGATCTGGGATGCAGGATGGGGGAGCAGCCGTGACCGGCACGTTCCTGTGCTGCAGGTTGAGGTGTCCAAGGACACACGGTGACCTTGGGAAGCCTCAGCCAGCCGGGAGCTCGGCCGTGGGGAACAAGGTGTCTGTGGGAGATGGGGTGTCCATGGGGTGTCCATGGGGGATGGGGTGTCCATGGGGGATGAGGTGTCCATGGAGCCCACAGTGCTGGGACAGGCACGGAGCTGTCACTGTCCGGCACAGGCACCCCAGCTGAGCCACTGGTGGGAGCAGCCCCCTGCCCACACCCCTGCCTGTACCCCTGCCCTCACCCCAGCCCATCATGGACGGGTGACAGGTGACAGAGGCCCTGGTGGCACCTGGTGGCACCCGGATCGCCATGGCACTGGGAAGTGGCGCCGTGGCCATGGGGACCCCACATGGGGGTCAAGGGGGGTCTGACCCGACACCGGTGTCTCTGCCAGGGGGGTGTGAGTGGTCACAGTCCCCACTCTGTGCCAGAGCCCCACGGGGCCCCCGGGCAGTGGCTTTGCCCCTAGGGTGGTGCAGGAGTCGGGGCTCGGGGGTGCAGGAGGGTCTCCCCCACACCAATTGAGGATGCTGGGAGGGGACCCCGGAGCTGGTGCAGAGGGGTGTCCCTGCCCCGTGCAGGAGCCGTTTGGGGTGGCAGAGAGGGGTGCCGGTGCTGGGGGTTCCGGGAAGTGTCCCCTGCCGCTGCAGGGTGCCGGGGTGGGTGCCCTGGTGCCCCCAGAGATGTGGGTGCCAAGATGTGCCCCCCGGTGCCTCCCCCCAGGGATGCCGATGCTGGGGGTGCAGGGGGGCCCCGGGGCAGGGCTGCCGCCCCATACAGCAGCACTTTGGGGGCGGGTGGGCTCACAGGAGATGCCAGATGCTGGGGGGTGTCGGCGCGTTCCCCGGTATCCCCCGACGGGGAATGCCGCTGATGGGGGGGAGCTGGGATGAGCCCCCCGGTTCTTCCCCCGGGATACCGGTGTGGGAGAGAGGCAGAATGTGCCTCCCGGCGTCCCCTCCTGGGATGCCGATGCTGGGGGGTGCCAGGATGGGTCCCCCCGATGCTGGGGCTACAGGGATGTGCCCCCCGGCGCTGCCCCAGGGGATGCCGATGCTGGGGGGGCCAGGATTGGTGCCCCCCGGGGATGCTGCTGCCAGGATGGGTCCCGCGGTGTCCCCCCCGAGGATGCCGATGCTGGGGGGTGCCGGGGCGCGGCCCCCGGCGCTGCCCGCGGGGTGCCGGGGGGGTGCGGTGCCCGTGCCCGTTCCCGGTGCCGCCGCCGCGTCCCCGGTCCCGCCCCCGCCGCCCGGCCCGGCCCCCCGGCTCGGCTCGGCGCGGCTCCGCTCGGCTCGGCGCGGCTCGCTCGGAGCGGGGCGGGCGGAGCCGCTGCCGGTGCCGGCCCCTGGCCCAGCCGGGGTCCCTCCATGCCGCCATGGCCCCCGCGCCCCCCGCGCCCTGGCCCTGCTGCTTGTGATCGGCGCCCTCGGTGCGTACCGGGACCGCGGGGAACGGGCGCGGGGGACGCGGGATGGGGACAGGGGGCGGATCCCGGTGCGAGGGGATCCCCCGGGTGGAGAGCGGGGGGGACGCTGCGGGCCGGGCGGGGGCTGCGGGGTTGGGGGGGATCCCCAGCCCGGGGCTGGATCCCATTGCCAGGGGCTGCATCCCCCGGGGGGAGGTGGATCCCCTGCGGGGGGGTTGGATCCCATTGCGGGGGGTGATGGTGCTGATCCTGTTGCTGGGGCTGGATCCCCTTTATGCGTGGTGGAATCTGCAGGAGACGGGGAAGGGCTGGATCCCCTTGCAGGGCGGGCGGGATCCGCTCGCCGGGGGCCGGATCTCTTGCGGTGGGGTCTGGATCCTTTGCGTGGGGCTGGATCCTTTGCGTGGGGCTGGATCCTTTGCGTGGGGCTGGATCCCTGGCGTGGGGCTGGATCCCTTTGCCGGGGGCCGGATCCCTTGCGGCAGGGGCTGGATCCCCGTGTGTAGGGGGGGCATCTGCAGGAGGCAGGGAAGGGCTGGAGCCCCTGGCAGGAGGGACAGGATTCCCTTGCAGGGGCTGGATCCTCCTGGGATTATGGGGCACACTTGCAGGAACCAGGGAGGGTTGGATCCCCTTGAAAGGGGCTGGATTCCATCGCAGGAGGGGCTGGATACCCTTGGAAGGGGGCTGGATACCCTTGCAGGGAGCTGGGTCCTGTTGCAGGGGCTGGATCTGTTGTGCATATGGAGTGCACTTGAAAGAACCGGAGAAGGGCTGGATCCCCTTGGGAGGGGGCTGGATCCCCTTGGGAGGGGGCTGGATCCTGTTGCAGGGGCTGGGTCCCGTTATGGGAAGGGCTGGATCCTGTAGTGTATGTGAGATGCATGTGCAGGAACCAGAGGGGCTGATCCCTTTGGAAGGGGCTGGATTCCATTGCAGAGGGGGCTGGATCCCGTTGTGTGTAGTGGATGTATATGCGGGAATCAGAGAAGAGCTGGACCCCCTTGGAAGGGGCTGGATTCCCTTGCAGGGGGCTGGATTCCCTTGCAGGGGGCTGGATCTGCTGGGTGAAGGGGGGCTGGATCCCATTACAGGGGGCTGAATCCGCTTGTGTGTGAGGGGTGCACTTGCAGGAACCAGAGGAGGGATGGATCCCCTTGCAGGAAGAGCTGGATCTCCTCGTAAGGGGCTGGATCCCCTTGCAGGGCAGCCAAGGGGGCTGGGCCAGGGGCATCTTGGTTTGGGAGGGGCCGTGTTGGGAGGGTTGTCTCTACTGCCATGGGGGGGTCTCTACTGTGGTGGGGGGTCACAGAGTTGTGGGGGTGACTGGGTGCAGAGGCACCATCAGAGTTGGGAGTTTCTGCAGGGTTCACCCCTTTGGTCCCCAGGAGAGGCTCAAGGATTTGGGGTGCAGCCCCCCCAGATAGCTCGTTGGGGTGCTGGTGTGTGCAAGGTCAAGCAGGTGGGGGCCTGTCGAGACCCCCCCAGGTTACCACGTCCTCCCAGGGGTGTGGGGGCACCTCTGACACACCTTTCTCTCCTTGTCCCCCTCCAGCATCCGAGCAGCCCCCCCAAAACACCAGCAATTCCGAGGGGAGAGCCTGGGAGGGCTCACTGGAGAGCAGCCCCCCGAAATGGGACCTGGCAAGTGGAGACCCCCCGGGGGGACCCAGCAACAGCACCAGCCCCGGGGGGGCCGCAGCAGGACCCCAGTTAGAACCCCCCGGGAGGGACAAGGCCACCACGGACCCGTCGGCGACGCCGGAGGGGTGCCCGGGGTGCTCCGGGGAGGGCGATGCCAGCGCTGTGCCCCCCGGGGCCGGCGTGGCCGTGACCTGGCCCGGGGCCGGGGGGACGGTGTCCGTGGCCCTGGGCAGCCCCGAGGAGCCGGGGAGCGGCGAGCGGCCCACGGTGGCCTCCCTGCCCAGCCCGGGGGGCATCGGGGGTCTCCCGGCTGCCCCGCCCAGCCCCCCCGACCCTCAGCTCTCCACCGGCTCTGCCGAATCTGAGCTGCTGCCGGCGGCCGGGGGCTCGGCCGCACCACAGAGCCCCGTGCTGGGCCAGCCCAGCCCCGTGCCCGCTGCCGGGGGGGACTCGGGGGGTCCCCCGGAGCTCTGGGCGGCCCCGTCCAGCCCGGCCCCGGCGCAGGGGGCTCGCGGCTGGACCGATCTGACGTGGCTGCAGGAGCCCATCACGGCGGCCACGGGCCCGGCCAAGCCGCCGCCCGGCCGGGCGGGCTCCGACATCATCGACGTCGACTACTACGACCTGTTCGAGGGGGGAGAGGGACTGGGGGGCTTCCCCGGGGCTGGCCGGGAGGCGGCCGGGCCGGGTCGGCGGCGGGAGCCCGAGGGGGCGGCCACGCCCTGGGCCCTCCACGAGCTCTACGACGACTTCACGCCCTTCGACGACGCCGATTTCTACCCCACCACCTCCTTCTATGCCGACGGGGACGACGAGGACGGGCTGGAGGACGAAGAGGAAGAGGAGGAGGAGGAAGACAGGGAGCTGGAGGATGAGAACGGCTACCGGCCGCCCGCCTCGGCCGTGCCCGGAGCCGCGCCGGCCCCGCGGGACCCCCGGCCCACCGGGCGCCGGGACGCGGCCCCGCTGCCGTCGGGCGTGGCCGGGGGCAGCCCCACGGCCTGGCCACGGCCCGGGGAGCGGGGCCAGCCTGACAACGGCTCCGAGTGCCGGAGCGGGTACGTGCGGCACAACAGCTCCTGCCGCTCCCTCTGCGACCTCGTGCCCAGCTACTGCCACAACGGCGGCCAGTGCTACCTGGTGGAGAGCCACGGGGCCTTCTGCCGGTAAGAACGGGGACCCCGGGGCCCTGGGGGGGCATGTGGGGACTCGCCATCCCTGGGCACCCCATCCCTAGGCTCTCCATCCCTTGTATCCCATCCCGGGGCTCTCCATTCCTGGGCATCTCCTCCCTGGCTTTCCATCCACTCTACCCCATTCTCAGTCTTCCCATCCCCATGTAACCCGTCCCTGGGTTCTCCATCTCTGTGCATCTCATTTCCAGTCTTTCCATCCTTGTGTACCCCATCCCCGTTATCTCCACTCTCCATGCACCCCATCCCTGAGCTCTCCATCCCCCTGTACCCCATTCCCAGGCTCTCCACCCCTGCCCCTCACCCAGGTCCCTCCGGCCCCGCATCCCGATCCCGCCGGGATGCGGAGGGGTTTCCCTGCCCCCCGAGCGGCGGCTGGGCAGGAATTAGGTCAGGGCTGTGCAGCCGCGGCTCCGGGGCGGCCGCGCTAATCGGCCCCGGCAGATGCGCCGGGGAGGCCGGTGCCGGCTGTGCCGCACGGATCGGGACGTGCCCCGCGCCTGGCACCGAGCCCGGCCCCCCGGGGGTCCCCCCAGCCCTGCTGCCACTGCTCCCGGCCCTGGGAGCCCCCGGCGAGGGGGACCAGCATCAGCGGGGGACCCCGACCGCGCTGGCCCCCAGTGTCCCCATCTCACTCCGCCCCGGTGTTGTGGTGTCAAACCTCCATCCCTGGGGACATTTAGCCCCCAAACCTCTATCCCTGGGGACATTTAGCCCCCCAAGCCCTCAGCTCCAAGGTCCCCCTCGGGGACCCATTAATCTCCTCCCCCTCAGACAGCCGTAATCCCCCCGATTACAGACACCACTGCCCCGAGCACGCTCTGTGGCATGGGGGGGACACGTTTTGGGGAGGAGGTCCCTGACGGCGTGCCCTGGCAGGTGCAACACGCAGGACTACACGTGGCACAAGGGCACGCGCTGCGAGTCCATCGTCACCGACTTCCAGGTGATGTGCGTGGCCGTGGGCTCGGCCGCGCTCGTGGTGCTGCTGCTCTTCATGCTCACCGTGTTCTTCGCCAAGAAGCTCTACCTGCTCAAGACGGAGAACAGCAAACTGCGCAAGACCAAGTGAGTGGCGCGGGGACAGCGCTGCCACCCCCTCACTGCCCCCGAGGTGTCCCCAAACAGCCGCGGCGGGGGGTGGGCTCAGCTCCTGGCATTGCACCGCGGCTGGGTGCGATCCCGTCCCTGCGGGGACAGTGCTGGCACCCCTCAAAATGTCCCCAGACTGTCCCCAAACAGCCGCGGCGGGGGGTGGGCTCAGCTCCCGGCGGTAGCACCAGGGTTGGGTGTGATGCTCTGTCCCTGTGGGGACAGTGCTGGCACCCCCCAAACTGTCCCCAAACACCCTGACAGCCGCAGCGGGGGGTGGTCAGCTCCCGGCGGGATGTGGTCCCATCCTTTGGTGTCACCGGGCCCCCCAGTGCCGGTGGGGACACGGTGACGTGTGGGTGGGAAAGCTCCCGGGGGCGGGAGCGCGACGGGGCCATGGATGTGGCTCCTGCTCCACGGTTAATCCTTTAAAGCTGCTCCTGACTGGCACCAGTTAATCTGCTGCGCTGGGAGCTGGGGACACCGGCTGGGCTCGCCGGGAGATGGCCCGGCTGGGGACACGGCTGGGGGGACAGGGAATGGTTGGGGTCACACCCCCGCCACGGCCACTGCTGCCCCGCTCCTGGAACAAGGAGGAGGGAGCCCTCCCAGCCCGGTCCCTAATGAGCTGTTAATTGGTGTTTGGAAGTGCCAAGTGTAATTAGCAGGGAAGCTCCGTGCCAGCCCCTGGATCTCCCTCTCCGGCCCTGGGAGCGGTGGCTCCCGCTGCCCCGGGCTGCCCTTCCTGCTCCCTGCCCAGAGCGGGGGGTCACCCCAAACCCCCGGAGATGGGGGCTCTGAGCCCCCCAAAATGTCACACAGGGCTCATTTAGACCAATGTCTCCATCCCTGGGAGATGGAGATCCATCCAGGGTCTCCATGGATACCCCCCAGAACTGGGGACTTTTAGCCCCAAACCTCCACAGCTGGGGACATTTAACGCCCAAACCTTAGATCTGGATGCATTGACCTCCACAAACCCCCTTGTTTTGGGGCATTTAGCCCCCAGATCTCCATCTGTGGGGACATTTAGCCCGTAAATTCATACAGATGGAGGCATTTAGTCCCCTAACGCCCCCAGCTCTGGGGGTATTTAGTTCCAAACCTCCAGCCCTGGGGACATTTACCCTCGAGACCTCCAGCACTGGGACCAGTTACCCTCCCAACACCAGGGTCACCCTGAAATGTGGCCAGGGGTGCTGGGGGGTCCCCACTCTCACCCCGTGCCCTCCTGTCCCCCGCAGATACCGCACCCCGTCCGAGCTGCACAACGACAACTTCTCCCTGTCCACCATCGCCGAGGGCTCCCACCCAAACGTAAGGAGCTGCGTGGCACCGGCCCCCGTCCCGCTTCCTGCCCCACCCTCGTCCCTCTGCCCGGTAACCTCTCGTCCGTCCCCCCTCCCTGATCCCAGCGCTGCCCCCCTGTCCCCATCCTGCCCAGACCACTGCTCTGTCCCCTCGCTGTCGGGTCCCCAGTGACCACCCCGCGGAGTTCCCGATGGCTTTGGCCCCGTGTGAGCGCGGCAGGGCCGGAGTTTCCAGGGCGGACAAGCCGGCTCCGGCAGCAGACACTCCCCGGCCGCGGCATCGCCGGCAGGAGCAGCGGATGGCTCCGGCGGCGGCGGGCGATGCTGGAGGGTGACACGCTCCGGGATGTTGCTGCTGTGGTCGGGATGCAGCCGCCGGCAGCCCCCGGGATGCCCTCCCAACCTCCTGTCTTTCGACTCGGAACAGAGAGAAGCGAAGGGCTTTGCGGAGCCGGAGGAGGAGCGTAGGTCCCTCTAAGCCATCCCCCACCCACGGTGTTCCCGTCTTCCAGCGCCTTTAGCAGCCGTAGCTGCCTTGGCAGGAGGCTCCCGGGGCCGGCTCCCACGGCCGAGAAGATGAACCTTGGGGTGGATCCGGTGCCGCTCACCGGGGTCTGACTCGTCCCTCCGGGATGGGGAGGGTTCGGCACGTGGTGCAGCGCACTGAGGATGCAGAGGGGTCAGAAAGGGCAACATCCCTGGGAAAGGGTTTTTTGGACCCCACGGTGATGCCCGTCCCGCGGGGAGTTGATGGCACCAGCCCCAGACCGACCGGCCGTCGCTGCCCAGGATGGAGGTTCCTGTCCTCGTGTGACACCACCCCGGTGTCCCTGTCCATCCATCGCTCTCCATGTGGCACCAGGAACACCATAACCACCACGGCCCACCCTGCCCAGGCAGCCCCCCATGCCAGGGCTCATCCTGCCCCACCAGTGCCAACAGTGCCACCGGGACCCTCCGGGCACAGCCGTCACCCAGCACAGCTGGAGCTCAGCCCCGGTGCCGGAGGGGCCGCTCCCCCGTGGATGTGGGACAAACTCGGGGCACGGCCCAGTCCCAGGGAGGGGAAGATGCTCCTGTGGGGGGAGCTTGGGAAGAGCGTCCCCAGCTTTGCGAGTGGCACGGCGGGACCAGCTGTACACTGAGGATCCACAATAAATCCAGCCCCTCTGGCCTCCTGCCGAGCCGGGAGTCGCTAATTGTCCATGAGATGAGCCGAGCTGGGAACGGGACTGGGCGGGGATGGTGGGTAGGGTGGCTGGGTGGGATGGTTCTCGTGGCTGGCACAAGCTCCCATTGCTGGCACGAGCTCCTGTGGCTGGCACAGCCTTTGGGGGCTGTTGGCGAGCAGCTCTGGGAGCTGGAGCACCCCAGGGTGGGGGAGCCGTGGCGGGGGATGGCCACATGTCACCGCAGGAGGGTCGGACCCTCTCGCCCGCCGGGTCCCCTGTGCTGAGGTGTCCTCTGGGTGGGGGGACATTTGTCCCCTCCGGTGTCTCTCTGCAAGGGCAGCACCCACATTGGGGTCAGTGGGACATCACTGCCTTCACCCAGTCCCTGCTGTGGGTCACCCCCACGTCCCTGTCACCCCCTGACCCCCCTCTCTCCCACAGGATGATCCCAGCGCTCCCCACAAGCTGCAGGACTCGCTGAAATCCTGCCTGAAGGACGAGGAGCCCTTTAACATCCACAACTCAACGTCGCCCAAGCACGACGGCGGCAAAGGGGAGCAGGACGGGGGGGAGCTCAACTGCCTCCAGAACAACCTGACCTGAGGGCGAGCAGGAGGAGGAGGAGGAGGGAGGGGAGGGGAGCCAGGCTCCCCCCCTGGGCCCCAGCTGTGTCCTCCCGCTGTCTCTTTTCCCGTGGCATGCTTTGGTGTGTTTTGTACAGAGGAAAACAAAAATCCCGGTACTAATTCGGCCGTGTCGTGGGGGTGTTTGGTCTGTGCTCCGTGTTTCTCGCTTGGGTTCGTTCCGCGCTGTGATTTCTAAACCTTTGCCGTCCCCGCAACTGACTTTTTTTGTACTTTTGCCCCACTTTTTTTGAAATACAGGTAAAAACAACAAAAAAAAGGGAAAAAAAAAAAAAAGGAAGATCTTGAAATAAATAAACCATTTTTTTTTTTAAAGTTAAGCCTCTTGCCGGTGCCTGCGATCTCCCGCCATGGACACGGTGGGATTCAGTCCCTGTTTCCACAGGGTCCCACCTGGCTGTCACCCAGGGGTGGTGGGTGCCCGGTCCCCCCTCCTCACCCTCTCCAGGCACCTTCCCAGCTCTGCCAGGCCAGGGGTGCAACACGTCCTGCTGCCATCCCAGACATGCTCCAGAGAAGATGGGACGCCCTGGGATGTCTGGTGAAGGTGTCTGGGATGCTCCAGGGTCTGCTCCTTGCCTGTCCCCACCATAGGTCCCCCCAGCCACGTGGTGTCACAGGGTGACAGCTCCCGGCCACTCCTGCCCCATCAGCTGCCCAGGATGTCAGCGGGACTTTGGGTGAAACCCCCAGGGCTGTCCCCCCCACCTCCCTGTTTCCATCCCCTTGGAGAAGAACTGTCCCCACTGTCCCGGTGACTTCGGCAAGGTTGGGCTGGTCCCATCACCGTCCCCCTGGCACTGGGCACGGAGCAGGGATCTCTCCCCAGGGAACCCCAGCATTCCCACTGCCCTCCCCTCCGGCTGCAGCTCTGCTTTGCTTCCCACAGGAACCGCTTTCTTCTGGAGATGGATTGAGCCACGAGCCAGCACTCCTGGTTCCTGGGGGAGAGCACCTGTACCATTAATCACCCCACAGTATGAAGTGTGTGGCACGGCAGGGATGCAGCTGCAGCTCTCCCAGTGCTCTCCAGCCCTCTCCCAGCCCTCTCCTGCTGCTCTCCTGGGGCAGGTGGGAGCCAAAGCTGCAGCTCCGCATGGATTGGATGTTCCCGATGTGTCCTGTGAGCTGCTAAATAATTAATTCTCAGCCCACTTGGGGAGATTAGAAAATGAGCAGTGGTGGTGGGAGCCGGCAGTCAATCCCGGCAGTCACGGAAAGCTGAGCGAGCGGCACCGTCGGGATTTGGTCTTTGCCATTCCCCTCCCAGCACGGAGCTGTAGGACAGGTAAAACCATGGATAAAGCTCTGGGAAGGATGGACACAGCAGTGACAGAGGGTAGGGTGAGCGATGTGTTGGTGGAGCACGAGGGGAGATGCTATGTCCAAGGAAATGCCATGGAAAGGTGGGATATCCTGGCAGAGGCTGGGCACGAGCTTCCCGTGGGACTGGGAGGGAGGGAAAGGGAGCTCGAGGGGGATGAGCATCGCTGTGGCAGCAGGGAGAGGATCTGTGCTGAGGAGTGAGGGGAGAAGAAATGGTTATGGATGTGTGAGGATGGGGATGTTGGAGGGGATCAGGAACCTGGGAATGACCTGTGGGGATGCAGGGAAGGGGATGGAAGGGGAGGGCGCCCCTCACCTCCAGCTGCCCTCGGAGGGGTTGGCAGGGTGGGGTGCAGGCAGAGGCGGGATGGGGCAGCCAGGGAACGGGTACAACTGCGGCACACACGGTCGGATGGTGGGATCTGGAAACCGTCTGCTCCTCGCTGCCATCCTGCCTCGTGGTGCCTGTGGGTCCAGCTGCACACTGCCTGGAGAGAGAGCCAGCGTGGATGGTGTCACCTGGGAGGTGAGACTGGCACAGCACAGCCCCTCCATCCCAGACAGTGTCACCTGGGAGGTGAGGGTGACATGGCACCGCCCCTCCATCCCAGCACAGCCCCTCCATCCCAGCACAGCCCCTCCATCCCAGCACAGCCCCTTTATCCCAGCACAGCCCCTCTATCCCAGCACAGCCCCTCCATCCCACACCTTTCCTGGCTCCACACAGAGATGCCCACCTTGGAGTGGTGCCCGCCTTCCCTTCCACCCGCTTTTGCCCCTTCCAAGTTGCCCCTTCCTGGCCAGGGTGGGCAGTGGTGGGCCCAGCCCCTCTGCAGAGCCGGGTGGTGACTCCTTGGTGCAGCCCCTCATTTCGGGATGACCAGTGCAGGAATCCCAGGGACCAGAGCCATCCCCAGCTGCAGCCACTCACCCCCACGGGCTGCAGGGGCTCACTGGGATTCAGGACCAAACTGGGTCACAAGGATTTAAGCAGGTCTAGGGATGCTCCTGTGTTAGGAGCACTGGGGGGATTTGTCCCCCTGTCCCCCCCCCTTCACCCCCACAATTCCCCCCAGCTGTTCCCGCTCCACTGGACCCAACTCACCTACCCTGAGTGCTCCTGTTTCCTGCGGGAAGGCACAGCCTCTGTTCCCTGTGTCACCCCAGGGGCCACGAGCCCTGGAGCCTCCCGTGGCTCCGGGGTCAGTGTCCCTCGCCGTGCCTCAGTTTCCCTCGGAGGTGACGGCCTGTTCCCAGCCTGCAGGCCCTCATCCCCCTCTGGCTTTCCCAGATGGAGAGAGGAGTGTGGTTTGGAGGGATTCCCCCTGGGACCAGGCTCTGCATAGCAGAGAGAGCAGGGCAGAGAGGAGCAGGGGCTGCTGCTGTGCCGGGCCCCAGAGCTGGTTCCAGGGGCCCTGGGGAGGAATTTGCCTCCCAACCAGCAAAGCAGCACATGGGCTTTAATCCCAGGCCTAATCAGCCCAGGCTGGCCCAGCCCAGCACAGCCATTAAATTTCAATGCTTGGTTGGTTTGCTGGGGGGGCACGGGGCCCATTGTGGCCCAAAAGGGCTGGCACGGGACACGGGAAGGGAGCTGGCATCAGACCCCTCGCCCTGCCATCCCCTTTTCTCTTGCAGACACACAACAGGACCAGAGCCACGACCCCAGACAAGAAGCCTTTCTTCCCTTGATGAGCTCCGGCTGCCCGGAACAAAATAGCTGGAACTGCGATTCACAGCCGAGTCTCAATTCACGACCGAGTCCCGATTCACGACCGAGTCCCGATTCACGACCGAGTCCCGATTCACGGCCGAGTCCCGATTCACAACCGAGTCCCGATTCACAGCCGAGTCCCGATTCACAACTGAGTCCCGATTCACGACTGAGTCCTGATTCACGACCGAATCCCGATTCACCAGCTGAGAGCCCAGACTCACTGACCAACCATTCCATCTCATCAGCTGATCCTGACCCAGCACCCCACAGCCGGATTTCCCAGCCAGGCCCAGGTGAGGAGCGGGAGGGAGGGGAGGAGGGCTGGGAGCAGTGGTGCCACGGTCCCTGTCAGCCTGTGCTCAATGCCCTCGGTGCAGGACGCTGCTCCTGTGGGATCCCAGCTTTGTCCATCCCTCCCTGAGCTGCCTGGAGCTGGCAATGCCACGTCTGCCCCTTGTGCCTTTCTAAACACCCCTGTGGCCCCACAGCCTTTCCTTTGAGGAGCATTTGGAAGATGGGGCTGGCTGTGTCCTTTCCCTCTGGTTGGTTCTCCTGTCCCACATCCTCCACCACGGCACAGTGCAGCTCCCTCTGCCTGTGGCTGCAGCCCAGACATGCTCCAGTCACACACATCTACACATGGTGCATGAATCCCACCCTTGCTGTCCCACCTCCAGCCCACAGGGAAATGGTGGGCCATTCCCAAACCCTTTGGACCACCCCTGGGAGTGCTCTGCCCACCCTCAGCACAGGAGCGTTACATGGGGAGCTCTGGGATGTTCCCAGTGACCCAAAGGCAGGTTTGGGAGGAGGTGTGTCCTGAAGGTCACTGTGGGAGCACTCTGGTGACATCCAGGTGTTCCCACCATCCCTGAGCTGCCTCCTGGCTTGTAGGAGTCCTTCACTGGTGTTTGTGCAGCCAGAAAGCACCAGGATCTCAGTATGCAGTGATGGGAAATACCAATTACTCCATTGCTCTCAGTCTGGCTGGAACTGGGAGTGATTCCAGTATTAAACTCACTCTGTGTTGGATTTAAAGGGAGGAGAAAAGCAAAATCCTCTTAATCTTCATAAACTGTAAAATGCCCAGTGTGGGAACGACGAGCTGGGATGGCCTTACCCACGGCAGGTCCCTGTGCCACTGGCCAGCACAGCACAGGGCAAACTGGTTCTGCTGGGACAGGAGGACAGCGGGGCACTGGCAGTGATGCCAACCAGCCACCAGAGACTGGTTTGGAACATAGAGCAGGGGAAAAACTGGCTGAGACTGAGTGGGGAACGAGCAAGTTCACAGCCCTCACAGAAGGACGTGGAAGAAAGGGGAG